TACATTTCTGTGTTTCCTTTCATTCTTCAGCCAAAAACAGCTGCATGAAGCTCAGTTGTGAAAACTTAAAATAAAGCATGAGGTGTGTTTGTTGTCATGATCAGAGAGAAGCCGCTGGGACTGCTGCTGATTCATCCGCTGCAATAAACAGAGAGATGAGTTTCTAATACTGGCGACATGAGACATGACTTTTAGTGAGACGCCCTCAGAGGACGCAGATCCTTGATGCTACAGATGGCGGTCTGTTTATCGCCGTCTTTACCCGTCATTTTTTTTTCAGTCTCTGTAATAGCTCTTTGAGGGACACACGCTCGCCTCCCTGAAGTCCTATCAGCGTCTCCACAGCAGAACAACATCTGCCACAGCCTTCAATCTCCAACACTCAGAGCTGGGTGGAAACAGCTCACACATGCATCAGTTTAACGTCAGCTGCAGAGAGAGGAAATACTATTATCGCCAATTATTATCTTATTAAATTTGTGTTTTAAAAGGTTCAGTTTATGCACACCTTGAGGTCGGTTAAGGTCGCTCCTGGCTGACTCTTCAGTAAAAACTGGGTCATCAAGTTTTGAGTTTGTGTAGCGTGTCAAAAACACTCAATCCGACACGAAAAACTCAACATTTACAACACACGACTCTGTGACTCTGCCCCCGCACAGTCGTGTCCTCCTTTTGGGGATTCAGAATATGGTCATCCTAACATATTGATTCCATTAACCTTTATTTGTCCCGAGAAAAATAAACAATACTACAAATGATGAAACACAGGAAGAAATAAAAAGACGGATTGCTGAAATACCTCAAAATCTGGGTACCGGGGGTTAGCATGATGGGTGCAAGTCGGACCGAAACTGGCCAAAGTGCCCTGCACATGCTCCAGAGTTTGCACAGTCAGTCTGTTTACACAACACTCGAGAAAACCAAATTATCGCCTTACTCCGATGAAGACTGGTCAACTGAAGTGCATGTAAACACCTTAGTCTGACTTTAATCAGAGTTTGAGAACTCTGATTAAGACACCCAGATAATGCGACTGGAATTTGATTTTCTCTACCATGTGACCAGCGTAGTCAGAGTATGATTGGACAATGCATGTGCGCCACGCCTCCAGAACACAAACACCAGAGAAGAAGTGGCGCTATCATTTCAAGAACTTTCGACTCAGAAGCGACTGCAACATGTGCTGAAGCACGAAACAATGTCCACTCTTGTAACGACGAGGAGAGCGCTGTTATGGACTTTCAGAAAACAAGGAACGGAGACCTCTTTAAAAAAGTTGCTGACCAGATGAGAGACGCCGGCTTCACTCGAACCCCAGATCAAATCCGCGTTCAGTGGAAATACCTTAAAAAACATACGACCAGGCAAAGAAGCACAACGGCACAAGTGGACAAAATCGTCTTGCTTGTCCGTTTGGCGATGCCGTAGCTGGAGGAGCTGCTCGGAGAATGAAAGTGTGTGAAAGTCTTTAGCTCTCGGACTCTGAAAAGACTAAAAAAAATACTAGATCCACATATTCCTCTTTCTGGATTATACGGCTTTACTCTCACAAGATTAGGGTTTTATTCTTGCAGAATTTTGGCTTCACTCTTGTAAGGTTTGTACGGATGAGTGATAGTTACCTAGGGAGGCCTTACAGCTAAACTTTAACTGTATACCAGAGGAGGAGGCGAGGGGCACATCCGGCGAACACAAACAACATGTTACATATGTTGTTTTGATGTCATGAGCTTTTATTCACATCAGCATACTGCGCCATGTCCTTGAATGCGATGCTGCGCCTTAAACAGCTAATGATCCTAATGAACGTCGGGCAGCATAATGGGAGGAATGCGAGCCGTGTTCAGAGATAACGATGAGGAATCTGCGCGGGTCGTCTTCTTCATCTGATTAAACACTGATGCTGAAACTCTATAGCAACAGTCGGCACACAGAAAGCCCCGTCCTGTACAGAAACATGTTAGCGGAAAGGATCAATGGGTGAGTCAAGCTGCAGTCGAGGTCATAATGAGGGTGTCCTATCTGCCCACAGCCTGATACCCTCATTAAACAGCGTGTGCGATGTAGAACAAAGAGGGAGAGTGGGCCGGCGGTCCATTAGCACAGAGGTGACAAAGGAACAAGGCAGGCAGTGAAACAAGACGACGGACCAGGACATCAGGGAGAAAATACACTGATGTCAAATCTGAAACAAATATTCATAGATCCATGAGAAATGAGCTTTTGAAGGCGCTGAGAAAAAAACTGTGAATTACAAACATTCAAAGTGGGAAAAGAAGATGGAATTCAACCTGCAGCGATATGAAATCATTTCTGATGTGTTACATAAATATGTTTTTTTTACACCCCAGAATTACTTATGTAACAACCGTACATACAAACAACAAGTATTCCAGTTTATAAGTACAACAGAGTAATTGGGCCAGGAATAAGTCGCTATTGAACAAGATAAAAGTTTGACTGCAGCAAGAATTCAAAGTCAAAACCATGAATTCTATTTATGAGAAATGAAGCAAAACTGCAGTTCCTCAAGTGTCCACTTGGGGCTGACTGCAAAAGTACAAAAAACCACACACACACCAAGTCAAAAAAGACGTTTTTAGAGCAAACATAACAGAATGGTCCAATTTAGTAGGTTTTCATCAAACAGCACACACTTTTTGGGATGGATTTTAGTGTAATACATTCATTTATAAAATATTAAAGTTATGAGATTGGCGAATCAGAGGCGGGGATATTTACAACGAGGCTTAAGACCCAGACAGGTCTCTAGTTTTTGTGTATATTAAGCAGGTATGAACTGTAGAGCCATGCAACGATAATACAGCAAGGTATCACAGTATCTCATATTTAACTAAACTTAAAATCAATTAAAAATGAGGTTTTCTATTCCTCAGAAAGACAGTGTGCAGAAAACAGGACATTTGCAGATACCTAACCGTCAGATTTGAGACTAAAATGCTCCCTTGTTCACCCCTCTGGTCTGTGAATTAAGAAGTAAAGTATAATTCTCCATTTTTTACCATCAAAAACTTTAATTAGTTGTTCGCTCGTCACAACAACCATCCCTCTCTCTTTCTTGTGTGTAATGGTGCTTTAACTCTGCAGCGAGCAGCCTTTTATTTGGTTTTGAAACCACGAGTCTTATGTGAGTGGGTTTGTGAGGACAGAAAACACCTTCCACTCGTCTCTTTTGTTTACCCTCCACTGAGTTCTCATCCTGACTTCTGACCTCGGGCAGGACTAATGAGAGGAGGAAAAAGACTCGTTATTCTGAGGGGTTTCCCTCCGTCAGCAGGGACAGACCTGCCGCTGCTTCTGTTGTCAGTCCTTGTAAAGATACTGCTGATGGAGTTCCTTTTTTAATGATGCTTGTGTTGGAAGAAGAGCGGCTCCTGAGTGGTCAGGGTCAGGCCTTTGAGTGGAGGTGCTGGTGATACTGCAGTGAGAGAGTATCCTGACTCAATCAAACACCAAAGAGGGCGTCCAGAACTTTTCAGTGCAGCTCAGCAAAAAGGTTCTGTTTCTGTATTTAATCTGTATATTTATTCTGCAGAGGAATAACTCAGTGTGAGCTTTAATCTAAAATTTAATTTAGTTTAAAAAGTAGAAGAAACAGACGTTGATTTCACCTGATATGTGTGATCTGCTTGTTGCTAGTGTAGCGCTTGTCAGGTAGCGTTAGTAACCGTTGCCAAGGGGTTGTCAAGGAGTTTAGACCAATCAGGTTCAAGAATCTAACATGGGTAACTAATCAGCAGGAAAGCTGGATAATAATATGGGGCCTAATAGTGATTGACTCACTTTTGGCTTCAGCCTCTAGTGGCCACCCGAGGAACTGCAAACTATAGTCTCCGCATTTATGAAAACAGTGAAGTTAGCATCTGTTTTCTAAAACCACGATACCTCAACATTTTAGATCTAAGAGAGTCCACAACTAACAACAACTTTATTAAAAATTGTAATAACAAACAATTCAGCATTTCCAATAGTAAAGAAAAAATATATATATATATATGACAATATATAATATAATAATTAGGCAAAAGAAAAAAACAATCAAATAAATAAAAATTAGGAGACAGATCTCTTTGAAGTAAAATTGTAACTAGAAAATGCAATTTCTGAAGAAATTGCGAGTGGGATTGCTTCAGTTGAAATTGCTATCGCTAAGCTGCTATTGCGAATGGCTGAATTTTAAAAATATGTAAAAGGTAAAAAGGTATGAAGTATCAGGAAGATTTGAATCAATTTGAATAAACTCAATTGAATGAGGTGAATAATGCATGAATAATAATTTTTAGCATAGCTTTTTGAGCACTCAGCATTTCCACGCATTTTCTGCAAGGAAATGCAATTTTTCTAGTTATTATTTTTAGTCTGGCGTGTTTAACAGTGCACAGAATCATTTTATCTTACATTATTTACTGGGTCTGTCTTAGCGATTACAGTTTTATTCCTTCAGTTTTAGTTTCTATACTTTTTTGCCTTATTTTATTCTTTTAGTCCCTAGTATATCCCTAGATATACCGGTGAAAACAGGATTATTTATCATATTGTTGTGATTAAAAAAAGATCGCTATCGCTAAATGCCGTTTACGTCTTCCAGGTTTGACAATTTGTTGTGATAATGTGAGGCCCACTAAGTGTCATCACATTAGTGTGATTGTCTTATTTGTATTTAACTGTTTATTTGTACATAACTTTGGCCAGTAGGTGGCAGTGTAGGGTTGTGTGGCCATGTGTGCGTGCGCAGCCAGCTCCCGCCAGACCGAAACAGGAGCTCGGTGAAACGCTCCACATCTCAACTGTCTCCTTCCTTAATAACCTATTTGCCTGTTTTCCAGGTGGGTAATCCTTCACAAACCACATCAAGATATCACTAGGTGTTAATGTCGCTTTTGGTAACGTTTGTGCTTTGATTTGGTTCCGATTGATGTGTGACATAAACTTGTAGAGATTCAGCAGGTTGTATCATTGTTTTGTATGGGGGTGGTAAGATGGCGTCTCCCACACGTGTTGCATCCCGTCATGTATGGGCATTACTCCTCCACTCTTTTAGTTAGATGTACGTTTTGATGTGGTTAATGGCTAGCTCCATTTTATTATTTTGTTCATGTGGACTGAACCACAGTGTTATCGCGTATGATGGAAATGGTTTAAAGCCATGATGCAGATATGTAAATAGTGTTGTTGAGTAATACTGGTACTGTTTTGTATTAAGTCCTGGTGCTAGCAGCATCTTTACAGTAAATGTGCACAGTAGATGCAATATAAATTAAATGACCAAAAATGGAATTTGGCACAAAGGAGAAGTATTAAAGGGGAATTGCAGAGATGACAGAAAGTGTGCTATTGTCAAAATGTAATGATGACCGAATGTTGTTTACTGTATTTTGTTTTCTATTGAATGTAATAGGAAGTGATATTGAATATTGAATGTTCTATGGACGTGGAAATGTTAAAGTCTAGATAGACAGGGATACAGACAGTGTTATTGAATGCTGGGTGAATGAATAATAAAAGGACAATGCAGAAAGTACTAGTTAGAGAGGGAATTTATGGTGAATTATGAATGATTGTGAATAAACAGACCGAAACAGGAGCTCGGTGAAACGCTACACATCTCAACTGTCTCCTTCCTTAATAACCTATTTGCCTGTTTTCCAGGTATTTTATATCTGTTGTTTGGTGCCACATCCTGGTACCTGCAACAATAACGTCTTTTTCAGTCAAACTTTCGACCAATTACATCATTTTTGCTCCATAAACTGACAGCTGACCAAAAATACCAAAATACAGCTGGGAGTTCGAAGGGTTAACTCCGTTTTTATGTTTTAGGTTGGTACCCTGATGCTGAGCACCACTGGGAAAACTCTCCATCAGGACTTTTCCTGCTTCATCCCGGGCTCCGTGGAGCGGGTCGAGAGGGTTAGGAACCATGCCTTCAACCACTACCGCTGCCGTGACGACGCCCTGGCCAACCGAATGCTCATGAACGGTGCCATGATCGACGGAGCCCACGTGCAGGTGTCGCTCGCCAAACCGGCCAGCATGAAAGGCGGCGGCGTTCCTTGGAGGTTAGGAACTCCAACTCCAACCCTAACCCTAACCCTTCCTCCTCAGGGTGTCCGGGCTCAGCCTTAGAGATAGGGTAAGGAGCTCGGACACTCGGGAGAAGTTCAGAGGAGAACTGCTGCTCCTCCACGTCAGGAGGAGCAGACGCCTTCAGGGTCTGAATCAGGAGTTTTTAAGCTCTGATAGACCAAGTTCTGGTTTTTGAAGGTGGACTTAAGCGGACAAAGTTTGACCCCTCAGTCATATTCTGGAGGACTGTGTCGACTGTGTAGGAAGAGTTTCCAACACAAACCAACACTTCCTCAAATATCTTCATGTTCTCAGATGTAGAGACGTTTGATCAGGAGGACAGAGCTGATAGACTTCATGAGGAGCTGACCAAAAATACCAAAATACAGCTGGGAGTTCGAAGGGTTAACTCCGTTTTTATGTTTTAGGTTGGTAACCTGATGCTGAGCACCACCATGAAAACTCTCCATCAGGACTTTTCCTGCTTCATCCTGGGCTCCGGGATTAGGAACCATGCCTTCATCTACTACCGCTGCCGTGACGACGCCCTGGCCAACCGAGCTGATAGACTTCATGAGGAGCTGTTATGAGAGGAGAACCTTCATGTTTTACAGTTGGGTGGGAAATTAAAATCCAGTCTTTCTGCATGTGGAACTTTTGAGGACAGACGTTCATTAAAAAATATAACTTTTCTCGTCTGTTTGATGGGCTGAGAAAACAAACAAACTAAAAACTATAAATAAATCAATAATAATCAAGAAGAAGCTCCCTGCAGACCCAAGCAGGGTCAATATAGAGGGAGACGGGATTCATTCCCCTAACCCTAACCCTAATCTTCAGCTACAAATCTCTTTCTCCCAATCATTAAATGTTTTTTTATGTTTATTTTTCAGGTGCAACATCTAAATTCAGAAACCCACCAGCATCTCGAGGCCAATATGGCGACAAATGACACATTTACAGACATTCTTCTGAAGGGCTGGACCAAGCTGACAGAAGCCACTCATGCAGAGCAGATGGCTTTCTTTGGGGTCATCCTGTTTGTTGGTGAGTTTCTGTTTGTGTCGGTGTAGGGCACAAATCTATTGAGTTTGTATTGTATCTATTGTACCTGACTCAAAGTACAACATGTTTGTATAGTTATAAAGATATTTCATATGGCATGGTATAGAATTTGAATTTATGGTAATTTTGCATAATTGAAATGAAAAATTACCATTCAATCTCTATTTTTCCTGGCGCTTGTGCTTTTCAATTCATTCTTCATATTGTATAGTCCTATGCCAAAAATAAAAAGCTCTCTTTGTGTTTTCTGCCTCTCTTTGCAGCTGCGGTGCTCCTGTTCTGCATGGCGACCTGCGTACACTGCTGCTGCTGCTGCAAACCGAAGCATCACACTGGAAGAGTCCTACCTCTATTGTCACGCTGAAGCTGACCATTTTATGTAGTGTTCAATAAAAATGTACGTATGACTGTAAAACTCTGCTGTGATGTTCAATCCTTATAACACAAGACTTTATCAAACTTTTTCATTTGAGCTAAAACTAAAATCCCACCTTTTAAAATACTGAGCATTGTATGCTCACCTTATCATCTGATCTCTGCTTTGCCCTCACCTGTTAGTATTTCTAGTCAACATTAACCAGGAGCCATTGCTTATTTGCCTTGCCTTTAAAAAGCAGGCCAGAAAGGGAACTAACAGTAACTGCTGAACTCCTGAATGTATTCAAATAGCTCCAGGACTGCCAGGGATCACAACGGTAGCTGGAACCATCAGTCCGCACACGTTACAATGTTTTCACACTTGTCAGGAGTCTCTGAGCCGTGAGTGGATCTCTGAGCAGGACATGGCTGTCGAGAGGTGAGTCAACAGAGTTATGTTGAGTGAAAGTACTCTGTAATGTCAGTAGATTTCAATGAAGCACACTCCCAAACACCTAACACAAAAAGACTAAACGCTTCAGAAATGTTTATTTCCATTAGCAACTTCAACTTGATTTCATTTATATGGCAGTTTTCCTACAAAGCTGTAACACAAAGTGCCTTACAAAGCATAAAAAGAAAATGAAACATTAAAATCCCCAAGAAAACCCCAAACCTCCCACTCGCACAATTATACCCATACACACACTGGTGCACATAGACATACATTCCCACACACAACTTTACATACACACGCACCTACACAGTTAGCAGCTGATGGTGAGGAGACATGACTGGGCACTGAGATCTGAGGTGAGGAAGACGCTACCTTTGGGGGCCACGTCGACCGGGAGGCATCCCGGCCCATTGCTGCAGGGGGCGCCGTCACAGGGACCACCAGCCCGGGCAGACAGGAGGCTCCACACCAAGGTGGAGAGCTCTCTGGTTCCACCCGGGCCAGAGCTGTCCCCAGAACGGCGCCCCCACCAACAGACCAGAACCCGCTCCTGGTGAAGCAGCCCCCAGGAGGAAACACTGGAAAAACTGAGGGACTAAAAGAATAAAATAAGACAAAAAAGTATAGAAACTAAAACTGAAGGAATAAAACTGTAATCGCTAAGACAGACCCAGTAAATAATGTACAACAGCTTTAACATTTATACCTTTCTCCATGTTTTATTAGCAGTTTAGCATAGCTTTTTCAGCACTCAGCATTTCCACGCATTTTCTGCAAGGAAATGCAATTTTTCTAGTTATTATTTTTAGTCTGGCGTGTTTAACAGTGCACAGAATCATTTTATCTTACATTATTTACTGGGTCTGTCTTAGCGATTACAGTTTTATTCCTTCAGTTTTAGTTTCTATACTTTTTTGTCTTATTTTATTCTTTTAGTCCCTAGTATATCCCTAGATATACCGGTGAAAACTGGATTATTTATCATATTGTTGTGATTAAAAAAAGATCGCTATCGCTAAATGCCGTTTACGTCTTCCAGGTTTGACAAACTGTTGTGATAATGTGACGCCCACTAAGTGTCATCACATTAGTGTGATTGTCTTATTTGTATTTAACTGTTTATTTGTACATAACTTTGGCCAGTAGGTGGCAGTGTAGGGTTGTGTGGCCATGTGTGCGTGCGCAGCCAGCTCCCGCCAGACCGAAACAGGAGCTCGGTGAAACGCTCCACATCTCAACTGTCTCCTTCCTTAATAACCTATTTGCCTGTTTTCCAGGTGGGTAATCCTTCACAAACCACATCAAGATATCACTAGGTGTTAATGTCGCTTTTGGTAACGTTTGTGCTTTGATTTGGTTCCGATTGATGTGTGACATAAACTTGTAGAGATTCAGCAGGTTGTATCATTGTTTTGTATGGGGGTGGTAAGATGGCGTCTCCCACACGTGTTGCATCCCGTCATGTATGGGCATTACTCCTCCACTCTTTTAGTTAGATGTACGTTTTGATGTGGTTAATGGCTGGCTCCATTTTATTATTTTGTTCATATGGACTGAACCACAGTGTTATCGCGTATGATGGGAATGGTTTAAAGCCATGATGCAGATATGTAAATAGTGTTGTTGAGTAATACTGGTACTGTTTTGTATTAAGTCCTGGTGCTAGCAGCATCTTTACATTAAATGTGCACAGTAGATGCAATATAAATTAAATGACCAAAAATGGAATTTGGAACAAAGGAGAGGTATTAAAGGGGAATTGCAGAGATGACAGAAAGTGTACTATTGTCAAAATGTAATGATGACCGAATGTTGTTTACTGTATTTTGTTTTCTATTGAATGTAATAGGAAGTGATATTGAATATTGAATGTTCTATGGACGTGGAAATGTTAAAGTCTAGATAGACAGTGATACAGACAGTGTTATTGAATGCTGGGTAAATGAATAGTAAAGGGACAATGCAGAAAGTACTAGTTAGAGAGGGAATTTATGGTGAATTATGAATGACTGTGAATAAACAGACCGAAACAGGAGCTTGGTGAAACGCTACACATCTCAACTGTCTCCTTCCTTAATAACCTATTTGCCTGTTTTCCAAGTATTTTATATCTGTTGTTTGGTGCCACATCCTGGTACCTGCAACAATAACGTCTTTTTCAGTCAAACTTTCGACCAATTACATCATTTTTGCTCCATAAACTGACAGCTGACCAAAAATACCAAAATACAGCTGGGAGTTCGAAGGGTTAACTCCGTTTTTATGTTTTAGGTTGGTACCCTGATGCTGAGCACCACTGGGAAAACTCTCCATCAGGAGTTTTACTGCTTCATCCCGGGCTCCGGGATTAGGAACCATGCCTTCATCCACTACCGACGCCCTGGCCAACAGAAGCCTTATGAACGGTGCCGTGATCGACGGAGCCCACGTGCAGGTGTCGCTCGCCAAACCGGCCAGCATGAAAGGCGGCGGCGTTCCTTGGAGGTTAGGAACCCCAACCCTAACCCTAACCCTTCCTCCTCAGGGTGTCCGGGCTCAGCCTTAGAGATAGGGTAAGGAGCTCGGACACTCGGGAGGCGCTCAGAGGAGAACCGCTGCTCCTCCACGTCAGGAGGAGCAGACGCCTTCAGGGTCTGAATCAGGAGTTTTTAAGCTCTGATAGACCAAGTTCTGGTTTTTGAAGGTGGACTTTAGCGGACAAAGTTTGACCCCTCAGTCATATTCTGGAGGACTCTGTCGACTGTGTAGGAAGAGTTTCCAACACAAACCAACACTTCCTCAAATATCTTCATGTTTTCAGATGTAGAGACGTTTGATCAGGAGGACAGAGCTGATAGACTTCATGAGGAGCTGTCATGAGAGGAGAACCTTCATGTTTTACAGTTGGGTGGGAAATTAAAATCCAGTCTTTCTGCATGTGGAACTTTTGAGGACAGACGTTCATTAAAAAATATGACTTTTCTCGTCTGTTTGATGGGCTGAGAAAACAAACAAACTAAAAACTATAAATAAATCAATAAAAATCAATAAGAAGCTCCCTGCAGACCCAAGCAGGGTCAATATAGAGGGAGACGGGATTCATTCCCCTAACCCTAACCCTAATCTTCAGCTACAAATCTCTTTCTCCCAATCATTAAATGTTTTTTTATGTTTATTTTTCAGGTGCAACATCTAAATTCAGAAACCCACCAGCATCTCGGGGCCAATATGGCGACAAATGACACATTTACAGACATTCTTCTGAAGGGCTGGACCAAGCTGACAGAAGCCACTCATGCAGAGCAGATGGCTTTCTTTGGGGTCATCCTGTTTGTTGGTGAGTTTCTGTTTGTGTCGGTGTAGGGCACAAATCTATTGAGTTTGTATTGTATCTATTGTACCTGACTCAAAGTACAACATGTTTGTATAGTTATAAAGATATTTCATATGGCATGGTATAGAATTTGAATTTATGGTAATTTTGCATAATTGAAATGCAAAATTACCATTCATCTCTATTTTTCCTGGTGCTTGTGCTTTTCAATTCCTTCTTCATATTGTATAGTCCTATGCCAAAAATAAAAAGCTCTCTTTGTGTTTTCTGCCTCTCTTTGCAGCTGCGGTGCTCCTGTTCTGCATGGCGACCTGCGTACACTGCTGCTGCTGCTGGTGCTACAAACCGAAGCATCACACTGCCAGAGTCCTACCTCTATTGTCACGCTGAAGCTGACCATTTTATGTAGTGTTCAATAAAAATGTACATATGACTGTAAAACTCTGCTGTGATGTTCAATACTTATAACACAAGACTTTATCAAACTTTTTCATTTGAGCTAAAATGAGGTCTCTAGGTGCAAACCGAAGCATCACACTGCTAGAGTCCTGCCTGAAGAGTCAAGCTGAAGCTGACAATTTTTTTTAGTGTTCAATAAAAATGTATGTATGACTGTAAAACTCTGCTGTGATGTTCAAGCCTTATAACACAAGACTTTATCGAACTTTTTCATTTGAGCTAAAATGAGGTCTCTAGGTGCAAACCGAAGCATCACACTGCTAGAGTCCTGCCTGAAGAGTCAAGCTGAAGCTGACAATTTTATTTAGTGTTCAATAAAAATGTACTAAACTAAACTAAAACTAAAATCCCACCTTTAAAATACTGAGCATTGTATGCTCACCTTATCATCTGATCTCTGCTTTGCCCTCACCTGTTAGTATTTCTAGTCAACATTAACCAGGAGCCAGAATGAAAATAAGAACATTATACGAATCCTCCGCCCTTCATGAACACAATGATGTGTTTTTCATGTCTGTACTCCAAAAAATGTGTCCACAACAGCGAGTTAAAAAAGTCTGAGCCTGATTGGTGATAAGGATTTTCTTGGAGAAAAAATACATTAGGGCTAATGGGGAGAGATTTCCGCCTATTTGGACAGTCGGTCACCTGCTGGCCAAGGGGTAGGATTTAATGATTTGAAACCTCTTTTGTGAGAAGCAGGACACATATACCTCCATTTTGATGTATTTTTTATGGCTGTGGAGTGAAATTTGTGGGCGTGGGCGCGATATATTCGAGCAAGGTTCTGTTGAAAGAAGGGGAGCTGTCCACTCTAGCGATGACATCATCACTCTAGCCTCTCCAATACACACCCATTATAAAGCCTGAAAATTTGCTGAAAACCACAAGTTGCCTAAAGCTAAATTGTGGAAAAACTGTAAAAGATATCAAAAAACTGAGTACATCTTTAATAGTCGACAAGTGAATGAACATTTTAAAGCAAAAATGAGGTCTCTAGGTGAAACTATGCAGAAGTTATAAGGCTCAGAAGGCGGAAGAAAAAAAGGAAGAATTGGAAAATTTCTCCATTGACATCAATGTTAAAATGTTGGCACAAAAAGTTAAAAAAAACCAAAAAGTAGAAAGGTAAAAAATAGACGCCATCATGTCCTGAAGGAGAGGAATAGTTTAAAGTTTGAACGGTTGAAATAGCACAAGTTTGAAGGAGGAGAAGCACGGCAAAAATCGGCCGATTTGTTATTCGATATGTGGTTTTTTTTTATTTGTAGTCAACTCAATAGACTTAAAATAAAAACTCACCTTCATTCAAAAACAATCTAAATGATGGGGAAGAGTTCTGAAATCTGCATTTATGGATGTGAAATTTACTATAATACAAAGTTTTTTCTTTCAATTCAAAATTACTAATAAAGTTCTTCCCTTAAATGTTGATTTTATGTTTTATTTCACATTGTTCTCAAGTTCTTTCTAAAATGTACCGTTATTTGAAAAACCATAAAACAAATGAGTTTTATTTTCAGGTTCAATTTTACAAAAAGTTCATTTATTATCGATGTCAAAGAGTCTTGAAGTTTACATCTCAGATGTGTGTATGTTGTGTACAGTGGCGATTGCTCTAAGACTGCAAGGGAAGCTCGGCTTCCCTTAAAATGTCCCCCCCAAAAAAAGAAAAAGTGGTGAAATACGTACGGCTGTGTGTACATTTCATTAACTAAATACGCGTTAGAAAGCCTTCATCTTTTGTTCAGACACTGTGATAAGAAGCTGATAATCACAGGTAACCGGCATAACTTCGTTCTCATTCATCCTCTCAGCGCCTCAGTGCTTCACACAGCCGGACGCTGGGCTTCTGCTGACTTCAATGTGGAAGCTCAAAGTGGGTTGTTCCAGCAGCGAAACTAGACGCTCATTGGATAAATGCTGGGCTTTGTCCCGCCCATCGGAAGCCCAGCTTCACTGGAGTTCTATGGCGAGAGGGCGGTCCCGACTTTCTCCCGGACTCCGAGCTTCTGCATCCATGATTGGATGAGCTGTCTGAGGCAAAATCCTTTTTTGATTGACAGCTAAACAAGCGAATCAGCGATCTTGAAGAATAAAACATCTACCAGAGCATTTTCCAAGTTATTCATTCCGTTGTTCTTAACTGCTCCGGAGACTTTACCGATCCTCAGCGACTTTTGTCTTTGTTAAAAACGACTGCCGTTGTGTTTGGCGACTCTGTTCTGTTACATACTAATAAACAAATACAATTATGATGTAGGCCAGAAAAATGAGCTTCCCCTCCTTGAAAGACCAGCACCCGCCACTGGTTGTGTAGTATTTTTAAATGTAATTCTCTGATTTTATAAAGGGAACAAGCCATGCCTTGTGCCAATTAATATCCATGAAAATAGCATTCCTAAAGAATTTCCCACTAGATGTTATTTCCTCTGCATTGTAGAAACATTCTCTGATATGTTTATTAGGACATTTTTAACTCAGGATGTCAATACTGTTTATGTAAAGAATGTTAGAGGATGTGTGTCGTACATCGTTGTTGCACTTTCTCAACAACATCATTCAGTCATAATAACGGCTCGTTTGTGACATTATGTCCCAAAATACACCGACGAAGAAGAAGGAGAAAAAGGAAAAAGGTTCATTAACATCGGAGCAGAAAAACAGAAATCAAGAGAAAATGATGAGAGCGAGAGAGGCTGTGGTGTGTTGCGATGGTTACTCAGAGGTCGAGCGAGGTATTAACTCAGAGCTAAACGCCGCTTCCTTTATTCTTTTACTCAGATCCCCATGATCTGCCGCTAATGCAGCCGCTCCTGTTTCTGGGGCCCACATCCGGCTAACACGACACACACCCAATACATGTTCTCATAATCCGGTGTCCTCAGTTATCAAGTTGGTCTGAATTTCAAAAGATCAGAGTTCACTTGTTTGGCCCATACGAGGGTTCAAATTGACTTTCACACCACTCCAAAAATACTGGACTGTCCGAGGAAAATGACCAGTGGTACAAACAACTGATGCTGTTCAGTGTGTGAGTGACCTGAGATAACCTAGTCCAGGTCTGAATAGTCTAGGTAAGGTGATTTAGGATCAGGGTTTCGTTTCCTTAGCTTTTACTGCACTTACTACATGGTCAGTTTTTCAAAAATTAACTTCAAAATCCAACGTGACATGCAAATGTAGGAAACCTTCGAATTTTGCGATTTTATTAGCGATGGCCCTTTTCCTCGCCTCTGTCAAGCAGCCTCCGCTCTGTGTGTCTTCGCCATAGACTGTATATAGAATGGACGCTGTCTGCCTCCTCGCTGGGTGAAGCCACTCCGAGAACAGCACCCTCTGGTGACAGGCTGCAGTAGGTCATAAATCCCGCCTCCTCCAGCAATCCCTATGGAGCTGTGGACAAACTTTATGAATGAATGACACAGAATATAAATTTTTCTCCCCCCTGGTTGTGATGTTGACATGTAGTTACTGTCAGACTGGTTTGTGCTCAAGTCCTCTTTTTTCTGTACAGCTCCATATTTAAAAGTTATTAGGGGGTTCATGTTCTTTATGATTGACACCTGATACAGCCTATGGGACTACGTACCAAGAGCTTTTTGGCTTCAAATCCGTTTGTCCATAGTATTTACAGTTCATGGTCTTTGCTTGACTTTGTCCTCTATTTTTGTTGAACAACATTACTGGATTGGTCAAGCTACAATGAGGGCGCCCTCTGCTCGGTCAGTAAACTGCTTCAAGTGGCCTGTTACATTGGTACGCTGTATTATTATGAGTTTGAACAGCTCGTTACAGACTGAATATGAACTTTTCCTCCAGAGTTCAAATAAAGGTTCGAATTTTGAGACCTGCTGAGAGGCTGCTGTTTTTTATACAGATTCCAGGTTGTGCAACTTTGAACCCAGAAACATGAATAATGCCAAACGTCTAAGTTCTGGTGGCACCATCCAGCCACAGGTGTCCTCTTAGAAAACACAACCACTTTATTGACATCAAATATTTAAGAACCTTAAAAGTAAATGTCCTTACGTCCTCATGGTCCGTACTTAGCATTTTTGGCTGGTTGATGTCTCATTGCTCACCGATCTTTGGAGTATTTTGTCTGAAACATCTCTGGCTGACTGTATCAGATGTGTAAATTTAAAAGCTCTTTCCAGCTGGACACGTACCGCTGTGGTGCGATTAAATCTGACCTTCAAATGCCTGTGTGAGATCGTCTTTTAAAATGCTCCTCACACATCTGCTAGCATCCAAATCCCACAGAAGATTAACATATATTCAACGGGCTGAACTCTGCAAAAGGTTTATTTGAATCTTTTGGCTTTAAGATCGTCAAAAAAATAACTTTTAACTGTCCGAGCTCAGCTTTGAGTTTCACTCAGGACAAAATTTCTGCAGTTTAGCTCAGCACAGAGAGAAAGAAAGAAATTCCTTGACCTTAAATGTAAAGAAAATACGTTATTGACAAAGACATGAAGATGTGGAAACGCTCCTCTTCAAACCTGTGAGAGGATCGGACAGGTAAAGATATGAGAACCGCCTCATAAAGAAGTCATTATGATGTGCGCTGATTTAAAAGCCACTTCAGCCCGGCAGCAGCAGCAGCAGTCAAAGATATTAGAGGTTATATAATAAAACACTGTTGGTTTATTATCATCCAAATGATCTTCATAAAATATCCCCTCCTAAAAATCCAGAGGGGAGTCTGAAGGTTATCGCGTCCTGCCTGTCCGTCAGACGTGTCATGAACAGCAGCGATCTCTGCGGCCAGACTGTGCAGACGTCAGGAGGCTGGGGACACGGCGTCACCGCACAAACAGAGGACAGCGGGGACACGTTCACATGGAGATGGAGCGTACATGTACGGCACAAACATGCAGGTAAAAGTCACGATGTTCAGGCTACTTTTGAGCAAATACACAGCTCATTTTGTCTTTTTTAATGTAGAAGACTGAATCTTGACTCTGTGTTTGCTTTACTGGCTGTAGAAGAAACATGGAATCCAAAGTGAGTCCCTGTCTGAAAATGTCCCACGTCTTCAATAAGTGAAGGATGGTGCAGATCTGAAGGAGGTGTCTGAGAGCTGCTGTCTGACTTGACCTCCACAAAATAACCGAGTCTGAGTCCATGACAGCGTTGGGCTTTAACTTCACATCTCTCCCTCTGATAACAACACAAGCTGAAGTCCTGAGACGAGGAGATGATACGTGACACATCTGGGTTCAGAGTCTTGCAGCGTCTCTGCGGACCGTCTGGGGACACGCAGCTGCACACAGCAGAAACACAAACACGCACACAAGCTGCACAGAGGAATGTCGGCACTATAATAATCCACAAAGGACCAGATCTGGACAAACAGATTGAGCAGCATGGGTCCAGGTCAAAGGTCAGAGATTTGACCCAACATCTCTATTGTAAACTGTCAACTTTAGACTGTTCAGTTTAATCCTGCTCTTAATCCAGGCCTGCAGCAGGTCAGGCTCAGTCTTTGGATTATTTGAGTGAGGACTTGATTCACTAGAGGAGAGACATTTGTTTATTTTCTTTGTCTTTAAGCTTAAAATCATCTGTTACCAACAACTTTAGAGAAACCTCTTTGAACCTCTTCTGACACTTAGTTTTGTAAATATTAAGTTTGAAATCAACACAGTTTGATCATGAAAATCTCCCAGTGTGTCTTTAATGTCAAAACTATTGCCTATAATAAAAGAAGCGTTAAATTTCCAGGGTGTGTCTTACTCGGTTTAACCTCTTGATTTAGACTTTCAAGGATTGGTCTGATAGTAAATCTATTTAAGATGTTATGGATGTACCGTGTCATGTGTCTTCTCCTCATGTCCTCGTGTGATCAAACAAACAGGCCGTGTGATAAAATACTCGAACATTTTCTTCCGCTTCCACACTCTCAGATGTTGTTTTTTTTTCAGTAATATCACATCACGATGAGCTGAGCTGGACTGAATAATGTCGGACATGAAAGGAAACCTCTGGTGGGTTTTCTTCATAATGGAAAAATAATCTGTTTGTGATGAACTGGGACATCAGATGTGGAAAAGAACAGAAAAAAAAAGAAAAGAGGTCATTTTGTCCCCAAGTCAGTCAGGCACATTTACATGATTTCTCTTTGATGCATTATTATTATTATTGTGTGGAGATTGTATAGATTTATATCACTACCCTGGAGGTTTAGCCTACATCTGACCGAGTTACAACAAGAACAGCAGCTCTAAATTAACAGGGAAGTGATCAGAAACACTCAAAGCTGAGGAAGATAAGGGATGCTGACAAATCTAAAAAGAATCTAAAATTTAAAGTTTTTGCTTTAAAATTTCAGACATTTAAGCAGATATACACACAGCAGACACGTTTTTTGTGATCCATTTTTGAAGAACAACAATTATCATCATTCAACAGGACATTAAATAATTAGGAGTAATTATAATCATGCGCGTATCCATGTACGCACACACATAAAATAATGATATTATCAATAATAATTATAATAATGATGAAATAAAAGCATAAAAATGAAAATATAACTAAAAATAAATAAATAATGAAAATACATATGTAAATAAATAATATCCATCCATAATTAGCAGTCCACATTAAAAACTGCAACAGGGAACACAAACCAAGTTTTGTTTTGGTTTTAATTAGCTTCATATCTTCATTAAAACATCAGATGTTGATGTTGGCACACTGGAGGAACAACTTCCCAACTGGGAAACTGGGACCATCCCAGACCCAGAAACACATGAATGCAGCATTAATGGACTCTACCAACTGATATCAACCCCTCTACTCAGGGACAAGACATGGTACCTTCCACTGGAGACACCGCCCCATTATCATCCAATGACACGCTCCGGTTTGGTTTGACTCTTCCTGGTTGCAGGTCTAAGGAGAAAAAAAGGTGACAAACTTTTGTTTTTACAGTATTTTCAAATTAAAGGTGATTCCAGATTAAAAACAAAGCAAATGTTTTTAACTAATGTTTATATCAAAGTTCCCCTGAAGACAAACCTCAACAGGAGGTTGTGAGTCTCAGTTTCACTGTATGAACAAACCTAAAGGATTTACTCGTGGTCTTTAGAATAAATCTGTTAAAACAGGTCAAAACTTTCAAAATAAAACCATAATGCAGAAATTTAGAAAAGGAACCAGTGCTTATCAGGTCTGTGAACCACTGAACAAACACACAGCTTCTTATTTTTTTATGCAGAGAAGAATAAATCAGTCATGTTTGAAGTAAATCTGTTACACAATCCTGAAAATGACTCATATTTTTGTGTTTCTGTCTTTACATTTGCTCTGTAGGAGCAATAATGTTGCTTTGCTGATCGGTTATCCTGTGTTCTGTTACTTTTGTCTTGTTGCCATTGGTTTCACTGGGCTTGGGTCACGTGGGCGCTGTGTTTGAAAGACAGTAGTTTATATAAGGGCGGTCTTACCTGCACTGGGGTGGAGGGGTGAGCCTAGGTAGCTGTAATTTTTGTTGACCGCGCTTTATGTTCTTTTGTTTGCATTGATACACGTCGCTAAGTGTACACATATGACAGCGGATGTGCACGTGTAAATCATTGGCGATTGTGGAAGCATTTTGTTGATATTGTTATTGTTGTTGTTGTGTTATTAAAGCTCCGAAAAGCAGCAGCGTGTCACACAAATATACAGGACCTAGTCTCTGCCTTAAGTGACTTTTTAAAAGGTACTAGGAAAGCCACAATATGCACCTCTGCCTTGATTTGTGCTACTTCTCGTCTTTGCAAAACACTTCAGTTTACAGTCATGCATCAGAACCCTAAAGCTAAACAAAGGCCAAACTGTGTCTGTGAGGACTGAAACTGAACCAGTCTAAGACTAAACTAACCCTGTGAACATGGAAGCTGCATCAGAAAATGTGGATTTATTAAGAAGTGTCTGTCTGATTTTTAGAGACGACTCCTGACAGGACAGTCTTTAGTCAGCTCCTGTTATTAGACCTGAAGATCTTCGTCCAGCCGGGTCAGCTCTGCAGACCAGATCTCAGCTGATAACAGTGAATTCAGACTGTAAACAGTTCTCAGAGAGGATCGCTCACCTCTCCTCCACATGTCATATTCACTTTTTCATATGGCAGATGCCGCTGTGCAAATTGGCAGATGCTTCTTTGCTAATTGCTCGTCAGTATTACACTTACACACACACACACACACACACCAGTGGATTTACCAGCAGCAGCAGCAGTTTAAGGTTCATCCCAAGGACGGTTTGACATGTGACTACAGGAGCACAAACCTCCTGATCCTGAGATGAACTCGACACTCTTGGCTCCTGCTTCATATTGTGTTTAAAGGTGCAGTCTGCAATATTTACCAGGACAGACTTTAAATAAACTTATACCTGACAGAGGAGGACTGTTGGTTTTAAATGTAAATGAGCTCCTTTCTCAGCCTGAGGGAAACACTGGTGGACTTCGCCAAAGTTTAGCTCTGAAGGTGTGACTTTTACACCACACCTCTATAAATACAGGTCAAAGGTCGACATAAACACACCTAACTGGAGGATTCTGACATGACGATGCATTGTCATTTTCAGGCTCCTCATGTTCCTGAATGTACAGTAATCTGACTAATCCTACTGTTATTCTCTGCACACAGGTGCTGCTGTTGGCTCCGCTCGCAGCGCTGGTGGTCTGCTGGCAACGCCGAAGGCACCGTCTGTCATCGATCGACCTTTGCAAGGTGTGTCGCATGCACACACACACACACACACACACACACACACACACACACACACACACACACACACACACACACACACACACACACACACACACACACACACACACAGTGGCTCTGTGGGCTGCTGTCAACCTGCACTGTTTATGTTTACTCTCACTGTTTATATGAAGTGTCCTGAGTAATGAAACAGAACTGCAAGGGCATGACTATTGTGCCAAAAAAGGCAGCACGCACACACTCACACACACACACACACACACACACACACACACACACACACACACACACACACACACACTGCAGGCCAAATCAAACCTGCTATAATACACTCCTACACTCTCAAAGGACATTTATAGATGGAAAAGGAGAGTACGTATCATCGTGGTTCAGAGATATGAAGCCTGAAATGGACTGAATGATCTCTGCAGCATAAAAACACAGAAATACTGACGATATATATTAACTTAGCATAAACTCCTGATGTAAAAATGGTGCAGAGATGTGCAGAAAGTCTTTAAGAAGAGGCATGAAAGAGAAGCAAACAATAACCCACCTCTTTTCTACAACACAGCTCACCGCTGACTGAACCAGACACTAATAAAGGACATTATCAGTCGTCATGAGTTTTAAAATGATTCTGCCATAAATCAGTTTTATGTTCTGTGTTAAAACCACTAAAAGTCTCAATTATATGAAATCAATTTGACTGATTTATCAAAAAGAAACTTCCCATTCATGCCAAACCGAGAAAGTCGTGGAAACAGACGGTTTTAAAATAGATCGGCTCATAAAAGTTGTTTGAACTTGTAAAATTTTACACCTCCAGGTGCTGCCAGGAAGTTTACGACCCATCGCTTCAGATAATCTTTTAGGATCCTCGTCAGTCATGGAGCTCTTAAATCATCACAACTGCCCTCCTCCATTTGATCCACCCTTTGACTATATCACCTGCTTATGAAGATGTGGTGAGATTTAAGCTTTTTAATGTAGTGGGATTTATTTGTATTCATGCTGTTATTTATATTCATGTGTTTGAGCTGCTCTCTGAATTTCTTACATCGATGACTTGGACAACCTTCGAGCTCTGATCCTCCTCTAAAAGATGCTGATTGGCTGTAGAGGCCATCAGGCTGGACTGGACTTTAATTATACCACCTAATCAATAATTATCAGTTCTGCTTCTTTTCTAATTAACTTTTCATATGGATGTAAATATCATGTTAATATATCCTGCTTTCCATAAAAATTGGTAATTTTATTACTTTACTTCATGATAGCCAATCACAGTTGCTTTGTTATTACGAATAAATGTGGAAGTGCTAAATCTGCAGTACCTGGAGCGTCCACTAGGGCTGGTTGCAGAAGCACCAGAAACCACAAACACACTCATCTTTAGAGCAGAAATCAGTATGTTTACAGTTTAAAAACATGTTTTATTCTGAAATGTTTAACTCTATCTCTTCACACACTGTTTGAGGAATAATTTCTTTTTTCCACATTTTTAAAGATATTAAAGTCAGAGTTTTGGAGCATCGGAGGCGAAGTCGGCTTGACTTAAAGGTGGGAACACTGTGGATGTTTGCAAGGCGGCTGAAGGCCTTTGGTACGTCGACCACAAGCTAGACTAGGTCGGTTCAGCATTTCCAATATAGCGACTGCTCCCTTTAAAATTCCCTCCACGTGTTCTACAATCTATGGTTATCATTATATATTATATCATGTGATTCGGTCCATGTAGAGGAGAGATTTCTGAGAAGTTGAAAACTCTCTCTCTACAGACTGATTTAAAGTGCAAAAGTTAGTATAAAAGTGAAGGTTTACTTAGATTACTTTGACTTTTTAAACTCTGCTCCGACATTGAAAGATGGACGACGGACAACCTGAGCAAGAGCATTTGTGATTTTATAGTAATGTTTGTTTTTATGGATTTAGATTAAACCTTTGACTGGACTGAGATTGTGGGGATTCAGTGGTTTAACATCTTTACGTTCTCATCACTTTTAAACCATTAAAATCTTTATTAAGAGATAAATGGTAAAAGGAGTTGTATTTTTGGTCCTCGAACTTTAAAGCTGGTTTGTTTTATTAAATGAAACCTTTTCCTGACTTCCAGGTTGTCCTAAAGAAAAACTGCGGCCTCGATTAGACGAAATATGACGTGAAATTTGGACTCACATCAAACATCCAAACACGGTTACAGGAGTGCTGCAGTTCCTGTTTGCTGTGACACTCACTCAGAGGTAATTACTTTATGGGGATGTACTGAGGTTCTCTTTTATCCTCCTTTAGTTTTTCTGTCTCTGGACTGTAAAGATGTTGAGTCACAGAGCTGTGGGTGTCCACACACACAGAGACAAAGATCTCTGCTTTACACCGAGTTGTAGCATCACAGCAATTTATCTCTCAAGGTTAAACTTTTGCATCTGTTAACTAACTTTGGTTTGCATTTGCAGAACGTACCAGCAGAAATAAAAAGGTTGTGGTTTTGTAAGAACGTAAACTTTTCACACCCGGATCATCTCAGGGACAGTATGTAGATTTCTTCATCTGTGTTGTTAACACGCTGTAACATATATGAGGACGTTTCTGTCCTTTTAATCTCATTTTAACAGACCTTCATCATCTCCTGAGATAATTCATCAGAGTCAGTTTTAATGAGAAGATTTTTGAGAGGGAAATTTCCCAAATGAGTGTTTTTAATATATCCTCATAAAAAAGTGACATGCACGAGTAAATCCAATACTTCAGAAACAGCAGGAGGGAATATCTTTAAATCGACACAAACATCCAACTACAGGAGGAAACGGTGACGAAGAAAAAATGAATTCTTGGAGGGATTTTTTCATGTTGAATGACTGAGCTGCTGACCTGACGTCCATTCAACGACTCAAGGTGATGTGATTGAATCTTTACCTCACTGTACATACTTTGGATTCCTAACGGCTGATTCAACGTCCTTTAAACTTAATATTTGGTAACTGATCGAGGAGCTCAAGTTACAGCAGAGACTTCATTTCTGAAACAAGTCATGGTTTTTCTTCTGCTGTAAAAAAGAGACTCACTGCTGCCACATTCATGCCCCTGATCGTTGATGTTTTATATTGTCCACCATTCGCTCCTGCGGCTCCTAATCCTGCAAGATAATCTGGGTCTGAGAGATCTGGTCTCTCCACATGTTTAAGAAAATGTAAAATAAATGTTTTGTAGGAGGAAGCATCAGGCTGTTGATGCTCTGAATGTTTATATGTTGAATTTTGTTGGTTATTTATATGTCTTAAACGTGCTGCAGCTGATTTCTCAACTCTACACAGTCCAGTTGCCTGATTTTGGAGTCTTCAAGAAAACCATGACCTGGATGAATGAGAATCTACATGGACATGCAGCTGATCTGGACCATCACACTCCTGTAGGAGAGGTTTTAAATCTCCATAATTTCAAATAAATCTGAATAAACATGGATGAATGATGAAGTGCTGAATCATCTCAGACTTTCAGACATGAACCTTACAGATTTTATTATTTTTATCACAGGCTATAAATGTGCAGCTGTTTCTTCTGTTCCCAGTGCAGAGCTCTGTGATAGTTCCCGTGCGTAATCTGGACACCGTCCACATCCTGTCTGTCCCCTCTCTGTCCGTGAGCGCGCAGCTCTGCGTCCCTGCGCTCCGCTCCACTTCATTTCTTCACTGTCCTCCTCCTCCTTCTCCTCCTCCTCCTGTCTGCGCCTCAGTCCAGTCTCTGCTCTCCTCCTCTCCTGACGCAGACCTGCTCCCGCACCGAACTCCGGATCGACTCCAGACTTGATTCGCACCTTTAAACGGACATGATGCGGTTCACTGTGAGGACAGTCCTCAGGTCTGGACAGCTCGGCGTCCTCGGAGACTGATATCACCTTCAGACCAGATTTCAACTTTCTTGTATTTGCAGTTTATGAAGAAAACCTCAGAGATGTTTCTGCACGGCATGATCATGTTTGGAGGCTCGTGGGTGAAACGGATGGTGACATTTCTTCACGTGGGTCTGATCCTGCAGCTGATGGTGTGGAAAACGGTGAGTCTTTCCTCTCAGTACTCGGGGAGCTTCAGAGTGCAGATATTTAATGATCAGGTTGTTTAGTTCATCAAACTTGCAAAGAAAGATCAAAACAGTCAGAAAATCTCAGTTTGAAATGTTCAAATTCAATCAAACAACTTTGATTATTTCGATCGGAAGTGTTTTTTTCCACATATTTGCCGATATCGCGCCGATTTTTGCTTCCTACTCGATGTAATTTCATCATTCTCATGTTTTCTTCTGTTTGCGTTCCCACTGTCACTTTCCTCATATTTTAACGGTCACTCACATGTTTGTTAAACTCAGAGGGGGTCATGTATTGTATTTAAAGAGCTCTCTGTCTCCTCCAAGTGAGTCTCAAATTTAATATTTTTAATTGATCGGTAAGAAAATCCCATGACAACATTTTGCACAATTGCGCACATTCAGATGGAAAAAAAAAATCCTTAACTTATATCAAGTTAGGGATAATTTAAAGGGAGGAAGTTCCCATGAACAGAACAGAGTCTAGTTTTGGAGGATTTTCCCAGCATGATGTGATTTATGATGATCGGCTGTTAAAAAAGGGAAAGAGTTTCAAGCTCCAGTTTGAGAAAATGATCCAAACTTGATTTAAAAGGAGCATTACTAACAAACAAGTCTTTTTAAAATCTTTTATTGGAGCTATGACAAACTGTTAAAGAAATATAACACTCTGAAATGACTGATGGAATCCTCTCCCAGTCAAAGCAGGTGTTTGCTCAAGGTGATGGTGTGTTTACTGTTAACAGGGCTGACGGATTTGGAAGATAACTAATATTTTGTGTTTTTATCATGAAACAAACCATGCAGGTTTTTTAATAATACAGCTGTAACCTACAGTTTGGATCCTTTAGTTCATCTTCTGCCTCTAAATAAGACCGTTCAGCTTTAACTACACTGTTCAGTCCTCTGAGAGCAGCGTTTACATCTGCATGGAGATGTTGAGAGAGAGAGAGAGAGAGAGAGAGAGAGTACAGCTGGAGTGAGACCTTAAAAATCCTTCAGTTTCTGATGATATTAAAAAGTTCAATCTGCGTCATGAGAGGACATCTCTCTCATCTCTTGCCATCACCACTATGTTCATGTGCAGGTAGAAACTCTTTAACTGTTTGTTCAGCAGTCTCTACGTGTTTCCAAAACACCCATGAGGACGAGAACAAGCAGGTCAACCCAGTTTTGGCTACAGCATCTGTGATGGTGTTTTTGTGTGGATGTTTTCATCTTTAAAAAATCGATTTATTGCATTGATCTGACCTCAACTGGACTTTAAAAAAAAAACCATCCAAATATGTCAGTCTGACAGAAATTGCTCTTAATCAAACCTGGATAATGTGGTTGGGGATCAATCCTGGAGTAGAAAACAAAAACCTCAACAGAAGAAGAAGAAGAAGAAACATAGAAAGGTGACCATGAGATGACCGAGCCGTAGTGAGCTGAAACAGAGCGTATCACCACCTCCTGAAACAGAGGCAGACGTGTCGATACGTCGGTAAGTAAATTCATGTAAACCGGGACAAAGACGGTCCAGTCAGATCGCCCAATCGAGCTGAAACTGTCGACCGACTGAAGCAAAGATGTAGAGCGGTCAGTCCTCTCTGTGTTTGTGAACGGCTGAAAAAATGACCTGACGAGTCTCAGGTCATGTGACTGATATTTTACATTCTGCAGACTATTGCACATGTGCATATCCTAACTAATGTTTGAAGGATATATCGTTCAGCCCTATCTGCTGGTGTTCTCCATCATGTGTTCGAGTTATTGAAGTGTTTATGTTTTTAATGAGTCTTAAGCCGATTTGCAGCGAACAGAGAAAGCATCAGTCCTTTTTATTCTGCATGTTCACGTTTGAAAGTCAAACAACGAGGACATTCAGGAGGGTGGATTTCCTTTTTTATTCCACTTGATCCTCACTTGAACTTGGATTTATTTCCACGGCGGACTCATTTCATCTTACTGAGCTCTGTCGGATCATCAGAGTCTGGATCACAGCGGGGGGTTTGGTTCTGTGACGTCTCTGCTGATCCTGGAGGAGTCCCCTCCCCTCATTACCGTTTCTCCAGAGTCCTCTGTCTCTCTGATATCAGCAGGGGGGACGTCGAATGTTGCTCATTTACCTGCTGGAGCTCTATAATGACACTTTAAGTGACTGAGTTCAGGGTGTCTTAGTGTATAAAGAACAGAAAACATCATCTCTGTGAAGCTAAATAACCGCCTCGAAAGGCGCCGACACTCGGGCTGGTGGAGCTAAAACATGAAGGCATGCAGAGAGGCGACCTTACTTATCGAGCTGCAGGAGTGAAGTCACATGATTCACCTCACCAATAAAACGTGAAGATCGCTCATGTTGGTAAAGTCCGCAGGAGAACACATTAGAGGATTTTGTCTGGGTGTTAAAATAATGAGTCAAACATAAAATCGACATTTATGGAAGTGAAAAAAGAAATAAATCTGCATAAATGAGTAAAAAAACACTAAATGTGTATTTTTATTAATAATGTGGTTTAAGAGCAGGAGGGTCTCTGTCAGGTTGTGGTTTGGTTTGTAGTCAAGGATCCAAATTGAGCGCGTTGTTCCGTGTTTGCTCCGTAGGGAAGCGTTGGGTATCTCATCCAGGATCAGCGTATTTGGAGCGCAGCAGCAGCGTAGTTCAGCTCCGGTCAGCTGGTCTCAGTACAGAGGAAACAACATCCTCACAACAGGTTGTTTTTCCTTTCTGTGGTCGATTTCCTGATAATTTGGATATAATTCAGTGACTGCTGAGCCTCTACTGTCTGTGAAAAAGCTTTAAGTGATTTTACAGTTTGTGTTTTTGCAGGTTTCCTGGTGTTAAATAAAGTAAACTCTGTTCCTTCATGCTGTTACCTTCAGACAGAGTCAGCAGGTCAAAGTCTTGTTGGGGTCCACATGGATCAGGGATCGACCATCAGATTGTTCTGTCTTACTGATAAATCCAGAACCAGGAAGTGTTTCTCATCTACAATAACTGATACACAGTCAGGAGTTCACATATGGTGTTTTATTTTGAAATACCGGATGACATGCGCGGTTTTCGTGCTTGACTTCCTGTCTGGAACGATCTTCTCTGTGTGGATTGACACGCATTGGAAGCGTAGAGCAGCAAAAATCGACTCGGTGTGTATCTTTAGTACGATGCTGCGACAGAGCTGATACACGTTCTGTACGCTTTGCTGCATTGATCAGAATGGAAACCCATTTGCTGTTTGATACGCGACGCTGCTGTCACACTCCAAATACACATCCTGTATGTTTTGGCCTTCAGTCTTACCCTGCATATCTCAGGGTTCTGGGGAGATGGTTTACGTACTGCAGCCTGGGTTTGACTCTGCAGCCTGCCTGAACTAACACTAACTCTCAGTTTTACAACTTTGTGAATGGGACTCCTGCAGTCGACACGTTTGAGGGTTTAGGTTTCTTTGCAGAGTACAGGACAGGATGTTAGTCCAGTCTCAGACCTGGTTATAGTTCAGGATCTCCTCGGACTGCTTTCACATCTGTGCTCAATAATAACTGTCATTATTCCTGCACTCTTTAGTGTTTTTACTGCAGTGTCAACAGGCAGAGGTTAACGTGCTCTAACATGTAAACTCTACATGGAGGTTGCAGATATTTCGGAGAGTGCGAGGTAGTTTCTTTTTTAAGAAGGGTTACACCAGTGTTAGTTAGAAGTAAAACCCTAAAGGTTCTCTGAAGACCTCCAACTCAGCTCAGTCTCTAACAGCTCAGGTTATTTCCCTCCTTTTTGTGCCATTTTCTCAGCCGCAGGATCATCAGCGTTCACAGATGTTTCCGCTGTAATTACAGGAGCGTTTGTCTCCAATCAATGCCCTTTTCCCCGGAGCTGAAGCTTTCTTCAGACGCTCTTTCTCCTGATTTCAAAGAGTTGAAAAACGTCTCTGATTTCCAGCGGAGGGTTCCTCCACGGCTCTGCAGCCTGACGTCAAACGTCCGTCCGCCGCGTGTCCACCCCGAGGCGAGTCGTGACTCGGCCTTAAAGCTGTGAATCCTCCTGAAGATCAATTCTTAATGCCACAGGTGACCATCACAGAAAGGTCAACGTGGAGGAAACGGATCCGCTTTGGTTGATTCTCTCATTTTTTTCCCCTTTTTAACAGTGAAGGAGTAGATTGATTTTTTTAAGGATTGATAATGAGTGACAGTAATCTGATTGGAGGTCCGATATTGGATTATCTTTACCTTTAGTTGTTTTGGACAATAAATAATGAGACTAATTATTGATTTAACAAAAGGCCTTTCACTCCTGATGAGGACCTTAATTTTATTTTAAGTGTCTGGGAGGTAAATGAGCGGCGAGCTCTGATGGAAACTCAAACATCGTCAACGCAGGAATGAGGAAAAAATGGCGCCGTATTCGTCCAGAGGCGGGATGTAGATTGAAAACACTAACAGGCCAATAATTGGATAAACACACACTCACACACACACACAGATGGTAACATGCATGTTCTCTCTAATGACATCTTGATTACCTGTCGTTTCTATCAGTGTGAAATTTTGAGTGGAAACGATGGCGGACGGCTAAATGGCGGCCCCGGAGGCGATCGGCGCCCTGTGGTAACGACCCTGTTAAAACATCAATTGAATTTGAATAACATTACAGCCTCATAATGGGTTTCCCTTAAAGGTCAAAGGTCACGGTAGTCAAAGCGCTGGACATGACTTCACCGTCTCTTCGTGTTTTTCTTTGTTCCATAAACCTGCGGCAGACAGGAGCGCGCTGTTCGGCGTCTGCTTGTCATTTGAAGCTGCGGCAGGTCCAAACTCCGGGTGATAAAGGAGTTTAGGGCCACCCAGTCAGAGTAAATGTTTAGTCCTGTCGCAGTAAATCCTCCTCCTGTGTTCAGAGGAGCGCCGTCTAACTCCCAAAATAAAAGATGAGAGGATACGATTGAAGCTTGTTGAGGAAAAAAGGAGGATTTTTGACAGGAGAGGCTCCCTCAGAGTTAGTGTTTCTCTTCAAGCAGCTGTCACAGGAAGTCTTCACCTAATCTGGATTTGCAGTCTGGATTACACCAACTCAAACGGTTTACACTAACTTTCAGTGTTGCACCAGTTTGAGTGAAAGTTTAATCTACAACTTCTATCATCAAAGTCCTCCATAAAAACTGAAAGTTCTTGTACGAGAACGAGGAGCAGATGGTTTTACCGGCTGTTTTGTGTAGGCAGCATGTTCTCGATGATGGATTACATCTATTATAAAAGTTATCCACATGGATCTGGACTCCTGCTTTCCTTTTCCTCGAACACGATCTGCAGAGTCGTTTAAAGAATAAGAATAACTTTATTTTGTCTCTAAAGGGAAATTCAATAAATTCATTCTAGTTGGCGAATTCGCCCCTCAGTGTTAGTATTAGTTTCCATTTAGACGAGTTATTCCCTGTCATAATGCTTTGTTATTGATTATATAGTTTTCTTCTGCTGTTACCTGAGCAACAGGAGTTAATGATGGTTGTTCATTACCCGTTAGCTGAAGAGCTTCTCTCTGATTGGTCACTGGAGGTGTAAACAACTTTTCACCCTCATAGTGGAACCAAACAAAAGCTGTAACTATTCTCAACGTATGGTTTGGTGTGGACTTACTAACTTACAACACAACTTATGCAAACAGTAGCTGCTGCAACACGCCACAGTTTCCATCACCTGAGGAGTTATACGGGGGGACTATGAGAGACTAAAACCTGGACTGACTGTGGGACCTTTGGGATGAGCAGAAAACAGTGCATCAGATTCTGACTGATCCTGTCGGCGTGTTTGAGATTCAGAGGCGTTATTCTTCATGCAAATGGTGGGCGGCTATCTCTCCAAACCAGGTTTAAGACTAAAATCTTGTCGCTGTGTAACCGTTGACGTCACAGCCGCAGCTGCACGGTCATTTGTACGTCTCCCAGGTGTTTATTCCTGCTCGATTAGAAAGCTTTCAAAGGCAAACAGGTGGTTTTCTCCAGCGCTACTCGAGCATTTTCAGTCTTTCTGTGAAGGAGGTTAGCTGTCCCGACTTCGTTATGCAAAGACGTCTCCTCTTTTTAGGGGCTGTTTTCATCTCAGTCAGACCTTAAACGTGCTGCAGGAACACAGATCCACCATGAAACCTGGACATCTGTAGGGTAACGTGTTCAGCAGCAGGTCAGGAGTCGTTTCCACGTAGCGGCCGCAGCAGGAAGCGTCCCCCGTCGTGTTAATCCCACACACCGCCGCCATGAGAAAAGCTGGGGTCATAGGTCACGTTCACCTGCTGTGTCTCCATCTGTCACACAGGCAGGTGTTCTCACACATTTCTCATCAAATTAACTCACCAGGAAAAATCAATTAGACGCATACAAAGTCGTTATTGGGATTTTCTCCTCACCTGACGACACAGAGCTCAGATCAGGAGTGGACAGCCGCAGGGAACTACACCTGAGAGGTAAAAGGTCCTCCAGGTCTACAGATTCTTTTCCAGCTTTAATTAAAATTTAGACATGAAGCCTTAGAAGCAGGTGTCAGGGGTCAAGAGGTCATTGATGGAGGTTACGGTTCGTCACAGGAAGAGAACGCCGACATTTGGTGGTTTCAGTTTGATTAAATATAAAGGAGCAAAGTGTTGAAACTCAAAAGCTTGGGTTGGAATCAGAAATCACTGCAGTTGTTCCTCAAAATTGTGCGAGGAGAAGGAGGTTCTGTAGAAAACAAGGAAGGTGAGAAAACACGAGACGCCGCTCTGATAAAAAGTGACCTTGAATCGGTGAACTAGTTTATAACAAAAGTGTTAAAAGCATCGAGATTTTGTTCCCAGAATAAGACGAGGACCAGCTCACACAAACAGCCTTTTTAACACCCACGAAAATCTTGTTGCACTGTTTTACTCAGCTTATTTTTAACATGACCTGTCTGTACTAACTGCTGTTTTACTTTAACATACCCAAGTGAACAAATACTTTAGGCTTTTATGGGCAAAATAAGGGGAAAAAAAGTGACACAAAAAAAGAGAAAAAGTCGACAACACTGTGAAAATGATGTAACAACAAACAAGAAATCATGCAAAGTGCAGTGGTATCCATCTTTGTCATGTGGGAGTTGGGCTAAGTTAATTTACTTATATGAAAGTGTATGAAATGTTTGGATGTGAGCAAAACACAAACTCTGGACTTATATTTTTTCCAAGAGTTTCTTCGTTTTTCTCTTTCAGAGCAGTTTAAAAAACTGATATTATTTATACTGAATTTATTCTTAACATAAAGTATAAAACCATGCTTTTAGTCTTTTATGTTTTCTTCTGTATATCGCCTGTAAACGATCCTGGCGAACTTTCCAAAGACCCCCAGAAGCTCCATTAGTCTGCAGTTCCAGTGATAAATGTTAAATTGATCAGTGAAAGGTGGTGTTTGTGTTTTCTGTGATCATATTTGCATCAATCGTCGCAGACTGAAGGCTCTATTTTCGTGCCTCGCTGGTGGCATGGTGCAGGCGCGGTGTAAGTCAGGTCCGCCGCACCGATAAGGCGCGCCCAAGCACATTTTGGTATTTTGGTGAGCGGCGCAGCTGGACGTAAGTATCCCCCTCCCTATCTCAGCTCCTCCCGGCGGCGTAAGTCGTAGAGAGGGAGGGGATAAGGCGTGGAGTGGATTTAATACAGCCGAGAACCTGTTTTCACTAATCACATCAGCTCCTCTCCTCACTTTTAAATCTGCCACCGGCGAGGCGTATTACAATTTTCGCACTGTGGAAACTGCCGGCGAGGCATCGGTGACGTATGCGCACTACACCGCCGATCTGCTAAAATACCACTAGACCAGCTGTGGTCCGCCTGTGCTGAAAGCTGTCCAGGTTTGAATCTGCGAGCTTTCAGCGCACTTTCTATGCCGCCAGAGAGCACAAAAATGTCACTGCGCCAGCTGATTCTGTCAACACCTCCCTCTACCGCGCCACTGTGCCCAACTAGGTGGACCTCAGTGCGCCTCAGTCTACAAAAATACCAAACTGGCTGTGTGCCACCCTCCGCCGCGCCGCCGGCGGGCACTAAAATAGAGCCCTGAGTTTTACAACCGTCAGAGTCTAAGACATTAATCAATCTGCTGTATCCCAAACCATACATTTAAGTGTTTACTTCATGCAACATCTTTAATTCTTTAATTTAATTAATTTAAGTGAACGTCTTTAAGTGTGTGAACAGCAGAGTAACAGTTTAAAATCAGAGATCACAAACATGTCTGTAGACACAGAAGTGGACAGAGGCAAAGAAACATCTGCAGCAGTGATCCAGAGGAACCTACAGCATGATGGAGCTCATGGTGGTTCAGAGTTAATGACACAGACAGGAAGAGGATGGAGAAGGAGGGAGATGAGCTCAATAAGTGTCTTTCTTTCCATGCACAGACAGAGGCCATCCACCCAGACTGCGCCGTGGTGGTTCAGCACATGCAGGCCCAGGAGGAGTGCGACCAGATCCTGAGGGAGGAGGAGAAGAACCGCTCCACCAGAACAGGTCAGTGCGGGACAATAACACAGAGTCCTGACGATTAAAAGTGTTTGTGCAAAGAAACATCTCTCGGTTTGATCTGTTGTGTTGTTTAACAGAGCTGCACAAATAACAAAATGCTCTGACAGTAAATTTTATCATTCGTTAACGTCGCTGAAGGGTCACTGTCACCTCCCCTCCCCCCGCTCGTCCTTCTCACCTCAGAGGGTGTGAAAGGACTGAGAGCTGCTGCTGCTGCTGAGGCTCTGACAGTAGATGTTAGGAGCTGCTGAACAAAGAGTCGGTGAGCCCTTACACTTCTTTTGTCCGGGGAATCGATCAGCGCTCAGAGGTTCCTCATTAAAGAATAACAATCTCACATCAGAATAACAGCCGCTGACAGACAAACCCCCCTGAGAGTCACAGCGGGATGAGTTTACTCTTTCAATTTAGACGCAGAAAAATGGAAAAATGTGTGTCCAGAATCTGCACACTCACTCCTCAGTTAGGAAATTCATCAAATATTACAACATCAATTGTTAACTTGTCACATTCAAGCTGCGTTTCCAGTAGTCAGAGTTGGGAATGACATCACACCCGTGTTGATGGCGTTTCGACAAACAAGTCTGAAAACCAAGATGGGTGTCTGCTGTTATGATGTTTGGCCATTGTTAGCTGTTTTTAAGCTGTTCACTATTTTGGAGCCGTTTTTTTAGCTGTTGTTAGCTGTTGTTTGATGTTGTTAGCTGCTTTTAGCAGTTTTTTCTGCTGTTGTATGCAGTTGTTAGCTGTCGTCAGCAATTGTTGGCTGTTGTTAGCTATACTTAGATATCCCTTTATTCATCCCTCAGTGGAGAAATTGAAAAATCCAGTTGAAAACAGCATAAAATACTGTATTTCACCCATACAAACACCATAGCACCATGTTCACAGTCAGACGTTGGGCAGTACTTCATATACCAATTATTTAATTTCACAAAAACAAAACAGAAGTGCTAATAAATAAAACATTACGAGAGCTTTCACTGTTCCTCTCCACTGTTGATGCACTGTGGTGCCATCTTGGATTATGATGTTGTCAGATTGGGGTTAGTGAGGATCGTCTGACTTTCCAAATCAAAAAAAATACAGATGCAGTGGTCGATTCCTGTCCTCTGGTGGCTGCAGGTGTTGGTAGTTCTCACATCGTTGTTTTTTCCATCCTTTCAAAAGACTAAGTCAGCGCTGTCCACTTTGACACCTTAACCTGGACAACATCACGCGTTTACCCATTAATGGCTGTATTTTTACAAAGAAAACAGAAACCCATCCTCGCAAATGCAGAAACACCATATTTCTCTGGTCTTTTTCTTTAGCGTTCATAGAATAAAAGTGTTTGCGGTGAAGGCGCCCGGTCTGAGCAGCGAGCTGTCCAGCATGTTCTTTACATGAGACAAAAGGATCAGTACATTGAAGGCGGTGAGCTCTGACTGTGCGTTTCCATGGCTGCACAGATGAAATCACATGTTTATTAACCACACATGTGCATGAACATTTTTACTTCATACCGGCTTTTAATGGATTGTGTATTTGTGCTGTTTTGTTCGAACAAACTACACCAGAGTTTACTTGAAGGCGAACTGAGAGAGTCGTGTTTCCAGCTGGATCAAAGTTACCAAATTCAATTGAAAACCTTTTAGTTTCTGCCTCCTAATTGGACCAGAACTGTAACATAACCCCATAACATTAAGGTTTTGTATTTCTGCATCCTGTAACTGAGTCCTGACATCCTCATGTCTTTGTCTTTAGGGTTCACTATGAAGTAGAAAGTAGAGGACTAAGCGTTTCTGGTCCTAAAATCAATGAATCAGTCAACCTTTAGTTAGAGCGTCAGGGGTGACCTTCACATTTACAGTGACATCTAGTAAATTAGAAAAGCTCCTTCAAACCTGGCTCACGTCAAAGCCCTCATGAGTCTTGTTTCTGATGAGTACAGCTGTTTAATCAACCGTCCTTCACTTGGCGGAGCAGCGAAAACAATCAAGTGACCCAATCAGGTGAGGAGATGTCTGGATTAGACCGGCTGATTGGTCAGCCTGTCCTGGCCCAGTAGCTCAGGTGACCCAGCAGAGTCTGAGCAGATTCATCAATTATCTTCCCTTCGGTGCCTGCGGAGGACAAACGCAGTCACTGGAACGGCTCGTCCTTCAGGAGGACCGAGCTTCATTTTCTATCTTAGATGCTGAACGAAGGCTTGTCGATTTCACATCTAGTATGAGTTCTCTGAGCTGCAGACGGGGTCATTCCAGGTCTGCAGACTCTGGGCGCTCCTCAGATTGTCTGTGCATGACATGGCTGCTGTCTCTCAGAATTAATTGCTCCATTTATCCGTCTTATTTGCGATCGTCCAAAGTAAAGACCAGACAATTAGCATTTTAAACGGCCGGTATGAGTCACCTCGATCCCAGACGGATGCAGAACGAAGGAAACGTCTGTTTTACGAAAAATGAAATAAAAATGGTGGATTCCCAACTCTGAGAATTCGATCATTAGTTATCACAGCAGAGCGCAGTGAAACCAGATTAAGCGAATAAGTTTTAATGAAGTTTGCAGCATGATTGTCCTCCTGAGCTCCCAGGCAAGTGGAAAGACATAAAGAGATGAAAACTGGAGTGAAAGAGGAGGGATGGGGAACCGTTCTCCTCCTCAAATTAGAGTGATCTGATTACAGCTCCAGGGAGGGTTTTTAGACAGACTTCGACTCGTATTGTTGTCTCTTTATGAAAAACAAAGGCGAGAAATGTAGAAGAAAAAATAAAGGTTTTTCTTTATAGTTGCTGTATGAGGAGGAGGCGATTACAGCACATACAAATCAGGTTTTCTGGGAACTTCTGTGTCACCATGGTTAGAGATGGGTGATATGGCCTCAAATCAATATCACAATATATTGAGCAGTTCACCTTGGGTCAGAGGGGCGGTCCTGCCTCAAGAGGCGGAGTTCAAGTATCTCGGGATCTTGTTCACGAGTGAGGGTAGGATGGAGCGGGAGATCGACAGGCGGATTGGAGCGGCGTCAGCAGTGATGCGGACGCTTAACCGATCTGTCGTGGTGAAGAAAGAGCTGAACCGTAAGGCGAGACTCTTGATTTATCGGTCGATCTACATGCTGATCCTCACCTATGGTCATGAACTTTGGGTAATGACCGAAAGAACAAGATGGCGGATACAAGCGGCCGAAATGGGTTTCCTTCGCAGGGTGTCCGGGCTCAGCCTTAGAGATAGGGTAAGGAGCTCGGACACTCGGGAGGCGCTCAGAGTAGAACCGCTGCTCCTTCATGTCGAGAGGAGTCAGCTGAGGTGTCTTCTGGACGCCTACCATTCGAGGTGTTCCAGACATGTCCTACTGGGAGGAGACCTGGCCGGCCCAGGACCAGTTGGAGGGATTATATCTCTCACCTGGCCTGGGAGCGCCTGGGAATTCCTCTGGAGGAGCTGATGGAAGTGGCTGAGGTGAGGGTTGTCTGGGCTTCCCTCCTGATGCTGCTGCCCCCACGACCCGGACCCGGATAAGCAGAAGAAAACGAAGAAGACAAGTTCACCTCGATAACAATAAATGGACGATAACTACTCCACAAGCTGCTCACCCCCTCCCACATGAACTTCGTCTACTTCAGCCGCTCCAACTTTCTCTCCGTCCTCCATCTCCTCACCTGTCTTTCCCTCTTTGTTACAGACTGGATGGGGTGGAGTCACGTCTCTGACGTAGGACAACGTCTTAAAGGGACATGAGACCATAGCCTACCTACACACATCCAAAACCAACTTTCATTAGTTTTTTTGACACCGAAAAATGGGCAAAATGACGTTGGTTATTGTCGTAAATTTCGGTATTGTTAAATTTTCGTTTCATCGCCCAGCCCTACCATGACTACCATCACTCTTTTTGTCCCACCTGACCTGAAGCTGCTTTAGTCTTTAGTCTTTGTAAGTATATTTTATATTTGCATTACCTCTGAATTTCTCCATTTCATCTCTTCTTTTAAAGCCCACTTTGTTTCTGCTCTCCTTCTGCATAAAAACACATTTTTATATTTCCAGTATCCGAGGTCGAGAGGTGCACTTGGGAACATAATTCACCTGCCAATCCTTTCAGTTGTATTCAGGATGATTCATTAGGAGTGAAAGAACCCATCAGATACGACTAAACGAGGGGCGAACAGATGGGTGGATGAAGAGAGGAGTGAAAGGGCGACACGGCTCATGAAAAAGTGATTGGAAAATGATGAGGCTCCTTAATGGCGGCGTTACAAAAGGCGATGAAGAGGTGGAGGCTGCTAATGGATCGCTACAAAACACCTGCAGTTTGTAATGCGGTTTTATTTAACAGAAAAGATTGAAGTGTACCAAAGCATGGCCGCCTCTCCTCCTCGGTTTAATCCACAAGTGTCCACTCCGAGGAAGAGAGGGGGGCAGATGTCTGCTCGTCTTCAGGTTAATTAGCTTCACACCTGCAGCCTCAGAGGAAACACCATCAGAGGAGAAACAGGGCCGCTCCGTGTCAGGGAGGAAAGGAGGAAGCAGTAAACAGGAGTAAACAGAGAGGGGTTAACAGTTTCAGCCGACTCTTTCTGATAGAAACTCCTAATTAGACTCTCATGAATCCGTGTGTGTGTGTGTGTGTGTGTGTGTGTGTGAGTGCTCCTCCTGACATTTCCACACATCATTTCACGCCGTGACCCTCTTCGTCTCTGAGTGCTCACTCCTGACTGTCTTTTTCCTAATTAATTACGTCGACCAAATACCAGAGGTGGAGAAGAAGAGTCCGTGTGACTGTGTGGACGATTCTGCTCTGGTCCGTTTTTACTTGATTATTTCTCTGTTGTAAAGAAACGACTGAAACTAAATATCGTGAATACGATACCATCAATTAATCAATCAAGTTTTATTTACACAGCTGGTCGAGACCATAAAGACCCGATATAAAGATGGAGTCAGACTGAGCCCCATCCACTCTCATCTCATCTTCAACCACATGAGTGAAGCTCTTTAACAGGCAGAAATGAAAAAGGTTGTATCCTCCGATCGTAGCTGATCGTAACCATTCAAGTTAACGTGTCAATTTCCACCGACTTCTTTCCGTTCCTCTGTGGATCGCCAGACTCCTCAGCTGATCGCAAGAGTTCCATTTTTTTTGGACGCCGGAGCATGGCGGATAAATTCAGCACAGATTAACAGACACGAAATAAAACATCCGGCTTCTTTTCAAAATAAAACACTGTGTTTCAGGTGGATCTTACAGGCGGAGACAAACAAGTGAAAGGTTTCTAGACGTCATTTCACCCCGATGACACCATGGATGAGGAGATGCTGATTCTAGAAGTCTAGAAGTAGATTTCCTCCTCTGGAAGGACACAATCTACTGCTTATACGATTAGCCTGTGTGTCTAGAGACAACTTGTTATCGTGCGATTATCGCTGCTGTTCTGGATCAGAGCTGTTCATGTTGGGGTGGAAATCCTGGGTAAATATGAAACTAAATATCATAAATAATGGTTTAAGGATTTAACATTAGGGGTGAGTATCATCAGGTTTTAATATTTTAGAAGTAGCCTTCTGGTTTGAAGTAACCTGACAACCAACCGTCTCAGTCTACATCTGAAATCCAGGTTCACCTGACAGGCCGACAGCAGGAAGACAGACTGACAACTGATTTCTGTGTGAGGGGTGAAGAATGACTGCTGCCTTTTCATGATTACAGAAGAAAGTCTCTGTGATCCAGTTCTTCACAGAGACCTGTCCGGGCAAAAGCGTGTGCACAATGCAAATCCACACTCAAGTCTTACCTAGAGCCTGAACGTTATTCAAGTTTTGTACGTCACGTCTACATTTCCAAAAAGACTGATATTACTTATCATCATAGGAACATGATGCTGCAAATTTAGAAACACAGGCAACAGTTCAAAACAAATACATTAAATGTAAAAGAGGTGGTGCAAGAGCATAGTGCAGAGTAGGCCCAGTCTATCCTGTGTGATCAGTTAATCCCCGGTTTTATCAGAATCAGACTGTAAATTAAGATTTCATCCAGTCCCGGTTGGATTTTGACCTCACTGGACTTCAACTTTAGGTGCAAATGTGCATCGTCTGTTACCAATCTGTCGTATTCAGGTAGAAAAGCAAAGGCCTCAGGACAGACCCCTGTGGAACACCGAAGGAAGGATCTACATTAAACATCAACACTTTTATTTTGAACTGATGCGTAAAACAACCCTGATTAAGGACTTCTTTATTATAACTGTTTTAGTCTGCTCATATTTATTCACTTAGTTTTTCATGTTTTCTTCAGTTTGGTAGATGTCTTTTTCGTGTCTGTTTCTGAACTCTTTTCCTCCTTTTCTTTCTTATGTGGGATCAGGTTGTTGATTTTCCTGTCAAGAATTAATCACTGTTTTTGGGTTCTGATTGATCTGAATTGGGTGTTAATGTTCGGTCTCTCTCAGGGATGCCAGGATTGTGTTTTTCTCTTCTTTTGTGATGAGTTTTAGAGGAATTAACATGAAATTAACATTTACAATCAAATCTGGTCTTTTAAGGTAAAAACAGTTAAAAAAAAGTTGATATTTTCCTTTGCACTCTGGAAATACAGTCGATTTTGTTTGGAGTTTTCTTGCTTCTTAGTTATAAGTCGGCAGATAGAGACTAAAGTTTGGGTTTATGGATCTGGAGGGAGGTGAGATAAAGAAACAGAAGGAGTAGATCCGTCTCTTTAGACTAAACAGAACATAAAACAAACTTTATATTTCTATAATCCGTCTGTTTAACTACGAGAACAACATCCTGGATTCAGAGTCCGTCTTTGTTTCATATCTCCCCTCTGTCACATCTCACCGTCCACCTCTGCTGCTTTTCTATCACATTAGATTGTTTATGAAAGGACAGATATTGAAGCAGACATCTCTGTGGAGCGTTTTTCTAACCATAATATTTGAAACAATATCACAGCAGCAGGAAAAGTACACCATCTGTTATTGAGCCCATTAGACGTGAACGTCGAGCAGGAGATGCAGTAAAACACTGAAGCATGGAGAAGAAATACAGGACAGCATCATGTCGGCCCGTCGCCGATGACAAACCGGTCTCATAACGCGGTCCTGATGTTCATAACGGGTCACGTAAATGTCAAAGAGGGATCTTTTATAAGTCAGCGCTGTCAGGAAGAGACAGGACAAAGTTTCAGGAGCGAGGTTTGACTTTGTTTACCTGCCGTGGAAAGTTAATCTAATCATTTGATGGCACCTGTGCTTCAGGCATCACAGACGATGATTTGTCGCTGTTATTTAGTCGGCTCCTTCAAACCCATCCAAGTGTGGAGAGGGATGATGTTGTTGTTGTTTTCTGCAGCTCTGACCTGCAGGTGTCCGCCCAGGGTACTACACCACAAATGACCACAGAGAGCGAACACATGTGGTCATGTTAGACATGATTCCTTTTGACATTATTTCATTTTTATTATAGCAGTTTAACTTGGAAATGTCATATCTGCTTAGAGTTTGCTCTATAACCACGATAAAGGTTTGCTTGTTTACATGTCAGACAGTCAAGTTTGAGGCTGTGGTTTTCTTCATGTGGATTATTGCTGATGTTTAGGCGTCTTAAGGTTCAGATCACAAGGGAAATTAAAGTGACGGACTTGTTGATGCAGTTTCAACGATGAAGAGGAGGCTGAACCTGAGAGGAGTCAGGTGAGGTCGTGTTAGGCCGAAGAGGCTGCGGTTCTGGTTCAGCATCTCCAGGAACCTTGTCTAACTGCAACAAGCATGGGAAGATCATAGGGATGGTTTGCATTGATACTGGACAAGTGGGAGAAAAATTTTAACACGAGAAAATTCGCACAGGATGTTTTTAACTGGAAGTGCAGCCGGTGAAGAAAACAATTCAGCCGAACCTGAAACTTTGTCGTCCTGCATCTGATCAAATATTTAAGTCTTGTCATGTGGAGGTAGAGACCGACGCTTCGGGACAGAGCGACTCCAGTTTTCTTTATTTACCGCCTCGCAGACGTACGGGGACGTTCATGCGTGTTTGAGCGCACGTTACATAACCGCTGTCACACAGACGGCTGATCACGACAGGAAAACTGAGACCCTGAAGACGAGGTTCACCAGAGCATGAAGAAAAACACGGCTGTGTGCTCGGGATACTTCCTGTTAACTGGACTAAAGGAGCTCGACCATTACCGCCCAGTCTCTTCTTCATCTTCCTCTTCTTCATCATCAAACTGTCAGGGTGTCACCAGCTTCACTTTAATTAGCACCTAATGAAGGACCTGAGCAGTGACACCTGCCGGGATCCTTTCACAGGCTGCTTTTTATACCTCTACAGTCTGTCTCTCTGTCTGTCTGTATACACACACACACACACACACACACACACACACACACACACAGAGTGGGTTTTCATCTCCTGTCGGGTCATTAGAGATGCATATGGCAGCCTAATAACAGCTTTTCCACTCAGTGCGGCAGATGAGCGTGTCACCGCCGTCCCGTCCTCAGTGTGCGGGCGAAAATGTTCCAGAAAGGAGAGTTCAAAGTCACATTTACGCGGCGAGATGTTTTCCTCCTCGCAGCTTTTGGCAGGAGAACCCGGAGCAGCAGCCAGGAGCTGTGTTTTATTATGAATGAGAGCTGCTGCTGCTTCTTTTAATTGACTCGGGGCCGAGCAGCTTTGATGTACGAGGCGTGGTGGCGGTGGTGGCAGCTCCTCATTACTGCTCCCTTCGTCTCCTCTCTCCTTCACACCTCCTCTTAAGTGGAGTGTTGGAGGCTGAAGGAGAGCAGACTCAGAGCGTGGGCGCTGAGGGACGTCACCCAATCAATCCCCCCTCATTTCCCCTCTCCCAAACCAGGGAAACCCCGTTTAATGATGTCAGATGACTCAGATCTTGTTCAGATTGAAGGGTTCCTGAATGGGTTTGTGAATCACGGCTCGGCGTTCACATTTCTGGAGGTGTTCAAGGTTGAACGAGACGCTTGTTGAATTTTAATTGGCTGCGTAAAGAGAGGAAACGAAAGGTCGACCTCTCTGTCTGGAGTCAGGATTTGATTAAAAGTAAGAAAGTAGTCTGAATAAATTCTCCTCTTATTAAGTCCTTTTCTTCTGTAGAGCAAAAACTCAAATCTCTCCGAGTGTGTAGACCTGATTCTGGTCAAGATACCTCATGGAGTGAGAGATGAACGTCGAATAATAAATGAGAAGAAATTGTTTTTCTTATTTCTCTTTTACTCTTGATGAATTAATTTGAAATGAGACTAAATATTTACTTGTATCAAAAACTCAAATCTCACAGAGTGTGATGTACTGATTCTGGTCAAGACGCCCCATGGAGCGAGAGAATAACGACAAATAATAAATGAGAAAATATTGGTTTTCTCATTCTCATTTCTCATTTACTCTTAATGATATCGATCAAAATGAGACTAAAGATTTGCTCATATCAAAAACTCACAATTCCTACATAACCTGATTGCAAGTCAATGATATGATTGTGATTATAGTACTTTAAAAAAACTTGACAGGATGATAAAATTCACCATACCTGCTCAAGCCTCATCTCTCCTAACTTTAACTTATCTCCTTTAATCGACTCCCCAACCTCTTAAATTAAGAAATGAATGTCATGATGTGTTCTGTTAATTTAGTTTTTTTTTTACTGGTTTTGTTATTTAGGTGCATTTTCCATGTGTGAGTTTGTCTACCTTGATAGCATTTCCCCAGTGAGTCTCTTTTTTGTTGGATTTTTCTCTCTGACATTTTCAGAGTTAGTTTTTGCTAAAGTTTTCTTTGTTTGAGTTTTCTTCAATAAATCCTTAAATCTTAGAATGAACAAACCAGGACAGAAGAGGAAGACAGGGACTAAATATTCACACTGGGAAACGAGCAACAGGTGTGGCAGACGAGACACAGGTGAGACTCATGGGTGATTAAAAAAGGAGGGAAAACTAGGGAAGTAAAACCAGAGGAATCAACTCCTACAAAATAAAACAGGAAATAAACACTGAAAACTGATCTAAAGAATAAAACACAGAGAACAGGAGGGAAACAAAGAAAATACACTCTAGATTAAAGATTATTCTGTGCCTACCTGCAGAAATTTGACTTCTCCTCAGATTTATTATGACAGTTTATGTGTGGAGGTTGTCATTATGTGCTCAGCCCGTCTGTTTCATCGAACACTCAATATTTCAGGAATACCTGGAGGCAATATCTCCAGATTTATGGTCTCAAATCTTAACCAGTCTGTGACACATTTATGTTCTAAGTTAATTGATTTGTTTTTCTATTCATCAGTTTGATTCTTGTAAACACAACATCCCAGGAACAGCTGGAGGAAAATGTAGATAAATTTAACACACCTGCAGTCGAGGATGAGGCTCAGCATGTGTACAGTGTGTTTGAATAAAAAGACGAGCCGCTGAAACAAAGAACAGCCTGTGAACTTATTTAATTCTGATGTTAAAAATGATTGTTATCGTATAGATTTAATAGGGTTTTCTTGACTTCTGGAGCCAGCCTCTAGTGGACGCTTGAGGAACTGCATTTTGTTTGTTTTTCAGCATTAGAAGTTGCGGCTTCAGGTGAACTGATAAAAAGAAGTTGTGGTCGAAGGTTTCTGCAGCCTTTCACAAACTACAAGCAGACTTTTATTAAAAAACTCATTACAGCTAAAAAAAAAAAAGCTTTGCAGAAACAATCATAAAAGAGGTCAAAGTTCATCCTAATCACAACAAACCTTTGAAACAGTATCTGCTCAGTAATGTCTTAATGTTTCTTTAAAAACTTTTAATTTGTAATCTGACGAAGAGAGAGAGAGAGAGAGAGAGAGAGAGAGAGAGAGAGCTCTGAAAGAAAATGAGGTTTGAGGTTAGAGAAGCAGACATCGTTGTCTTAATGAGAAGGAGATTAACTGCAGTTAAATTTCATAATAATGCCTCTTTTTTTAAATAAAATTATACACTAACGCTTCCTCTTATCATCCTGTGATGCAGACTTTGATTGAGATCTGTATGTAGTCATTAGTCGGATTACTTTGGCACGTTTTCTGCAGCTGTGAGACGTTTCATCATATTCATCATGTTCCCTATCTTTACTGTGAGCTCATCGATTTCCCTCATAGCTAACAGTTAAAGTGATAATATATAATAAACGTTGTCTTCCTCTCTCAGGTTGTCCAACATTGTGGGACGAGATCCGTTGTTGGTCTCATGCTGAGGTGGGTCAAGTGGTCCGGGTCTCGTGTGCCAACGTCTCTCAGCTGTTTGCCAATAACCAAGGTGAGTCGCCATCAATCAGTCACCTCCAACAGACTGCTTAATTAATGTCATTCATGAGGTCTGGTGATCAAAAATGTGTTTCCTCCTACTTTCATCTCCTAATTTTGTCAGGGCCTGTGTCCACGAGAAGCATTTTTTCTTGTTGCTAGGTAACAAAAGTTAATTTATTAATTGTAAAATGTGTTTAACTGGGAAATCAAACTTTAAAAAACTAAGTTTGGATAGTTTCTCCTGCACCATTGTTGACAAAAGTCACATGCACACTGTCATGTCCTTATTTTATTAGGGCCTGTGTCCACTGTAAGCATTTTTTTCAGTTTCAGAGTGCTTTTAACCATTTTTTTGTTGCTAGGTAACAAAAGTTGGCTCATGAATTGTGAAATCGTGTTTAACAGGGAAATTAAACTTTAAAAAATGGAAGTTTGGATAGTTTTTCCTTAACCACTGGTCTCCTTAATGGCGTAACAATGGTGCCCCAGTGTCTGATTCTGGCGTTTTGAAAGTTGCATTGATTCTGGGCGTTCCTTGTGCAGTTTGTAGACACAGACCTGTAATGATAAACATCTTTATGGTAGTTTTTACTGCTGAAGAAGCAGAGATGTTTATTTCACCCCTGTGTGTGTCAGAAATGGGAGTGAAAAACGGTGGATCCTCCTGCCAACAGACTCCTGCTGATCCCTCCCCTGATCCTCCTGCTCATGCCCTCTGCCGTTTTTCCTCCATTGATGTTTTCTGTCAGCGTTCAGTCTGGAGGCCATGTTGACTTGAAGAACAGAGTTTGTGTCTCTCAGTTTATTTATCAGAAGCCAAAAAGTGAAACTAAACTGGCAGATATGATGTTGGAGAGCGTAATGAACTCCTACAGTTCATTTTGCAGCTCCGCACAGTGACCTCCTCTCTAAGGAGCAGCATTCTGCCTTCACTGAGGGCTTTAAAAGGCCTAAATCTTTTTCCACATGGATCACATGGACTCTGCTCGCTGGACTGTTTTCATGACCTCCACCTCCTCCAGAGCCCGTCTCCTCCAGCTGGAAACGAGAATTTCTCATGTATCATCAGAACGCCGACAGATACAGATGTGACTGTGATAACAGGAGATGTGGTTTTTGGGAGCAGAGGAGCTGGTGTGCTGCCAAAAACAGCCCCAGAGTACATTTATACGAGTGGAGGAGAGTCGGAGGAGTTAAAGTAAAAACAATGTGAACAGTTGTAGAAAATATCATGGATTTGATTTTCACCATAAGTGTTAAATTTCTTATTTCTAACACAACAGGAGCAGAAGAATAAACCATGTTTGAGTTACACAAACAAACATGCATGCAGCCGTGAGTGCTGTCATACTGTTTATTGTTAGCACAGATGTTGAACAGCCTGGCTCCAATTTAAGCTGCTCATTCCCTTCTTCTGTCAGTCTAATCAACCTGTCCAGCAGGTGAGCTCTTGGTAAATCGAAGCTTTCCCTTCTACTCTGATATCTCACAATCTCACTCCCATAAGGCAACAGCTGAAGTTCCTTGAAACATTCTCTAGGATACAGACTCAACATGGTGAAAAAAGCCATCAGACTTCTTAATTCTTCTAGAAATAGTAGATTAGATTTCAGACAAATGAAATTTCCTTTGGGGAAACATAAACTTCTTGTATTGGGGTGACCATAAGTCCTCTTTTACTTGGACATGTCCTCTTTTTTGGGGGGTTATCCGGCCTTGTCTGGGGGAGTTTATAAAATCCTTCAAATGTGATTTCAAAGAAAGTTTTGAGTTTGTGCCGTGTGGACTTACTGAGTTAGAAGTGCGTAAGAAAGACTCAATCCGACCAGAAAAACTCAAAATTAACTACATGCGGCTCAAGAGGTCTTGTCCTCTTTTTGAGGATTCAGAATACGGTCACTCTAGTCTAGAAAAAGTAAATACCTGTCCAATTCAAGCCTCTGGTTGACCTCATGCCTCTTGAAGACCTTACTGATCTTCCAGGAGTGCTGAGATGTTCACGGCAGGTAACCTTGTGCTTGTTCTTCTTTAATTTCCCCCGAAATACTTCCACCGTTCACTGCAATAACCGAACAACTGTTGGTCTTTCATGTGCAATAGAGGCTGTTATAGGAAAATCAGCCTCTGCAGTAAACCCAGTAAATCTCAAATTTACCTCGAATACGAAGTTTGTGTGATTGAGATGTCATCTCAGTGAGACAGGGTTTGATATTGAAGCCGTTTCTCATGCAGGTCTAGATTAAGTCCCGGTTTGAAGACCGGACTGCTAAATCAGTTTCTACAGGGGAGTTGGATCCGCTCGGAGCTCGTTCAGTCCGTGGGATGATCTGTGTAGAGATGAGGCGCTTGACTGATTTCCAGCAGAGAGGATGAGAGCGAGAAAACACGGAGCAGAAAGTTAAGCACATACTCGGAGTCGCCGGATCGAGAGGGGGGCGGAGGTTTCTGTGATGACCTCATAACTTGGTGTTAGAGGGGCCCTGGACCCCGGTGGATTTCCTCCTCCACTGAAGCCCTGACGAGTCAAGCGCTGAAGCCGGGCGGTTAGATTGAGCCTCTCCAACGGGAGGCTGCATGCAGAGAAAATAATGAATTGGAAAATCAAAGAGTTCACTGTAAGAGCCGAGAGCATGAGGAAAGAATTGGCGCTGCTTGTTAAGCACGGCGGTGAGAGAACCAGCGTTCCCCCCAGAGCCTCGACCTTCCACCTCCTTTCACATCCAACCATTCACCCACCGACGCCGCGGGCCTGCAGGCTCTGCACGCCACCTTATTCTGAGGCTAATGCAGCTGGATATCGCTCCAACCACCCACGACTCAAACCCCCACGCTCGGCTCCGCTCGGCTCTGCTGAGGAGCCGGACAGGAACATCAACAGCATGAAATCACTGAAAACTTTTTATCCTCCCTCTTGTAAACACCGATTCACACCAAACACTCATGACCTTGCGCGCATCATGGCAGCGGCGCTGCAGAGCTCCGTCATTCTATCTGCAGGCCATGGTGGGAGAAAAAAATGGCTGCAAACTCATTTAAATTCACGGCCTTCGCTTGACCGGGCTGTGGCGGCGTTTCCCGGAGCCGTTAGGAGAGTGAACAAACTATGACAAGAACATCTTCTACTTTAAATGTCAGAGTTTCTTTTGTTTACGATGATGTAACCACGACCAGAAGAGCTCATGACTGAGCGTGATCAGAAGAGAGCGAAGACAATACGACCAGATAATGTACAGACCTCAGGGCACAGGGATCTGGACTGAGAAATGTCTGCTCTTTAACCTTTTCCATGTTTGGTCATAGGTCAAAGGGAGAGAAGACGGTTTTGATTAGGGCTGGGCGATAAACGGAAAATTTATGACAATCATTTACGTCATTTTTCCCTTATCGGTATATTCGGTGTCAAAAAAATCAATAAATCAAAGTTGGTTTTGGATGTGTGTAGGTAGGCTATGGTCTCATGTCCCTTTAAGACGCTGTCCTACATCAGAGACGTGACTCCACCCCATCCAGTCAGTAACAAAGAGGGAAAGACAGGTGAGGAGATTGAGGACGGTTCAAAAGTTGGAGCGGCTGAAGTAGACGAAGTTAATGTGGGAGGGGGTGAGCAGCTTGTAGAGTAGTTATCGTCTATTTATCGTTATCGAGGTGAACTGATCAATATATAGTAATATTGATTTAAGGCCGTATCGCCCAGCCCTAGTTTTAATGTTTGGGGAACAAACACAGAAACTCAAACCCGACATCTTCTCGGTCCAGAGGAACTCAGATCTGATTTTAAACTCTCTCCAAAATTCATTTTTTCTCTCATTAGGCTAAATAACCGTCAAACCTAGAGGCTGTTTGCTGGACTTAAATACTGACTCTATAAGATCCATTTCCATGTATTTACCACCACTGCACTCTAGCCTTTATGCTAAATTGAGAGGACCATCCAAGAATGAGGCTAGAAGGGCGTCTACAGCAATTATTTGGAGTTTGGAGTAAGAGAGAGACGGTTTTCATGCACTCGTCCCTGCCCTGATTGAATCACCATCCTTCTCCTTAGGGCTGGGCGATATGTCCTCAAATCAATATCACAATATATTGATCAGTTCACCTCGATAACGATAAATGGACGATAACTTCTCCACAAGCTGCTCACCCCCTCCCACATTAACTTCGTCTACTTCAGCCGCTCCAACTTTTGAACCGTCCTCCATCTCCTCACCTGTCTTTCCCTCTTTGTTACAGACTGGATGGGGTGGAGTCACGTCTCTGATGTAGGACAGCGTCTTAAAGGGACATGAGACCATAGCCTACCTACACACATCCAAAAACAACTTTGATTTTTTTTTTTCATTTTGACACCAAATATACTGATATGGGCAAAATGACGTTGGTTATTGTCTTTAATTTTGGTATCTGTAAATTTATCGCCCAGCCCTACTTCCCCTGTCGGTTGTCGTCATCGCTCCTTCTTCTCTGGTCACTGAGGAGTTTGTGTTTTTTTCAGGGTACGTCTACAGAAACTGCACCGAACACGGATGGACAGAGCTGTACCCGTCCTACGAGGATGCCTGCGAGTTTGCGGAGTATGAAGTGACAGAACCACAGGTACGAGTTTCTCAGTCAACTATCACTCAGAAATATAAAAACTGAATCCTGCTGCTGCTGCTGGTTTGAACCTGATCAGACAGTCTGGATATCATAAATTAACAAAGATTCCTCCTTTTCAGCTCCGGTTGGTGGATATTTAAAGACTCACAGATAAAACAGGCCGCTCTGTCGTAGATTGCCGTCATACATCTCTCCCAGTGATGCTTTTTATTCTCCATAATGACCGTTAATTACTAACCTTGCACTAACAGCCTGTAATTTCCCTGTTATGGTTAGATGGTGCTCGCTGACAGATGCTATTTGCAGCAGGTGGTCCCGTAGATGACTGACACTCCTCTCCTTCTCTGAAAGATCCACATGAACCCCTGCGAGCGCTGGTCATTTATTACATTTCTATAAATATCTCCTGTTTTCCTGAGCTGTGACCCCCCGGCTGCTGAGTAAATATTGACTCTGCTCACAAAGAGGAAGCAGAGTGATGTCGCTCCCGGGCTGCAGAAAGCCCGAGGGTGGAGGTTAAGACGGAGGATTTCATGTTCACCGAGAGATGCTTTTCATAAAGGCTGAAGGCTCAAGATTTATTAAAGAAGTGCACAAGTGAACAACCTGTCAGATGGATGAGTGAAGGGAGATATTTTCAGCAGCTCCGCGCTGAGACTGAAGTTTGAAAATTGGATGTTAATGCCGGTTCACGAGGACGAGGAGTTCTCACAAAAGGGTCAAACACTTCATTTCTGCAGAGACTCTCAAGTGTCTGCAGAGTCCTGGACCTGCAGGGTGAAGACTGATGAACCAAATCACTCACTCTGGTCCTGCTCTCATTTCTTCTACTCTAATTTTCTTTTGCATTGCAGACGACGTACTTCTCCAACTTCAAACAGGTGTACACAGCCGGCTACGCCACCTCCCTTATCTCCCTCATATCGGCCATTTTCGTCTTCACTGTGTTCAGGTAAACGGCAACTTTTAACAGAACAGCAGGATAAGTAACTGTATTTCTGCATTAAAGTAGGGAAACTGTAACTGTGTGTTAGATTACTATCTCAGGTGAAATACAGTAAATGTTATTTATTACAGCAAAATACTGCAATTGACGAGTACAATCAATTACTGTATTGACTTTTTACAGTATATTACTGGTGACACTGCTGCCAGGAAAATACAGTACATTTTGATTATCACAGCAAAATACTGAAAATGTTCACTACAATAACTTAATGTATTTCGTTTTAACAGTAACATACTGATGAAACTGCCGCCAGTAAATTACTGTAATTTTGACTGCACCATTGATTACAGTAACTTTTCCTTATTTCCTTTATACAGAAAATAAGCTGATAAAATACAGAAAATAAGCCAATAAAATACTGAACATTTTCATTATCACAGCAAAATACTGAAAATGTTGACTACAGGAACCCACTGTATTTTCTTTTAACAGTAAATTACTGTAATTTTGAATTTTTACAGCAAAATACTGCACCATCAGTTACAGTAAAGCATGAGCAGAGCAGCTGCCAACAAGACAGAAATGTTCTGCACTGTAAAACTTTTAACTGTAAAATTACAGTAAATTACTGCTGCCAGTAGTTTACTGTAATTTTCCCAGTATTTCTACTGCGAAAAGGAAAAACTATAAGTTGCTGTAATCAATGGTGCAGTATTTTGCTGTAAAAATTCATAATTACAGTATCATACTAGTGAAACTGCTGTGCCAGTCAATTACGGTCATTTTGAATTTTACACCATTGATTTTAGTAACTTACAGTATTTAGAGATGTGGGAAAAATGACAGTAAACTAACAGCAGCAGTTTCACCAGTAATTTACTGTGATTTAACCATTGTTTCTGTCTTGATGGCAGCAGCTCTGCTCATGCTGCGATCTTCAAAAGTGCTTGTTATTTCTCCTTTTGATAAATTATCACAGTGAAGCTCTTTCTTCACTCCTCAGGAAGTTCCACTGCACAAGAAACTACATCCACATCAACCTTTTCTTCTCCTTCATCCTGAGAGCGAGCGCCGTCTTCATCAAAGATGGCGTTCTCTTCGCCGATGAGAACCTGGACCACTGCTTCATGTCTACTGTGAGTATCGACATGTAACACATATGTAACCTCTGCAGCAGGAAACCAGTAAAAACACGCCTGATCGTGGAGCAACGAGAAGTCTCATCCAAACTCGAGTATCAGAGAGTGGGGACGGCAGAGTCCGAGTTTTGTTGTTGGGGACATGTTGGATTTATAATCTGAAGACAGAGAGGAAATTTAGAGCGATGTAAAGAGGTAAATAAAAAGAGCAGGAGAAGCTGTATTTGGTTTTCTGGGCATGAACCTCTCCGAGTCAGAAGAGCTTCTCGTCTCAGAGATCGGGGTGAAGAGGGAGTAGAGACTGAGAGGAGCCTCTCTGAGGATTAAAGACGAGTGCGTCTCTTCCTGTTTTTTCCACTGAAGTGAAGGTGAGTGTCCTTCTCACGTGGCTGAATGGACCGGCATTAAGTCAAGCAACAACACGGATACACGGATATAACAATATACCAAAGTGGAAACAGACAATCCAGGAGGAGGCTGCTCTGCAACACCTGTCGCTTTGACCTCATTTGTGTTGGAGAAGATCTGAGCATACCGTTTTAAAATACAGCATAGGTGCAGTAAAAACGTGACTCTCGTACCAGCAGAAGGGATCAGTGTTTAGTGTTTGCAGAATAATATGTGACTTTAAAGACGGAAATAAACATCGAGAAAAGGATGAAAACAAACGTCTATTCCCCATCGCTCTTTAAAAGTTTGATACATATGTGGTACAATTCCAAATAAAAACGCAGTGCTGTGTACAGATTTATGGATAAATACATTTAAAGGGTATTATTAAATCTGCCTGTTCAGATTAGCAAACTCCTTATAGTTTATCCTGTCATGTTTTTGTTTGTTTTATTTATACATACATTTACTGTATATACTTTTTTTGTTTGTTTTGTTTTCTCTATTACTTTTATCCTGCTGTTTTTACTCTGTGAAGTGTCCTTGCATGTCCAGAAAGGCACTTATAAATAAAATGTATTATTATTATTATAAACAACTCTGCATATACACAAGTATTGCTCAATTGCTCTATTGGACGTGAGCTACACTAATAACATAGTACACTTGATACTGCTGCTTCTGTTACTTTAAATATAAGTAAATATTAAACCAAATTTAATGTGTTCATAGTTATTTACATACGCAACTTACTGTCAGATGGTCTCTGAGGCTAAAGCGTTACAGGAAATACCCAACAATGACCACTAGATAATAATAATACAAATAATACTACTACTAATAATAATAATAATTAATTTTATTTGTATAGCGCTTTTCATGACACTCAAAGACACTTTACATAAAGCATAAAATTTGAATATAGCAATAAAAAATAAAAAAATAAGTAAAATAGTCACATGTTAAAGGCAGTTTTTAAAAAGGTGGGATTTTTAGAGGGGATCAGAGGAGCGGAGGTTGCGCGGGGGATTGTGGCGGTGGAGCAGGGTGCTGATGTAGGAGGGGCCTGATTGTGAAGAGCTTTATGGGTGAGGAGAAGGATTTTTGAAGGTGATTTTGGAGGACAGGGGTGACGTGGTCTCTGGAGCGGGTGTGGGTGAGCAGGCGGGCGACAGAGTTTTGGATGTTCTGGAGTTTTTTGATGAGTTTGGATGATGAGCCGTAAAGGATGCTGTTACAGTAGTCCAGTCTTGAAGTGATGAATGGCAGCGAAACACTACAAACAAATGCAAATTATGAAATAATTTATTTTCTCAAACTTAAAAGGCAGAACACAAACTCTAATAATAAGTGTTAATTTAATATATCAGACTATCACAGACTTTTTTACGTGAAGGTCTGACTTCATGTCCTCGAGCTGTTTAACATGCAGACGCCGCACATGTACTAATTTAATGAACCTTTATCAGCCCGTCTCAGACTTATAACTCTCGTGTCCTCCTGTGACGTTTTCTCCCCGCCGCAGACTTCCTGTAAATCAGCCGTGGCTTTCTTCCAGTTCAGCATCCTGGCTAATTACTTCTGGCTGCTGGTGGAGGGCATGTACCTGCAGACGCTGCTCGCTCTCACCTTCGTCTTCCAGAAGAAATACTTCTGGTGGTACATCCTCATCGGCTGGGGTGAGTCACCTGGTTTTCAGTCTTTACCTGTCTGCTTTTCAAAAGTTACGCATTAACCCTTTACTAACCATGAGGTCTCTCTGTGCCTGCAGGTCTCCCAACGACAATCATAACGGTGTGGATCCTCACTCGAAACTTCTACGATAACACAGGGTGAGCTCGGATTAAATACACAGAAATAAAACATGATAACGACGCACAAGATTACACCATCAGGAACAGATGGTTAAAAGCTGACGTAGACGGAGCCTTGATGAGGTTTCGCTCCCTCCTCCTGCCTCCTGTCGTGTGTTCGGTGATGAGATTTCGGATATAGTGCTTCTGTGGCCTCCTTGTTGATCGCAATAACCCGTGTTGTGTGTCTCAGGTGCTGGGATGACACAGATGTGGCTTTCATCTGGTGGATCATAAAAGCTCCAATAACAGCGTCACTGCTGGTGAGTGCAGAGCGGTCACACTGGGAGATGATGGAGGATAATAAGAGTCCTCCATCACGATCGGGCCGCCGCTCCTCTTCATGTTAGAGGAAGACAAGAAAAGGGAATCTGATTTAGTCCTGGTTTCCTGCTGTGTGTTTGTGTTTGTGTTTTAGAGAGAGGTTAAAACAAACTTCTGCTCCTGTAAAACTAAATTATTCACACGTGCATCAGGAGAGATCAGATCTGAGCCGCAGGAAATATGGAGAGAAGGAACAAGATTTAAGAGACGGTATAATCCTGGACGGTGAGCGTATTTTTTCCTCATTTTCTTCGATGGTGTCGTGCAGGTGAACTTCATCATCTTCATCAATGTCATCCGAATCCTGGTCCAGAAGCTGAGATCTCCTGGTGTGGGCGGGAACGATACGAGTCACTTTAAGTGAGACATGCATCAAGTCCACACACACACACACACACACACACACACACACACACACACACACACACACACACACACACACACACACACACACACACACACACACTCTCTCTTTGCAGCCGTCAGTGACCTTGGTTTGAACTCTGTGTGCAGGAGGTTAGCTAAATCCACTCTGCTCCTCATCCCTCTCTTCGGGATGCACTACATGGTGTTTGCGTTTCTGCCTGAACACACCGGAGCAGAGGCCCGGATCTTCATCGAGCTGGGTCTGGGGTCCTTCCAGGTGAAACACTCAGCACTGATACCTCAGACAAATGAGATATTTATGACAAAATAAGAGTCCGTTCAAGTTTTCAACGACTGTTAAACATGTTTGGATGTTTTTCTGCTCTTCAGGGATTCGTCGTGGCTCTGCTCTACTGTTTCCTGAACGGGGAGGTGAGTCAACGCTCTACAACATCAACATTAAAACACTCAACTTTGTATTTGAGAGCTTTTTCAGGTCTTGGTTTACCTGGTTTTCCTTATTCAATTATCAATCCATAAAACTTATTAACTTTCAATAAACTTCACAACAGCTGCTCATGACGTCTTCATTATTATAACTCAAAATAATCTCAAAAAGTCATCTTAACCAGTGTGTGGTGTGCCGGTTTAACTGATAGAAAAGTGATATAAGAAAACGTCATCAATATGAAACTCAACAGCCTTAACTTCTCCAGGAACGTCACAGCGCAGAGTTAAACAAAGAAAAAAGGACCCAAATGTAGAACCAAGGATTTATTTAAGCAAAAGAAAAAAAGAAAAGTCCAACGAAAACTGAGTCTCAAAATGTCCGACTGAAAAATTCAAAGGAAAAAACACGAGGAGAGAAATTCTGAACAAACAAAAAACCACAAGGAGCTGAACTAGAGATCCAAACATAGGAGGGAAAACGAGGGAAGTAAAACCAGAGAGATCAACTCCTACAAAATAAAACAGGAAATAAACACTGAAAACTGATCTGAAGAATAAAACACTGAGAACAGGAGGGAAACAGGGTCAAAGATAAACTGAAAACTCACAAGACTGGACTACAGGGGAACAGGAACACAAGGAAAAACACACAGAAAATGACAAAACCAGGGAAAAACAACGCACAAGTTCTTCTTAATTTCATTATCACTCACATCTATGAAAAAAGCAGTTTTTTGTAAGTTGTTGCAGGGGTGTGATTAATGACTAAGCCTCTTCAAAACACACACACACACACGAGGTGATATTTTTAAACTTGTACTTTCTCTTCACATTTTGACCTCTCATCCTCGCACACACACACTTTTAGATCACCGCAGAAAAACGCCTCCTGGGTTTCGTCACCAAAAACGTAACTTTTAAGAAGTGTTGGCATTGTTGGACAGGACAGTTGTTGTTTATTGTATTAAGTACGTGTCGAGATAGTGGACGTGGAGGTTCTCTGCAGCATGGGGGCTAAAATATACGCCATGCTTTTTCATTTTTCAGTAACACCATTTCCTGAAAAAACTGCTCTAAACATGAAAACACGTGTTCTCCTGCAGCGCTGAGACGTAAAAGCCTGATTACACGTTATTACCACCTACTGTCCTGGTGTGCTAATGTGAGCGTTTCTACGTATTGGAGGAATACGCAGAAATACCTAAATATGTCTGCATACGTGTCTTCAAAGATTAACCATAATCCGCCTGTTTCATCGCCCTGCTCATGAAGACAGCTGTTTAGTTTTTCTCCTGTTTTGACTACAGCAGAGTTGAACGTTAATTGAATTCTGTTAAATTGAAGTTTGTGTGTGTTTGTGTGTGTTTGTGTGTGTTTGTGTGTTTTCAGGTGCAGGCGGAGCTGAAGAAGAGGATCTGGAAGTGGCAGACTCAGAGTTACCTGAGCTACAGTAAACGGCGGCGTACGTTGTTCACGGAGAGCAGCACCGTCACTCAGATATCCGTCCTGGACAAATCCAGCCCCAAAGAGCAGCTGACCTCGGAGGTTCACAGTCTCACGCCCAACAACGTGTCCGCCGTCTGAGAACGAAACACTCGAACCGAAGAGAGAGTGACTGAACCGCAGATCTCTGAATGTCGAAGGTACCGCCTAACTCTGTGGGTACTGAACATTTGCAGAATCCCACGTGGACCGCCTGATTTACCGATGTTTACTGAGAAAACATGTTTTGTTTTCAGTTCGCCATCACTCAAACATCGCTCCCGCCTAATTTATCCCCATGATGGTCATTATTTTTCACCCTACAGGCGCCTGTCAGGGAGGTCACGGCTCCTATAAGAGGAAAGTTTTCACTCTCAGGACTCAAACCACAAACCCGTTTCACCCTTTTTAAAGAAGCACTTACACCCCGGTGCTGAATGTGGCTCAAAACGTGACTTTAAAAAAAAATCATCTGTGTTTGGAATCACAATGAGCCGCTTTAGTCTCAGCGCCTCTGATTGTTTCTGGTTCAGATCTCAAGTGAGAAGAGAAAGTACAAATCAACAGAAGTGATATTATTCATACGTGTTTGTGCTGAAAACCAAGAGGATAAGAGATTATTCGGATGAGGAGAGAGAAAAGCAAGATTTCCTCGTCTGTTTTCGAGAAGTTTGATTGAATTTAACCCGCTTTTTCTCCAAAACACAGTGTGCGAACACGCTCACAGTCGGATCAGAAAACCCGGGGCTGTTTGCAGAGTCAGTGACGGAGCGCTCGGCTCGATCGCTGTTGTTTGTTTTTGGCACCTTTCTGTTGGTTCTCTCGTGTTAAAGGTCTCAGCTGGAGTTTATCCACCAGGTTTATGTCCACATGGTTTTTTACGCAGCTTCAATCCCAATTATTAATGCACTTACAGCTTCACTTTCCTTTTTATTTGAGCTTATATAGATCAGAACCTGGTGATTAATTGATTCATATTCATAAATATTTTGTTTTTTTATTTCTCTGTTTTGGCGTCTCTAACGTCCCTGTAAGTTCACATGTAACAGTCATTATGTGAATGCTGGTGGAGTAAAAGCTCAAAAGCGCCCCCTGCAGGTTTGAAAACTTTGGCTCCTCTCGTTGATGACACCTAAAAGTTGAATCAAGACTTTCAAAATGTCTCTTATCATGTTTAAAACCCAACAGGAAATCAGCTCTTTTGATTTTCAAAATAATGCTTGTCTTTATTTTGTTTTTAAACGAACTTCCTCTAAAGGCTTCATCGATTATCTCTGAATTTGGTCCGAATATTGTGTCTCTATATGGGACAGGAAGTTGTTGTTACTGCCTCTACATTCTTCAATCTGCTCCAGATTTCACAAGCATGAACAGAACAAATCCATATGACAGGTAACAGATACAGTCATAGCGCCACCTTGTGGTAAAAGGGAAAACTGACTTTTTTGTGCAGTGTTTCCTCTGTTTAATTCATAGACTGTATATAGAGTGGACACTGTCTGCCTCCTTGCTGGGTGAAGCCACTGTGAGAACAGCACCCTCTGGTGACGGGCTGCAGTATAGGTCATAAATCCCGCCTCCTCCAGCAATCCCTATGGAGCTGTGGACAAACTTTAGAAAGTTATTACACAGAATATAAATAAAAAACCTGCACCAAAGTCACAGCACCACCTACTGGTCAAAGCCGGTATGGACTGGTTAAAGCGAGGGTCGGTCAAACCCCGTTTTCATCTTACTTTTCTCGTCACTCACTTAATGCCGCTGGTGTCTTTTGAATGTTTGAGCGTCAAATTTGTGACGGAGAAAAGTCTGTCGTATTCTTAACTTTGTTCATTTAAAGCTCCTGTGAGTAACTCTTGGATCATGTGGGTTGTGGCGCCCCCCTGTGGACAAAGCGGTATCTCTTTGCTGATCTTGTAAAAAACATTAAAATCTCGTTTTTCTTTACTCTTTTAAAACTCGTTAACAATTTAAAAAAACCCTCACAGGAGCTTTAAAGGACCGTGCCCATGTGGCTCTGCATGCAACATGTTGCACAGTGCACTAGCGCACATCTGGAGCACTCGACTGTAAAGCTATTTATTTGTCTGATTAACAGTTTTTACGTCTTTGTGTGATTGTAAATAGACCTGATCTGGAGTTTACATGTATTTTATGAAAATCCTTTAAAATTCATGTCGACAGATTTGTAAATAGATCAGCTGTAAGTGATCCATCAACTTTAAAACAGACAGTTGATCTTTATACTTATACCTTGTAAAAAATTTGATTTTCTTTCTTTTTTGCTGTAATTTTGCACAAAGTTTCAATGAAGCTGAGCTAACGACGGTTGTGCTAATGCTAATGCTAATGCTAATCCAGAACCATTTAATCACTTCAGGAGGATCTCTGTGCTGTTCTTTTGTTGTTTGTACCCGTGTTTGAGTCAGCTAAAGGTACGCTGTACAGATATTTGTACATAGAAATGTAAAATTTGAACCATCCGAGATAATTTCACCTTCAAACACGACAGTGCCTTCATTAAAACAGTGTAACTCAGTGTTTCTCTGCAGTTCAGGTGATTCAACCTAAAGGAGGTTTGCATTTAAAGTCTGTGGAACAAAAATCACGTCTTAAAGATTGTAACATGATTTATTTTTATTTGTGCGGTGTAAACAGATTTGCTTCTGTGTTGTTATTTCAATCAGAGAAATGAGGTTTTCGTCAGATTTAAACTGTACAGCGTTTTTTTCTCTTTTGTTGTTTGTTAAAGTGACGTTGATTTCTTTCCAGGTCCCGGTGTACGACATGAAAACATGTTTCTCAGTTGGTGTTTCTCTCTTATTTGTGTCGGAGTGAACGTGAAACGATGATTGGCGATATATTTCAGATATAAGTCTGTGTAACCTGTGAAAAGACCAAAACCAACGAATGTGTAAGTCTGTTAGTCGATATCTAAAGACTTTCTTTGCTTTTATTTATTTCAACATCATATTTTTTGCATCTTGAAGGGGGGAAACATTAAGCTGTTATTATTTTTGTAAATTTCATCCCTGTTGTCATCATGGAGATGTCAATTTTAATGACTTTTTGGTCGTTAAAAAAAAGTTTAAACCATTAGTCAGTTTTCTCATGTTTGGGTATCACCACCAGGGAAGGAAATATCATTTCATAAAATAATTATGATGCTTTTATTTTGACGTTTTTACTGACTCACTTTTAGGTTGCATTATTTCCAAATTTGTGAACCATGCTTTTATTTTGAAATGAAGAATTTGCTCCTTCAAGTGGATCAAAAGGGATGAAATTTATTGAAAACTTGAAGGGATTTACAACAATTTAAAAGTGATAAAAGTATCTGACAATTTTCATGGAGGGATGCTACATCTAGCCAGCTCCTGCTCCTGCTTCTTCTTCGTTTTTACTTCATTTATTTGGATTTTATCATTCTGGTATATTGCAACAGCCCTGAAAGTTAGAATAAAAAGTGACGACAGAGCAGGTAAAAATATGATTATTTAGCCCCCCTTGTGACACACACTTAATACCGTGTATGAGTTGGCCACCCCAGTCCTAAAAGTCTGGACACGCCCCTGCCTAATGCCTACAGACAACAGACATAAATTAAGTTGCATATTTTACAGTATTTCATGAATATTTATGTTTGAATAAGACGAACACGTTGTTGGTTTTGGTCTTTTCTTGATCCCTGAATCCCGGTGTGATTGTGAATATTTACCACACGAAAGCATTGAGCCAACAAGTTAAAAACATTTATTGTTGATACTTCATAATGTACAAAAAAAACCTTCAAATGTGCACATCAAACCAAGAGAAAACAGTGCAGCTGTGTGCAGAAAGAGATCAAATGAAAAGAGCTCATGAGCAGACAGAAGCAGGCTCACAGCAGAGTTACATTCAGCCATCAGGACACAAAGAGCCCGGCCCCGTTTATATAAATACAGTATATGTTTATTTTTTTTAACCCCCAAATTATCAAAACAGGCAGTAAGTACGATGAAGCTTTACCAAAATGACCATCAAAACGCATAAAAAAGACCATTTCTGTCATGCTTTGCAGGAATAAAAATAAAACAGCGGTTTTATGGCACTTTACTTTTCCTCATGTCTGAAACATTCAAAGGAAAAGTACTGAGTGGGTCCTGATGGGACTGGAGCTACAATGTCTTCACAGTTGAAACCCAGAGTCCAGCCTCAGACCCTCTTAGATGTCCCTAAAAAACTGGACCCGCCCCCCCCGTGTGTGTTCTGTAACCAACACCTGCTGGTCAATGCGAGAAAAACGAGGGAAAATGACGCATGCATCAGCCCGTCAGAGTACAGAGGCATTACAGGAGGCTGTATACTTCAGCAAACACTATCACTATTTCAAAATAAAAGAAGGAAAAGTCACAGCGCAAAACTTCAAATGACAGAGATCCACTTTGAAGCACAGGAAAACTCCATTCACAAGAACGACGGTGGCAGCTTGTTTCTGTCTCGCACATTAAAACTGCAGTTTAATTATCACAAAGGTTTGCTACACACCTCTCAAAACACTTCAACTAACTACTTCATAGTTTATTTATAATGATAGCAACATCTTTGTCTGACATCAACAGAGTACTGGCAATATAAGGCTCCAACTCCCAACACCGACACCGAAGGAGATCATTTATAAATACGTCAAATAAAAAAAAAGAGGAGAAATCAAAGTGAGATTGTCTGAAATGAGCCCGTCTGAACATTCAACTGAACCAGAGCCAGAGGTTGGTGATTGTCCAGCCCTTTCCCCTAAACGTCTCATGATGAAACAGGGCCCCCTTATGGCTGCTGTTGGATCTGCACTCTAATTATTATTATTATTTCAGCTCACACTGAATACAGACACAGCAGAGCAACAGGACGAGACAGTGTCCGGTCAGCCCTTCTTTTCCCTCTTTGCCCTTACACCGTCTGGACGACCAGGTAGGATGAGTTTGGTCATTTGCAGAGAAGGAGACATTTTTGAGTCGTGTGTGGACGAATTTAACTGAAAAGTTTGTTCTTTTTTAACTCGTGTGGTTAAAATAGTTTAGTGTCAGAGGGGAAGTAAAATAAAGAAATGTAAAGTTATAATCCAGGCATCGAAATCTCACTTATTTCTAGTTTTAACAAATGTTTACTGAAGCCAAATCTTACCTTTAATAAAACATGTAAAGATGATCATCTATAAGGTTGAATATCTATGATTCAGGTGAAGGCAAAGATGCCATAAAATACTTATAAATCAATAAGAAGAAGAAGAAACAGGTATTTTATTCTTGTTTAACCTCTGAAAATCTGTATCTGTTTTATAAAATTTTGTTCAGGAATCTCCAAGGCGCTGTCCTTTCAAAATAAAACGCCCACATTATCACAGCGTGCTCATGTTAGCCCTCATAAACTCAGACCCGTTTCAAAATCAAAGTGTTTGACGAAGCGTTTTATCCACTGAAAAGAGAGAGAGCCTTGGAGTTTTCTGGATCAGTTTTTAAAGCTCCAGTGAGAAACTTTTTGGCTTGTGTCTTTTTTGGCGCCCCCTTGTGGTCAAAGCAGTCTTTATCTCCCACTTCTTAGATTAGTGTCCCCTCATCATGCTGACTTTTCACAGTCAAATTCATCTTTTCTTGTATTTTAAGCAGCTGATGTAAAATCAGGAATGTTTTTAAAAATAAAATTAATCTAAAATTATAACTTATTCTAAATCTGTCCTCTTTGTATTTATTTTAGCTTCTATTAATTTTGTCTCCAGCCTTTTAATTATGACTTTTATTTTTCTCTTTATGTTTACCAAAATAAAAGTCTCTTTTTTTGTCTCTTTTGGGACTCCATACAACGTCTTTTAACCTGCAAATGACCAAATACGATGTTAATTTTTGCAATTTATGGAGGTTTTTTAAAAAGAAAATGTGCAGAATTCATAACAATCAAACAGCAAACAGAGATGATTTGACTTTTCTGTTATCAGTCATAAATAATGTCTATTTAAAAAAAACATACAACAGCAAATCAAAGCGCTCGTCTGTTGTTGTTTCTGAGATTTCCCACTTTGACGTTTTTCATTTCCTATCATGCAGAAACGATAAATTCAGATATTCTTCATAAAAACTTTAAATATTTTGGCCTTTCGTTAGAAAATAAAATGCTGATTTTGATGAAAGTAGATTTATCACAGTCCAGTTATTTTTTAAATTAAAATAGAAGATGTGTCATCAAAACAATAAAAATGTGTTTATTCAGGTGTGCATGTAATAAAGAGTACTGTACATTGACATACTGCGTAAATATAGTGTAGCACTGCTTTATTGAAAAACTCTAATCTGTCGTATTTTCTGCTCGTCTTCAGCAAAGACGAGTTAAAGAACTTTGAAGGCCTCCAGGTTTCAACACTGATTTAGTCTCAAGCATCAGAAAAAGCACTTTTGTTCGAACCCTTTTCTCTTTAACTTTGCGCTTTTGTTTGAAATCAAAAAGACAAATCTCTGTTTTTTTTTTCACTTTAAATCATCAAACAGAAGTTAAAATACTTGTTTTGTGCTTAAAGGCACTTTTGGAGACACCAAGTACGTCGTGGGATTCGGAGTCAGAGGGAAAAATCTGCAGTGACATCAGTTTGCAAAGCTCACTCAGCCTTTGCAAACAGAAATACGGCCGTGCAAAAAAACTCAGTGAGGAGTCGATTCGTTTGTCTTTGGAATGAGAGAATTACCCCCGACTTAAAGATCCCGCTCTGAAAGTAACGCCCGTCTTCATGTGCTTGTTTGAAAGCAGAAAGAGAAAAAGCAACAGTGACAGAAACTGCAGGAACATGACGAGGAGTTAAAACGGACTCTTCATCAGGTCCAAATCAGGACAGTGTTGTGATGTTTCCAACACCTTCATGTCCATCTTTACATGTTCAAACTTCCTGCAGGAGGCCGATGAAGAGGCTCGGCTTTAAAACGCCTGTCACCTCCACAGCAGCCTCACAGACACTGAAAGTTCATGAAGGTTTTAAAAAAAATGCAAGAAACACCAAATTTCACAAATCAAATACATGGACAAGAACTGCAGTTCCATGCAAGCAAAGAGTGAACTCATATCACTTCGTCATGAGCTCGTTATAATTGACATTTTCTGTACTGGCGGCTGTTTTTAAAACTACAGATGCACCGATCTCCAAAAGATGTCTTCTTCTTCTTCTTCTTCTTCTGTTTTATTTCCAGTGCTGAGATTTCAAAGAGAGGCTTGTGTTTGTGGTCGTAGTCAGCAAACCTCAGCACATCTAAAGAAGACGCTCATCATACCCTGCTATCACTTTCTCTGTATTTTTTTTTTTTGGCATTTCACAGAACAATAGAAAACATGTCCGTCTTATAAATACTGCTTTTCCACAGTCCTCAGTCTTCAGTAATTGTTTGAGAGCAGTCACAGGTCACACAGAAAAAACAAGAATCCCCCACTTTTGGGGGTTTAATACTGAGCTTTCAAAAGGAGTCACTTGTCGTTCATGAAGACTTCTGCTGTCTTTTTCTGGATTAAAAGTTCAGGTGATGAATAAAAACAACTCCAGGGTCCGTAATGTTCCAGCTGCCCCCCAAAAAACTCTGATTTATGGTGATTTAAAAACACTGGTGTGGGAGTCAGTCGTTAAAATGTGGTTAAAAATATCTTCTTTTCATCAGAGCGGGTTGTAATTTAGCAGCAGAGGCCCACATACTAAGAATAATAGCAAAACAAGCTGGACACTACATTTCCCATGATGCAACATGTCGTTTAGTTTTGATAGATCCACCTGACGGCTTCACTACAGCATCACCGAGGTTCAAATTCTTCCTCTTTTGGTGATTTAATTGTGCATTTTTTAACACTGATGTAACAGCGGCCAAAAAGAATGAAAACTACATTTCCCATGATGCAACAAACCCTCTCAATTTCATTAACCCTTCTTGTGCATGGTTAGTAAGCCTCAAATTGCCTGTTGTTGATTTGTAGTTCACACATATAGCTTTTGAATCCGTCAAAAATAACCACAGTGACATCATCATGACATCACTGACGGGTATTTTTTTCGGCGTGTGAGTTTCAGAAGTCAGATGTCGGAGCTGAAAATGGCGTCAGACCCGAGTTACCGGCGTTTCAGTTAACCAAGTTGGAAAAAAGCAAAATCAGAGGCAGAAACAAGATGGCTACATCTAGGAAAGTTATTTTAGCGTTTCTGAATGTAAGCAAGGACAAGGCAAACGCTAAAATAACTTTTGTAGATGTAGCCATCTTGTTTCCGTCTCCGATTTGGGAACGCTGGGAACTCGGGTGTGACGTCATTTTCAGCTCCGACATCTGACTTCTGAGGTAACTTGAACGTAGCATAACTATAAGTGTCCCAGCATTATAAACACGTTACTGTTGGGCTTTGTCGTGTCTGTTTTGATAAGCGCTATATTATTATGGTGGAGAAAACTGGAAACTACATTTCCCATAATGCAACCAAACCCTTTCTTTCTAATCAGCCTTAAATCTCAATTTCTGGGGTGGATTTGCAGTTAAAATTTACAGCCTCCAAATTTGAGGTCGATACCGACTGATATGAAAAAAATATATCGTGATAAACTTTTCCCCGTATCGCCCAGCCCTACCTCCAACTCCACGCTAACTTGGATTATTACCTCAGATTATTTAGAGACACAAATCTTGAACTTGTCAGGTATTTACATTTCCCATTTTTGGGTTTCTTACGTCAAATCTTACGGCAGTTGTGACTTTTGTGTCTAAAAGAGGAAGATAAAATGTGTTTTAAATGAATTTAAGGGGGAAACGGGGGATAAAGTGTAAAAATCTTCCTCCTCAGACGGACTGGAATGATCACCGTGAGGCTGTGGAGCAGCTGCTGCAGTAAACTGGTCCCTCTGTGCTTCACAGCAGCAAACACTGTAGCACCACACACTTTGAAACACGAACACAATATATACAGAGAAAACCGGGACTCAGTGAGACGTTAGATTTACACCACCAGAGATCCTTGTTGTGCCCTTTGGAGGAGGAAGGCTGCACCTGATCCAGGTCAAAGGTCGGGACATGAGTAGGATCATCATTGGGGACCTGACTCTCAGGTGTGGTCGTGGGTGGAGCCGGGTCAGACCAGAGGTTGTTCTGGGTCGGTGGAGTTGAGCTGTGTTTCCATCACGGTCTCGTCTGGGTACGGGTTCGGGTGCGGGTTGAGAAACGGGTTGTTGAGGCTGGTCATCGGGAGGAGGGTGGGCGCGGCAGGTTTGGAGGCATCAGGTCCAGAGGTAGCGGCGTTGTTGTCGACTATCCCGGACGCTGCGTCCCTGGCGGAGCCGCTCAGGTGGCCGGGGTCTCTGCCTGCAGGCTGGACATCCGGATCTGCGAGCTGCTCTTGCTGAGGATGGACAGCTGCGTGCCCCCGTTCACCCCACTGCTCGCCAGAGAAGGATGCCGGTGCTTCAGGTCCACAGCAAAGTACCTGTTCACCGTCCAGCTGCGCCATTTCCTCTTGATCTCCGATTGCACCTTTAGGGATATACTTCACAAGGTCATTATTAATGGACCCCGCTGGAAAGAGACAAACTCACTGTCCCTCAGCCCCCCTCAACTCAAAGATCAGGGCTGCTCACTTTCACAGCCAAACATGTCTGTCCTCACTTTAATATTAGCAACATTTACGTCCCTAAACAGACAGAAACATTTTATAGAAGCTGAGAAAAATATAAAGTTACAACAACAGAACAAGTTTGATAAATGCTGATGATCTGACAAGAGTTTTAGTTTAACAATCTTAGAGCATTTCTGCATGTTTCTGTTTTTGTGCACAGGTCAGAATCCATCCAGACAAAAAAACAACTCCTGCATTTTTACAGCTTTATCGACTCGAAACCTGGCGATCAAGGAAATATTCACACAGAACTTTGACCAGGATTAAAATGAAAAATATAAAACTTTTTTAACCGATGCAACAAGAAGTTTTTGTGGATTAACCTTTTAATTCATGGTGTTTTCTTTAGAGGAAGTTTTGAGGCTATTTTGAACTTTTGGGTGGTAGTACTGTGTCTCAACCACTAGGTGGCAAAAACCTAAAGACTTGCAATAAATACCTCAGGAATAAGACCTGAGAGAACCAGGCGGTTCTGCGTGATAAGATGAATAGATTAGATTCTTGCTCATTTTGCATGTTTAACACAAAATTTTAATATAATTTACCAGTAAGAGATTCACGTCATGTTTGTCTTTTCTCTCTATAAATCATCAGCTTATACACAAACTCTGACATGTGTGAGGACAGGGATGTGTGTGTACATGATTACCTTTAAGTATGCAGTTAAAAAAAACATGCACACAGATTTAAGATGATCCTTGTTCTGCAGGACAGTTGCATTTCCGCGTTTTCTTATCGTTTTATATTAATATAAAAAGTTTTTAAATAGAGATAATGTGTTATTTCTGTATCTTTAATCTTATTAAACTTAAACAGTATTAGTGAAGTGTGGTCAGATCTGAGCTTCGTCAGGTTGAGATCAAACAATTTGCATTCACACATTTGGCAGATATTCTTCATAAATTTACACTAATATAAGCATTAAAAAATGCAGGAGTTTTTTTTTCTTTTTCCTGACAAATACAGCTGAAAATTACGACCCTGAGTGACATGTGCGTTTATAAAGTGCTATAAAAGTGTCAGGAGTTAATTTAAGGGATGTTTACCTCTCCGTTCAGGAAGCAGTAGAGGACAGCGACCACAAAACCCTGAGGAGACACAGACGGTACAAACGTAAGACAAAAAAAAACATATTTTCTTTCTTTTAACAGATATTTAATCCAATTTCTGCTCAGAGGAAACAACTTAACTGTTAAAATACAGTCTGTAAGAAAAAACCCAGATTTGGATTATCCTTAAAAATGTAACACCCATCACCTCAGGCTCAATTTAAAGTCTCCAAAGTCATAATTTAAAAGGTTTGTAAGTCGAAAACTTCAGTTTACAGCTCTGCCATATCCTCTCTGAGTTATTTTCTCACAGATTTGTGTAAATTGTCTTTTTTTAATTCAAACGGTGACGGAGGAACAGTCACCTGGAAGGATCCGAGCCCGAGCTCGAACACCAGACGCTCTCTCTTGCTGACGTTCTCGGGGGAGAAGGCGAACACGGTATAATGGATCCCAAACAGAGGAATCAGGAGCAGAGTGGAGCGGGCCAACCTCCTGCAGAGCACATGCAAACACACACAAACACAAATACACACACACAATCACACACACACACACACACACACACACACACACATGAACACAACCAGGATTAATAATAAGAGAGAGAAATGGAGCACAGAGAGTGTGTCCTCATTAAAATCAACACAAACATCCGCATTCTCCTCACATTCTCCTCTGCTCTCTTATCGAAATATTTTGATGGAAAAACATGAAATTTTCTGCTTCATTAGAACAATAATCTGGATTTTAACAAGTTCACAGACAAACAAAGACAATAATATAGATTTAATAATAACTTACAGGTAAATACTGGATTCATTTCCACCGATATCTGGGGACTGCAGCTTCTGAACGAGGATGATGATGATGCCGATGAAGAGGACGAAGTTCACCTGCAAAGAAAAACACAAAAACAGGTCATTAAACATAAAGAAAACACATAATAATAATAATAATAATAATAATAATAATAATAATAATAATAACTTTATTTTTGTTGTACTTTTAAAAACAGAAGTTTACGAAGGGCTTTGACAAACAGTCGTAAACCATCAGCGCATGGAAATAAAAACAAATAAAAAACAAAAGCCAAACAAGGTAACTTAGAGATGAGAACCAAAGTAGATGATAAAGAAATGTTTTTAGTGTAATTTACAGCTGATTTAAGACACGGGTCAAACCGACCCTTAACATAGTGGGTGTGTAGTAAAAGCCAACACAGGAGGAAGGTTAAAGTAATACTTGAAATGCTGACTTACCATAATTGAAGCCAGCACAGGTCCCTTGATCACCCACCAGATGGCAGCATTGTCATTCATGTCCCAACACCTGAGAGGAGAAGAAGAAGAAGAGCACCACTTTCAGCTCCTGATCAGACCACCTCCAACACGAGGATCAGCTCTGAACTTCACAACCTACCCGATATCATCGAAGTGCAGCCTCAGCACCGCCCAGATGGTCACACACAGCGTAGGAGCTCCTGTGAGGAAAATAAAAAACACGATGAAAAAGAAAACATGATTTACGGTTTCACAACAAGGAGAAATTCAGCGTGTGATGCTGTCATCTCACCCCAGCCGATGATGATGTACCAGTAGAAGTATCTCTTCTCAGGGAAGAAGGTCTCCACCAGTAAAGTGAAGAGGTAGAGACCCTCGATGAAGAGCCAGAAGTAGTTTGAGAGGACGCAGTAATGGAAGAATATCATCACGGCTCGACACTCCAGCTTCAGAGAAGAAAAAGAGACAAAAGAGAAAAACGTCAGAAAGGACGGAAAAGAGGAAATCTTTGAGAGAGAGAGGCAGAGGGCGCAGTGTGGGCGTGTTGGTGTTACTCACAGTGTGTATGAAGCAGTGCTCGCTGTCCTCTTCGGCGTAAAGCACGCCGTCTTTGATGAAGACAGAAATAGCTCTCAGGATGAAGGACACAAAGAGGTTCATGTGGATGAAGTTCCTGGTACAGTGCAGCTTCCTGAGAGAGAGCCAAATGCAGACGGGCTGAACGTCACGTGAGCCAAGAAAAGCAAAAATACACTGACATGTTTGTGAGGGTGTGAGTCACTCATTAGCACCTCCAACGCTTTTTGTTCCTGCTCAGGATAATTATTAGTTTACACGTCGCAGTATTAGTATCAGCTACACAGCAGAAGAAGAAGCAGAGGAGGAGGAGGAGGAGACGATGATAGTAGAGCTGCAGACAGATGTGAATTTGTGATCATGTCTGTAGTGGCGCTAACGCCGCCGCTGTTGGATTTGTACAGCTGGGATAGAAATAGTACGGCGGGTTCATGAGTGCCGGGGTCTGGAGAGGTGGTTTTGGGAGAATGACTGTGTCTCATATTTATGGAATCAGATTTGGGTCAAAAATAATCAAACAAAACTTCAACAGCGAACAAAAATAAGAATTTGAGATAAAGTCATCTCAAAAGTAAAACTTGTAGTAGAAGTGTAAACTTCTGCTCTTTTACTTTTCATCATACATCCTTTTGTTTACAGTTTCCTCACTTTGAATGTTGCTGTTACTAGTCGGTATAGTGTGCATGTAAAGAGAGTAAATAATGACCAGTATGTCCCACCTGAACCTGCACAGGATGACCATCGCCATAGTGAGGGAGACCAGAGATGTGCTGTAGCCCACAGTGTAGAGAGCCTTCACCGACACGTAGTACATGTCCTGAAAAGTCAATGAATTCACAGTCAGCTGTTTTTTTGATGTAAATGTCTGAGACTTTAAATCCGACCCAGACGCAGTGACAGACTGACCGTATGATTGCTGTTTCCTTCCTCGTACAGACAGGCGTCCACGTAATGAGGGAAGGTATCTGACCAGCCGAACTCGGTGCAGTTACGACTCACCATCCCCAGCTCTGTGAGAACACAACATTTCATTAAAACCAGTCCGTCAAATATTCTGAAATTCACTCAGACGTCATCACAACTGAAGATCTTATCCAGCTGAAACAGAGGACCTACCGTAGTCTTCTTCACTCATGAACTGAGAGAAGAGTTCAGGACAGTTGACCTCGACCACTTCGCCGATCCTGGCGGGCTGCCAACATGTCAGGTTGTCCCACATCCACGGACACCCTGAGAAAAACAACAACAGGATAGAAAAACAGTGTGATCCTTTAAAGAGGCATTTATCACAACCTCTCCTGGGTGGATGAGATACAACATCAGAATCTGTTTTACGACTTCCTGTTGGTTCAACCTGCAAAATCCTGATCCTTCTGTTTCAGAACTGAGAATTCCACACCCCGGCACTAAAGAGCCCTGCACACCAACAACAACAAAGCATTCTGGAACCCAGAAATCCAGAACAAAGAATTCCAGAACTCAGCATTCTGGAACCTAGAATTCTATAACTCAGTATTCCGGAATCCAGAAATCCAGAACAAAGCACTACAGATAACAGAAGTCCAGAACTCTGGAACCCCTTATTCTGGAATTCAGTGTTCTACATCCCAGAGTTCTGAAACCAGTTACTCGGGAACTCGGCAATCAAGAATCCAGAATACAGCGTTCTAACATTAAGGGTTACAGATTAGTGAAGTACAGCACTCCTGAGTCTGGAATTCTAGAAACCAGAATCTTATTATCAAGTATTTCAGAAACAAGATTTCAGGAACCCAGGGTGTGGCAACACAGAATGCCTTAACTCTGCATTCCGGAACATAGAATTCCGGAACCAAGTTATTTGGAACTTAGAATTCAAGAATGTAGATTTAAAGTTACAGAATTCTGGAACTTAAAATTGTACAACCTGGTATTCCAGTGGTCTTGAATTCCAAAACCCTGTATTGCCCAGTATTTTGGAATTTAGCATTCTTGTACCTAGAATTCAGAAAAAAGTAATTCTGGAATCCAGTACAGTATTTCATAACCATGAATTCTGGAACTCAGCATTCCAATATCCAGAATTTCAAAACCTTTTACTTTGGAATCAAGCATTCCAGCACCCAAAACTCCAGGACCTTGAATTCTGGATTCAAAGATCGTAGAAATTAGAATTCTGGAACCCAGTATTCCATCCCATTCCCTTCAATTCTACAACACAGAGAACCAATGCAAAGTATCCCTGAACCCATGATTTCAGGACCCTCAATGATAGAATTTCAAAACCGAGCATTTCAATTCCTGAATTCCAGAGCTCTGCACTCCAGGACTTATCATTCCAGGCGCCAGAATTCTTAAACACAGTATTCAAGAATCCAGTATTTCAAGACCAAGTATTCAGGAAATCAGAATTCTGGAACGTCGCATTCCAGACCCCACACGAACGCCACGGAAACACTTTGTCAAAAGAAAATTAGAAAGTTGAAAAAGAAAAGTTTAAAAGAAAAGTTTAAGATCTGCATATCTTGGGTCACATGGTCTCTCTTGGCCCACTCGGTGCCCTGTTTTAAACCAAAAGATGTCGGTGTAAAAACATCCTCCTCTGGATTTATGTGCTTCTATAAACAACCAAAGGGAAATGAGGCCTTCTGAGTCTGTGACTTTTCAGGTTTTATATCTGGGTCCTGTTTTTACTGACACACTTTCATGATGTTCAAGAACTTTAATACCAGGATGCTCTATTTTGGGGGGAACACTCCAAACCGAAGACACTTTGAAACACGGTGAAGAAGAAGGGTAAGGCGATCACATGTGCAGTTCCTGGAAAGAGCACACAGGAGGAAACTTGTAAACGGTGACTTCCTGTGATTAATACCACCGCCACCTGAAAACTGTTCCTGCAAACAAACACAAGAGTAGAAATTGTAACCCTGCTAACTGAGGTGAAACTCTGCTCCACGCCAACATCATCATCCCGCCCACTCGCTCCTGAGATTGAGCGGAGGCGCCAACAGGAACAGACACCTGTTTTAAGCTAACAGAATCAGGATCTGTTCACGCGTTCCTCATCTGGAGTCTTAAATAATCAGGAGAACAGCGCTCGAGACTCAGATCTTCTCTTCATCTATCATGTAATCAGACAGACAGGCGCCAATCAATCACTGTCTCGCCCATCAGCTTTAATTCTAAGGATCATCATGCTGAGATGTTGGCAATTAAAGCCTCTCCTCCGCCCAAATCACTCACCGTGGCGACATAAAATCAATTTGCTTATCTGAATCGCTCCGTTGGCCTCGCTTTAGCCATTTATGCTTCAGCCACACGAACTGTGAGGTCTCTCTGATGGTCGAGCAGAGCGTGATACACAAACACACAAACTTACCGTACTCTGGATCGTTCCCGGGATGGTCCGACTCGATCATTTCCATGCATTTCTCCTGCTCTCGCTTGATCACACAGTTTGAGGAGACCTGCTGGCTGAAAACCTGGAAAACAACAAAACCACACAGAGTCACAGTCAAGAGTCTGAGGGTCGCAGAGCGAGAGAGAGGTCTGAGGTTTAAAACACTTGACAGATTATACAAACAAGTCCCAGAACTAGCGCCTGACCCAGAGGAGGGGTTTTCCTCTCAAGACAACAAGGCTGGATAAACTGTGGCACTTGTATGTCTCACCCTGGACCATGCCAGGCCATCTGTTAAGAAACCCGACTCACAGAGAGGAGTGTTTAAGATCGCACCGACAGCCAGAACGCCAGAGCTACGACTCCACTCTCAGGGGTCAAGTCCAAAGGGGTCTTTTTCATGGCCCCTCACAAAGCGGGGCTGACGTGGGGACTCATGATGTGGGTCTGGTCAGAAGACGTTTGTGTCTATGCGTTGGCGTCAGGCTAAGAGACGACGCGTCACGGCTTTACGAGGTGCAGCAGAGCAGCAGGAGAGCGTTTATGTGCTGACGTCAATTACACTCAGCAGGGATTCACGCTGTGAGGATTTACTGGAGCGATGGAGACTGTGGAGTTTGGGAAACAAGTGTGGGCGCACGAGTCTGCGGGGTGACTAATGAACCAGACTCGACAGGGGTAACACTGTCTCTGCAGAGGAACTCAAGAGCTGATAACTCAGGACCAGAACAGACACTGGACTTTTCTTATTTTTAGAACCAGAGGAAAAAAATGTATTCTTGATGAAAAGATCATAAATGTGCAACTAACCCTAACCCTAACCTTAACCTTAACCCCAACCCTAACCCTAGCACTGGAGTTTTCTTATTTTTAAGATGAGGGGAAAAAAGTATTCTGGCTTAAAATATCATGAATGTGCAACTAACTCTAACCCTAAACCTAACTCTAACCTCTAACCCCTAACTTGACCTAACCCTAATCTTAACTCTAACCCTAACCTAACCCTAACTCTAACTTTAACCCCCTAACCCTAAACCCTAACCTTAACCTTACCCTTACTCTAACCCCTAACCGTAACCTTAACCCTAATCTTAACCTAACCCAAACACTAACTCCTAACCCTAACCCTGAAACCCTAAACTTAACTCTAACCTTAACCCCTAACTCTAAGCCCTAATCCTAACTCTAGACCTAACCATAACCTAACCCTAACCCTAACTCTAACTTTAACCCTAACCCCTAACTTAACCCTAACCTTAACCTAAACCTTACTCTAACCCCTAACCCTAACCTTAACCCTAACTCTGTCCCTCTAACTCTAACCCCTAACTTGACCCAACCCTAACCCTAATCTTAACCTAACATTAATCTTAACTCTAACCCTAACCTTAATCTTAACTCTAACCCTAACCTTAATCCTAACTCTAACTCTAACCCTAGAAAGTTGTTTAGTAGATCTGGCTCAATAAATTGTTTCGTCTCATGAGTAGAAACGGTTAAAGATTCTGATTCAGTAATATTTAACTCATGAGCAATTTGCATGTTTGCTCACAAGTTTTATTTTCTTGTGTGTCGGAATTGGAGAAATTCATCCTAGATCGAAATTTTCTCGTTTTTCCAGTCAATTTTTTTTGTTATTTTTAACTTTTTTAACTGGACACATTCATATTTTAGTTTTCTCTCTGTGGATGTGGGCGATTGGACCAAGTCTTTGCATCACCAGTGACCATATAAATCCACACGCTCTCGTCACAAACAAGTTTGTTGTTGCAGATTATAAAGTGACCATTATACCTGAAAAGTGTAAAACAACGAGTGAGACAGGCTGAGATACATGAAAGGTCAAAAGGTCAAACCAAATCTATTAAAGGCTCTTTACACCCACTCAGGAAAATGTCAAACAAGCCAGCAGCACACGCCCACACAGAGCTGAGGAAAGGTCAAAGCAGGTCAGCTGAGCAGAAACATCTGAGGAGGGTCTTAGTGTGAAGGAAACATCATCAACAACATGACAGTTTCTTTAAGAGGCATCAACCTTTTTGTTCAGAGACCTGGACCATCAGGGGTCCGCTAAAAGGTGGGCTGTACTGTAGATGAAGACCTTTAGAGGTGCTAAAGAAACTCAGATCCCTTGTGGTTTACACCCTGGCGCTAAATAAGAAAGGAACTAAGAGTCTGGATCTCTGTTGGAGCAGCCCTCGTGGAGATCTCAGGGTCTCCTCAAACTCTAATCGATCCTCATCTGTCACATCCAGAAGATGTTTGGTACCGTTTCTTTTGACGTCTTTGGACACTCTGGATGAGAGCACCACAAACTGCTTATTTATCTGCAGAAGAAGGACCAAAGTCCATCCTCTTCTCCAGAAGGACGATTGAGACCTCGTCTTGTTGATTCCTATTTTTCTCTCTCGTCTGACATCCACCCAGGTCGAAGGCTGGGCGTACACCGAGCAAACTGGGTTTTATTTTGGAGTCAGACATCTGATTCAACGATGTGTTTTCTCCTGAAAAGAGGAGGAGGTCTTCTTCTTCACTGCCGATTTGAACAGACAGAAACGATGTCGAATAAACAACAGATAAGTGACTTCATCCTCAGCCGTCCCTCCTGCCACACACTGAGTGATGAATTATTGATGCAGACCCTCTGTTTGGTTACTCTAACTCTGAGTGTTTGTACAAATGTTTAATCTCAGGCTTTAACCCCAGTTTGATCAATTTATTCATGTGACGCTCCACCTGCTGCTGAACCTGTTTACACATTCATCACTTTGGCTGTAAGTTCAGACAGAAACCCAACAAAGATCGGACATTTGATACTCAAAAAGGTAGAAGAATAAACATAGAAGTCATCTCACCAAGGAGAAGAGGATGAGGAGGGGGAGGGTCAGCGGGGGGACAGAAGCTGAGGACATTTTGGGTTTCTCTGTTCGGGGAGCTCTTCAAGACAGACGGACCTGACGGGACCTCAGCTCACCTCGGGATCTGAAAAGAGTGAGAGAAAGAGTGAGATAGTTAAAAGAAGGGTCTTTATTAAGCTCTGTTTACACTAAAGAGCACTCAGAGCACTCATTAAAAATCCATTTGGACCCGAGTTGGCCTCGCAGTAAACACGTGATGCATTAAACCAGTTTCTCCGTTTAGATTATTTAGATTAGGACGACATCAGATCCACTAAAAACCAAAAAACAGAAAAGAGTCTTCTGAGAGAAAAAGCAGGAAAAGCTGAAGAGAGCTCCTGGTGACCGGCTTCACACCTCCAACACGTTATCAGAGTAAACACACGTCCATGCCTGGCTCTGGAAAAACACTCTCCATGCCAGCGCAGCGTGAATGAACCTGCTCACTCCTGACTTTGATTGGTGCAAATATACCACACAACATCACCACGGCGGAGTTTGGTGTTTGGTCTTTTGCACAGATTTTCACACACAAGTTTAATTTCATAACTCATGAAAGATCACGGTATAGAGGTGCTGGCTTGGCCTTAGAGTAGGAATGCATGCACCATTTGCAAAGTCCTTAAAGCAGGTGACCCAGGTCCAGATCCAGCCCTGAATCAGTCACAGTTTCCCCCTAAAAAAGGAATAAAAGCCCCCAAATGATCCATAAAAGTTACACATTCACGACCATTCTCAAACGTGACATTTAACCACGTATTTCTGCAGGACTGTGGTGTTAAAAATGTACATTTCCTCCCTGAAGTCTCCAGATAAAGTCGTCCCGTCTCTACTCTGGCTGAATATGTATTCAAACATGTCGTGTTGCGTGTCTGTGTGCATGACTCTGTGTGTCCTCGTGGACGCAGCCTGACTCTGCAGGCCCGGGGGGCTTCGCATGAGTGAAGCCAAGTACCAGGACTGAGTAGGGCTGAGCGCTCGGCCCCCGTCCCACAGGGAGGGCTCGACAGCTTGGCATCTCTACTATACCGAAACCTCGCCAGCAACAAGCCCCTCCCCTCCTCTCGCCGTTGTCAAGAGCAACAGCTGAGAGCTGCTGAGTTTGGATCTGAGTTGAACCATGTGGACCTGGACTCTCCTTCTGCTCAACAGCAGACAGAAGGACTTAGATTTCATAATGTACAGATAAAACATAGAGAGACGATTTCATTTCTCTTTCTTTTTCAAATTTCTTTTTGGACGTTTTTGAGTTTTTATTTTGGAGGGAATAAACAAGGAGAGAGAGGGGAGTAAGAGGGGTCACATGGAACAGAACCCAGCCTGCCTGTTTTAAGGTCAAAAGCCTCTGAACATGGGACACCCTCAGACCTCTGGGCCAACTGTACCCCTAATGGTGCTTTTTTACTTTGGTCTGATCCAACAAACCCTGTAATTGTGTGCATTTCCACAGCTCACTATCAGTGTTGTGCCCGAGGCGAGGGTTCATATTCCAGGCGAACGTGAATGTATCATTCGTTATTTGCGTATGAACATGTTGGTGTTGAACGTGCTCATTCTGGCGTCTGTGAGCAGCGTTCTTAACTCTGTTTACAAGGGTGCCAGATGTGCAGATCCTTCCAGGTGAAACCCCGGCTAAAACACACTGTGAACACGCCTTAATATTTAGCGGAAAACCACCCAATCTGGCAATGGCAAGAAACCTGTCTGTCGCTCCAATGAATACATCAGTCATCACAACGTCAGTATAGGTGAATAGAATTTGATGTGAATTATTTCCAGGTCGGTTTGGAAAAGTATTGAAATGAAAAAAAAAAAAATGTTGTTGTAATCCTAATACAGAGTCTAAAAACCGTCCAAGCAGCAGGTTTTCTTCATGTTTATGAAAATACACTCTAGAGATGAACGTTCCTACTAGTGAGGACTGAACTAAACATCAGGGAAACGCCGGTATTCTACGGGCTGTCCTCTTAAAGCTATTGTAAACCTGGTTGGATTAGGACTCAAAAATAGATATGAAGATTAATCTGATGTAGTTTCAGTGTTAAAACCGCTAAAATAATTGCAGTCTGTGGTTCTATATGGGCTCGTTTGGTTGCAGCAAAGTATTGGAGAAAAAAAAAAGAACTAAATTAGTTCATTTTTGGGAACCATGAACTCCAGTTCAAATGTGAAATAATGAATGATGAACTGAAATAGTTTATTTTAAAAATGTGTGAACTGAACTTTGGTCTAGTTCAGGTAGAAAGTGAATGTTCCCAACACTGCCCACTATCATGGTGCTTCATTCAGGAAGTGTGTTGGCTGCGATTGTGGTGAAATGTGTCAACAAACTGAACTGTTTTGACTGCTGGTGTGAGCAGCACTGATTATTTGGTGGTTATTTGGTGAAAGGAGTGACTTGTACCGGCTGAAAAAGTCCTGCTGGATCCCCAGAACCTGTCAAAGGAGAGCAGACCGATGACCAATCAGAATCCAGCATGTAGCACAGCTGTAAAATAAAAATTCATAACACACCCTGCGCTGACAGTACCTTCATTCATATTTTAGGTCACTGAGGGAAACCAAAGAGAAAAACAACAAAAGCAGACAGGACCTGAATGGGGGTCTGCAGCTCTGCCAAGGCCACCAGGATGGCTGCTGATGGTCTTCCATAGAAAGCTTTCAGGGTGAGTGCTCAAACACAAACTGCCATTAATTCAATTGTGAGGGAAAAACACTCACATGTTCAAAACCACCAAAAACACTGATGGTATCTGGCCTTCCCGCTGTGGGAGTCCACTCACTTTGAAAGTGTGTTTGGAGGAGGACGGAAACAAAGAGTCGCTTTCTGTGAAACCAGAACTCCAACTTCCCCGGAAAGATGGGATCTTACTAAAGAATAAAAACATGTTTAAAAGATACGATCATGGAACACTTGAGAGTTATCTGTCCGTTCAACATACTTTCCCTCTGAGGAGAGCTCACCCACAGTGAAGTCCTTAAAGGTGAGGTGTTGAACTTTCTTATATTTGTGTCTAAAACCTGAGGTAGTTTGAGTTTTAAATGAATAAAATGTTTAAAAGTGTTTAAAGAAAAATCAAGAAGAAATCTGAAACAAGCAAAACAAACTGAAACAGCAACAACGCTAGACCTGATCCAATTCACCTGGTGAAACGTCTACATCCATCCATCCATCCATCGATTCATCCATCCATCAAGCCTTTACTGATCCATCCACGCATCCATCCATCCATCCATCATTTACTTATGCATCCATCCCATTCACTTTCATCCATTACTCATCCATCTATCCATCCATGCATCCATCCATCCCTCAAACCATATATTCATCCATCCAATACTCATCCAACCTTCCACCTTTTATCCATCCATCCTTTACTTATGGATCCATTCCACTCACCATTCATCCATCATTCAGTTAATGCATCCATCCATCCATTCATCCATCCATCTATCCTTCACTTATCCAGTCATCCACTCTTTACTAATGCATGCATGCTTCCATCCATCCATCATTTTCTCATCCATCATTTACTCATCCATCCATCCATCCTTTACTCATCCATCCATCCATCCATCTATCCATCCATCCTTTTCTCATCCATCCCTCTATCCATCCTTTACTTATCCATCCATCCATCATCCTTCCATCCTTTACCCCTCTTTCCATCCATCCATCCTTTACTCATCCTTTACTTATGCATCCATTCCACTCACCATTCATCCATCTTTCAGTCAATGCATCTATCAATCTATCCATCATCCATCCACCCACTATGCATGCATTCTTTTATCCATCCTTCAATCATCCATTCATCCATCCGTACAGCTAACCTTACATCCATCTGTCTATCCATCCATTCATGGATGTAGTCACCTATCCTCTTTAGTGACACTTGAGAGAGTTACATTAAAACTGTTTTTCTAATGATATCATGATTTTAATAGAAAGAGGAACTAAAGAGTCAATTATGAAAATAAAAGAGACGGGACTAATTTTAAATACAGACAAAGAAAACAAACATCAAACAGCCTGAAGTTAAAAACACTTAAAGAAGAGTTTTCAGTCAAAAATAAGACGTTAAGTTTGAGACCAACAACAGCAGCAGTGCTCTCTCTCTCTCCAAAGCCAGCAGACTCCAGGGACCAAAATGATCCTTTTAAATCCAAGAACACAAGACTTCCTGCTCTGATCTGTCACAGCTGGTCCAGCTGTCTGGGATCTCTAGAGTAAAGGTCTGAACATCCAGGACTTAATCTGAACCAGGGTTTGACCGGCTGAAGTGAAGTCATGACACCAACACGTCAAAAACACATTTTTGTCTGACAGTTTTAATAAACAGTTTGTTTTGGGGTTCAGGGTGGGACTGTAAAAACGTCTGAGACTGCACTTCTCCAAAGTTACTCTCCAGCTGTTGTTGCATCACATCATCATGGACTAAACAACATTATCAAGAAGTTCAGGGCCGTCGTCAAGGGAGCGATTTTAAACAAAACATCAGAGCCCAACAACATCACGCACAGCTGGACGAAAAAGTTGGTGCACCTTACGAAACCAGTAGATTTCCTGCTAAAATGTGATCTAAACAAGATGGCTGCTAACTTCTGTACGCTGCAACTTCAGAAGCTTCGTTTAATATGTGAACTGTCTGCAGTGAATGTTTAGACGGTGCAGGATTTGCTGATGTCTCTTCTTCTTCTTTTCTTTTAGCACCTGATCAGAGAATCCGTCCAAACCAGTACCCCCACTTTAAAAGATTTGAGTCATGATGCTTGAAAATCAGAGACAGAGATGGTAGCAGATGGATTGAGGTCTGACACCGGGCGTCATTCATTCATCAGTCACACAGACTCAAATGTAAGAGAGTGATAGATGGAGCAGAGATTAGAAAAGACAGTGTGACCACACGGCAGCCTGCAGCGCCAACACCTCCTACGCTCCTCCGCCTGTGAGCAACACTTTCAATCCACTGCTGCTTCCTCTCTGCTTCTCTTTTAGTCATACAGATTAATGCAGGAGATGCTGGATCTGATCAGAAACAGAAGAAGGCTTTTCCCTCTTCTATGTTTAGCTGATAAAGTGCATGAAAAATGTCAGGTCTCTCAGCCCTCCAAAGGATCTCAGCTTTGACCATCATCGAGATTCTATGTACGAAATGCAGTCTTTTTGCAGAATTATTAAATTATTTTTGGTGTGATATCCTTTGTCAAAGATATCAGCCATCAGTGTGTCAACTTTAGCTCTTAAAGTGCAGGACGCTGTGTTTTAATGTGCAAAACTCTCATGAACCAGGGGTAAACGAAAGAAAAGGACCCAAATGCAGAACGAAGGATTTAATTAAAAAGAACTAAATGAAAAAACGACAAAAACTTTCTTTAAAGTGTCCGACAAGGATACAACAACGACTATCAAAGACACTCACTGACCAACAAACACACACACAATGAACAAACCAGGACAGAGGGAAAGACAGAGACTATATACACACTCTGGGAAACGAGGAACAGGTGAGACTCATGGGTGATTAACAAAGGAGGGAAAAATAGGGAAGTAAAAACCAGAGGAATCAGTTCCTACAAAATAAAACACTGAAAACGAATCTAAAGAATAAAACACAGAGAACAGGAGGGAAACAGGGTCAAAGACAAACTGAAAACTCACAAGACTGGACTACAGGGGGACAGAAACACTTGGAAAAATATATAGAAAATGCACTAAAACAACAAAACCAGGAAAAAACTAAATTAACAGAACATCATGACAGTTCTGCTTTATGCACAAGGTTTGAAGAGGAGAGAGGAGGGAGGAAGCAGAGCAGGAGGAGGCAGGGGTTCGTAGAGTGAGGTCTAAAATCTTGAAAAGACTAAATTATTTGTTCGATCTGCAGCCTGTGATATCAGACAGTAAACTGTATTTTTGGTCCCTTTTAGTCGTACTACATGTCACTTTTCTAATTCTGATTTTAACCATATTTGAGCACAGGGCTGAACGATGAACTGAACATTTAACAATATCAAAATTTATGACAATAACCGACGTCATTTTACCCATATCATTTTGTTCGATGTCAAAAAAATCAATAAATCAAAGTTGTTTTTGGATGTGTGTAGGTAGGCTATGGTCTCATGTCCCTTTAAGACGCTGTCAGAGACGTGACTCCACCCCATCCAGTCTGTAACAAAGAGGGAAAGACAGGTGAGGAGATGGAGGACGGTTCAGAAGTTGGAGCAGCTGAAGTGGTGTGTGTGTGTGTGTGTGTGTGTGTGTGTGTGTGTGTGTGTGTGTGTGTGTGTGTGTGTGTGTGTGTGTGTGTGTGTGTGTCCGTACTTTCCTACCTATCCAAGAGGGACCTTTGGCGCCGTAACATTTCCACCAAGAGGGGACCACACAGCCAACAGGGGACATTTTATAGGTCCCCTGTTGGTCATGCTTTAAATTATGCTAAATGACCTTTTGATTGAGAGACTGATTGATTTGATGTATAATACTGTAAATTAACAATCATTTGTATTACTTTTACAGCACTGTGTTGTTGTTTTGATTTGATTTATTATTAATTTTTTGGACAATTTAAAAGAGTACAACATAAAACGTGATAGATGATGGATCCACCTTATACTAGCCTAATATTAATATTTTAATTTAATGTACAGAAGCACAAGAAGACATGAAAAAAATAAATTAATACTGACTGATAAAAATTATATTTATAAAAAAAACAATACGTAAAAAAATTGTAATATATATATTTATGTAAGTGTGTGTGTGTGTGTGTGTGTGTGTGTGTGTGTGTGTGTGTGTGTGTGTGTGTGTGTGTGTTCAGCAGCTGCTCAGGACTCTCCTCCCTGAGCTGTTATCAGCGACTTAATGAGTCTCAGCGGCTTTCATGTTCAACACTGTCAGCCCGGGTGTGTGTGTAATGTTTGATGCTCCATCTGAAGAGCACACACATAATTAAAGAAACACACACACCCAAACACACACACACACACACACGTACAAACATCCATGTTGTCCCAACTAAACAGTTTCGACGCGGCTCTTTACTTTACGTTCAGTCTGTGGAGCTGATAAACACTCGGACTGGGTGTCAAGTTGCAGCCGAGGGGAGCGAGATAAACAGAGAAAGGATAGAAAAAAGTGAAGACGAGGAGGAAGAGGAAGAGGCTTCCTGAAGAGTGTGTGTGTGTGTGTGTGTGTGTTTTTAAGAGAAACACTAATTCCCCCGGTAGAGAAGAGGAATTAATTCTCCCAGGATTCAGTGGGAAAGAGGAGCAGGGCTTTTTTAATGATCCCTCACCTTCAGCGGAGGGAAAGCTTTGAAACTCTGTGATCAGACGCATCATTAGAGGTGGAGGAAGAACGTGTCCTCATATTTGTCTTCAGCCGGGGCGCTGGAGGCTGTTTTTCCCCTTCAGGGGTCGCTCTGGTCAGGCTTTGACAGCTGTTGTGGTCTGGAGAGTAAAGGCACGCACAGGCTCGTCCCCTCCACTCACCAACAAACACCCGCCTCCCCAAACTTCTCCTCTTTCTCTGCTGTTTCATCTTTTCAACACGACCGCTTCTTACTTTATTAAAACGACTAAAAACAGAAGAAACGTATTTGAGAGCTGCCGCCAGAATGCTAATCTCAAAGTGTTAATCCAGCGCTGGACCATCTAATTCCTGCTGGATCTCACAGTAAGTCACTCAAGTCTCCAGCTCTAAATTTAGCCCAAGGAATTATGGGAGGAATTAATATACACAGACATGACTTAGTCTTCATTATTTTGGCGAGGGAGAGGGAGGTGCACTTATTAAAGAGAGAGAGAGAGAGAGAGAGAGAGTATGAAAGTGTCCTGGTTTCTCGCTCCCATTATGTCCCATTTTCCCACAATCCACCTGGGAGCTGCGTAGTCACAAGACTAGGGCGAAGGCGCTTTGGAACAAAATAAAGAAGAAGTTTGAATAAACATCACACCAGTCCTCGGAGATCCACATACTGGAGGAGGCCGACCCGTCTGATGGTGTCAACAGTGAGCACGCTCAGAGGGACTTTTACTACGACCAATCAGAGACAAGAGGAAATGAGAAAACTGAAAAATCTGAGAGAACTAATAAAACAGAAATCTGAGCAAACAGAAAACTGAGAAAATCCGGGACCCCCAAACCTTCACCTCCCCTCCCTATAGTTCCACTTTGACCTTTAGGCAGGTAATCCATAAGGAGCTGCCGTGTGTCCATAAAGATATCATCATTCCCTTTTAATTTGGCACTTAGCCTTTCCATCGGTAAAACTCTAAATTTCTTTTTTACCACTGAGTTACAGTGGGAGGTTTGTCACTAGTCCGGCATGGCTGCAATCTGAAATGGCGAACCCGTGGATTCACGTGCGATCACGCGATAACAAGTTGTCTTTAGCCACAGAGGCTAACCATATAAGCAGTAGATTGTGTCCTTCCAGAGGAGGAAATCTACTTCTAGACTTCTAGAATCAGCATCTCCTCATCCATGGTGTCATCAGGGTGAAATGACGTCTAAAAACCTTTCACTTGTTCGTCTCCGCCCGTTTGCATGGTTGGAAATACGATCCACCTGAAACCCTGAAACTAGAGTGTTTTATTTTGAAAAGAAGCCGGATGTTTTATTTTGTGTCTGTGCCCGACTTCCTTTCCAGCACGGGTTAATCTGTGCTGAATTTATCCGGCATGCTCCGGAAAAATAGAACTCTTGCGATCAGCTGAGGAGTCCGGCGATACTCAGAGGAACGGAAAGAAGCCGGTGGAAATTGACATGTCAACTTGAATGTTTACGATCAGAGGATACGACCTTTTTGTAGCCGTTCTGGATGCGTTGGAAATTGGGGGTAACGCATGTAGAGGGACAGACTTGCATTCAATCTGAAGAAGTTGTGACAGGGAAAAGCTGAAAGTGATGTCTCAGTCTGACTTCTACGACTGCTCTGGTTCTTGGACTGACCCCGTGACCAGCACACGGGACAGCACCGTCTTCCTGGGTGGCCGCACCGCCACTCCAAACCGACCGACTGAGGATCCACAATCCTGCAGCGTGGAGTCGTCACACCAAACCAAAACACCGTCCTTTTTTCCATTCCTCAAACTCTCTGACAGACTTATTGTCGTTCTGGCTGTGAACAAATCTGTGACAACTCATCAGCGAGTCTATTCAGGCGACTTTGTCTGAGTGTTGGCGTCTTTTCTGCTGTTGACTGAAGCTCTGGGGAATCAGACAACAGTCTCAGGCCTTATTTTCAGAAACATGGTGCAAACACAGAGCAGAAGTACAGAAGTGTAATCCAGGAATGTTTAAACTGAAACAGAAGTGTGGGGACTCCTGAATCTATAACAATACGCTCATCTACGACTCACTGCACACATTTCTCACAGACGAGGAACCTCACACTGCAAATGATTTGGTTCTTACTTACTTTAATCTTATATCAAGCACAACCTTTTCTTTTTTGTCTCAAATAGTCAGGAAATCTTAAAATAAGATAAATAACTGTTAAAATAAGTTCTAGTCCCATCCAAAAGGAATCTTGTTTTAAGATTCAGTAAGCCTGGTTTAAAGATCAGCCTGCTTGGATCGAGACAGAGTTTAGTCATTCTTCAATCATACTGGGTATTTTTTCTCTCGATTAATATTTTATGTTTAACTAATTCTTATCTTAAATTGTTAAAAGTAAGAAAACAGAATATGTAATTGCTTATATTTATTATATTTCACTTATTTTGAGGCTGTAAAAAAGTTACTTTTTAAGTTATCTCATCTTGAAATCAGCATTTTCTCCTCACCTTATACATATATTTAGCACATACCACTTATTAAAGGGCTGTAAAAGTTAAATTTCAAGTAATCTGATCTTAAAACCAGCATATTACAATTATTTTATACTTAAATTTAGTACATTTCGCTTATTTTAGGGCTATTTAAGTTAAAATCCAAGTTATCTGATCTTAAAATCATAATTTTACACTTATTTATGCTTATATTTGGTACATTTCCCTTATTTCAGGGCTTTGAAAGTAAAAATTCAAGTAATCTGATCTGAAAACCATCATTTTATACTTATATTGAACTTATATTTAGTACCTTTCACTTATTTCAGGACTGTAAATGTTAAAATTCAAGTTATCTGATCTTAAAACCCGCATTTTATACTTATTTTATTCTTATATTAAGTATAAAGTATTTTTGTCTTACTTCAAGTCTTCCACATACATTTGTAGACATGCTTATTTTTAGATTTAACAATCTAAATTCAAGAAATCTTGTGAAGTGAAATGATCTTGCTGCATGGACAGATAATTTCACTTGTTTTTATTACCTTTTCCCTCAGATTTAGTGTTTTTATCTTGTTTTTAGACCCCCCTTTTTTGCAGTGCATAAATGTTGTTAACCTACATGCACTACAAGGATTTTTGACATAGGTGAATCAAAGGTGGACAGGATCGTTTACTGCAGTCACCTACAACTCAAATACTGAGTTTCAGGAACTCTTGTGTTTATGCAAATTGTTCGCTCTTTTCTGTGCGATCAGCTGACGAGTACAGACGTCGTTTACTGCAGCAGTGTTGAGGGATGCACTTATTTAATCATGTCTAAAACATCATCCTTGCAAAATTTCATTGACTAAGACGACAGTGTGATCCGCCTGCAGAGTTATTGTCTGTCTGTTGAATTCACTCCACAGGGTTTTATCTATCCAATGGCGCAGAGACACGCCCTCTAACCAGCCAATCATATCACTGCTCTCTTTGTTATACATCTCTGCCCAGTCCAACAGTTTCATCAGCTTCATCACCCTGGGACACCATCATTAGACGTCTTCCCATTGTTGCTCAGTTCCTGCAGCTCTTCTTTGTCTGGACCGCACAGGTGGAAAGATATCAGACCTCCTTCGTCTTTTACCAGATTTTCTTTTTTCAGGATATTTTTGATCAAACTCTGCAGGTTTTGGCTTTTTAAAAGACTCTGTCTGAAGGTCAAGAATAAACTTGGCTAATAAAAACCAGGTCCCACTTGAAACTCAATTTGGATTTCTGAGAATTTTTTGTATTTGAAGAAGGCGTGTAAATTAAAGTTCCACTCTTTGGTTCCAGATAAAACCCCAGAAAGATTTTACAGACCGAATCTTTATCCCGTGATATTTTTGACCCAGTATGAAAGCAAAGCTGTGAGACGAGGATCATGGCGAACTGCAGTGACCAATTGAAAGATTGGCTAAACCGTTACATGCAAAAAAGGGCGCACGTCCAGTATAATGAAGCTTTACTTCGACATGGCGTAAATTTAAAAAAGGGATACACTTTAATTCAACATGCTGCAGCCACACAAACAACTTTGTTGTCACATTTGAGCTCCTGTTTACCTTCATAATGAAGTAAAAGAATCGTGTCTGCAGACATTACCAGTAGATTTTGGTTCTTGGAACTCCTTCCAGCCCTGGTTCCTAAAGAAACTCTCAGTGCGTTTACATGTACCGCTTAATCTGACAAAGCTCATAATTATTTTTTTTCTCTGAATCAGACTTCTCTCCTTGTCCTCGTTTACGTGCAGCTGAGAGAATCGATCTATTGAAGTGAACGTGTTCTCCTCCCCAAAACTAGGGGGCGATATGGGTCATTTCAGTGGCGTTGTTGCTACTTCTTCTCTGGTGTTTTTGTTCCGAGGTTTTGGGGGCGTGGCGCACACGCACATGTATTGTCCGATCATACTCCAACTATGCTGGTTACATGGCAGAGTAAATCGAGTTCTAGTCATACTATCTGGATGTCTTAATCGGAGTTAGGACTACAGTGTTCACATGCACTTCAGTTGTCTGGTCTTAATCGGAGTGAGGCGGTAATTCAGTTTTCTGGAGTGTCATGTAAACAGACTGTCTGAGGTACATTAACTCTTGTTACTTCAGTGATGAACCAGGTGAGAGGAGCAGAGAGTTAGACCTCTTTGAGTCATCGGTGTTTAGGTCTGAATGTTCAGAGTGAGCTCTGATCTTAATTTTACCTTTTATTTAAATGTTCAAATACGTTTGTAGTTTTTCTCGTTGACTTAAAGTGAATATTTTGAGAATCAGATAAATAATCAATCATGCACTGAAGTCAGTCGACACTATCCTGTTTTATCTTCATCACATGGATGAAAATCTGGAAGGTTACAGACTTTTAATCTTGCAGAAGAATTCATTTATTTTACTGACTAAACAAGAAAGAAACTGTTTGTAGAGACTTGATCTGACTAGAGATCTGCAGGAGACTTTCAGCTCATTTTTCTGAAATTCCTGCATCTCTTCTGTCAAACTGCAGCTTTTCTCATCATGACACGCACTGACTGAACGACGCTCGGCTCACGCCTGATTCTGGGCGTGTTACGAGGTCTCCGTCCGTGCTGAGACTGGGACCGTGGCCTAATGTCCTCCCCTCCCTCACTTTCTCTCCCCTCTGCTGCTCCCCCCGCCAACACAACAAGGCTAATTGGACCGTTTAAATGTCAGTATCACAGAGATCAGAGAGACGGAGACGCTGGTCTCTGATACCGATTCACTGCTGGTCTGTGAAGCGTAGATTTACTCGTCTTATCTCTGAGATGAACCTGTTTGAATACGTCATGGCGTTACAGACCTCACCCCTGTTTTGTCTTTTGTTATGAAACCACATCCAGAACACCTGTTTGGCCTCAGATCAGGATTTAAGGCGGATGTTTCCTCTCATTCATCGCTCTCCATGAATGAAGCTGCAGCTGAGCATGCACAAATGTAAACAAATAGCTCAACAAGAAGCTTATTTAATCACACGCACACACACACCTTCACACCCTTTTATTTGGCCAGACATGAACATCCACAAACATGGAGTTCAGAGAGGCGTAGGAAACCCACCCAGAGCGGGGGACGGCGTCTTTCTGCTGCTGTTTAACCCTCCTAACAGGAGCAGAGAAGAAGCAGCACCTGAGATTCAGTGACAGCAGGATACATGACAAGGTCACTCACAGCTTTCACCAAAAGGCCCGGCTCCTATTGATCTGCCCAAACACTCCATCTTTAAACACAGGAAACAGAGGCCAGTATTGATGTGACGGTGGGTAATTGAATTCCTGCAGAAGCCTTTTCATTGCAGCTCTGCTTCATCTGGATCCTGTGCAGCTGAGAGGACACCTCCATCAAACACCTCTGCTGTCACAGACTTAGAGAAGGTTGATCTTCATGCAGTCAGTGGGCTAAAGAGAGCGCGCCGTGGGTGTCAGTGGGCTTATTTCCTCATATGAACCCATGCATGTGTCCCTATAATCAAATCTCCTCTCCTGAATGTGTGCACGCTGCAGAGATTGTGCAAACTGCGGAGCCGAGGAGAGGAAGGGACCCTCCTCACTGAGCTCAGCCGAGACATGCAGCAAAACCCCGGCATGCTTACCCCAGCCCCCCTCCCCTAAACACCCTCCAATGTGTTTTTTCCCCGAGAATGACACGCTCCGTTCGAGAAATCACACTTCCAATTCATCGATTTCTGCAAGATCTTACCATTGTATCGATATCCTCCAAATGTGGATCCTCCTCCTCCTGCTGCCGCTGCTGATGAAATGCTGCTGCGCCGCACTCCGCAGGGTGACGAATCAACCCCCCAAACGGGGCTGAGAGGGTGCAGGACTCCCGGGAGGCTCCAGGAAAAACACAAGTACCAGCCTGAGAGCAGGACGAGGAGGAGACAAGACTTCAGGTTTCCTCTACCGAGACGAAAATGCGACAAACGTGTTTGTTTCCAGAGAAATCAGGTGTTTCTTCAGATCTTCTTCTTCTTCTCGGGGTCTTGGATGGATTAATATCTGGAGATATTCCGCTGCCCCGCGGATGTCTGCTCTGCTCGCTTCGCCCTCCACAGAAGAATGCACCGCGCATTTCAACTAACTCTCTCTCTCTCTCTCTCTCTCTCTCTCTCTCTCTCTCTTACACACCACCTCTCACACACATGCGCGCGAGGAAGCACATATCCTCCTCTGCATGATCGATGTGAGACATGACCGACTTACACTGAGTCCACTCACTTAGATCCAGTGTGTGTGTGTGTGTGTGTGTGTGTGTGTGTGTGTGTGTGTGTGTGTGTGTGTGTGTGTGGCCCTGAGGTCACTGTTTCAGGTCACCAGATGCAAATACAGATCAGGACCAAGGACAGCGACCTTCATTGTTTAATTCACGACAATAAATTAATGAAATGAGTTTTTTAGTCTCATGTTATTCAGCTGGACTCGTCTAAACGATGAGATAAAAGTCTGATTGTCTTAAAGTCAGTGACAAAAAAAAGGAACCAGAAATTTCAGTTTTTTGTTTCGGTTTGAAAGAAATGCAGAACCAGGTTTTGACTGGACCAGGTCTCAGTTTCTGACAGAGGTTTCAAAACAGATTCGACGGCTCTTATCCGGGGTTTCCACTGCATCAGAATAGCTCAGATTTTCGCTGTATCCCAATTCCTACCGGTTGCATTTGTCAGGCAGATTTCATGGCGGATTACCGACAGCAGGAATCATGAGAACTCACAAGAACCCGTGGATTCACGTTCAATCATGCAATAACGAGTATGACCGCAGAGGCTAACCATATAAGCAGTAGATTGTGTCCTTCCAGAGGAGGAAATCTACTTCTAGACTTCTAGAATCAGCATCTCCTCATCCATGGTGTCATCGGGGTGAAATGACGTCTAAAAACCTTTCACTTGTTCGTCCCCGCCCGGAGTGTTTTATTTTGAAAAGAAGCCGGATGTTTTATTTTGTGTCTGTGCCCGACTTCCTTTCCAGCACGGGTTAATCTGTGCTGAATTTATCCGCCATGCTCTGGCGTCCAGAAAAAATTGAACTCTTGTGATCAGCTGCGGAGTCCGGCGATCCACAGTGAAAAAGAAAGAAGTCGGTGTAAATTGACACGTTAACTTGAATGGTTACGATCAGCTACAATCGGAGGATACGACCTTTTTGTAGCCGTTCTGGATTTGGTTAAAATTGCCCGTTATGCACAGCATCCTGCAAGATTTGCAAGAAACAGCATGTTTCTTCTGAAAGACTCCAAACCATCTCTGAAACTCTTCGAGCGTGCAAAGAAGCCAAGAATGACCTGGTGTGCAGAGATGAGCATGATATTTGGTTAAAACTGAAAGAAACAACAGAAAAATGAACCTGGATACTGGTGCGAGAAATCCAGAATAAGGCATAATGAAACATTCTGTTCAGGCAGCAGCTTTTGTTTCAGACCAGATAAAACACTAAAAGACTGAGAGGATCTTGTGACTCTTCAGGACATGCTATTTCAGTATTTCACATTTGTTTCCACTCTCTGTATTTTCACACCATGACTGTTACCTACTCCAGCCCTAAGACTCGCTCTCACACGTTTTGTTCTCGTCTTTTTCTTTCTACTCACAATAAAATCAGATCTGCAGAAGAGAGGCTCTAAAAATATACTCTCCGCTTTAACTCCTTTGCCCTTGACAGCTCTCTCAAGAAATGCAAATTGTTTGGGATGAAATGCTAAACACGTGTCGACGAGATCCCACCGGATAGAAAACAGAAATCAATCGTAGTCGAGAAAGAGGGAAACAGCAGCGACGGAGAGATGGTTCAGCTCAAACTTTAGATTTTTTTTTATCGTTGTAAAACCTGCAGAGTCAGAGAAGGAGGTTCAGAGGAGACAGTCTTAGTCTGAGTTTGGACGGATGAGGGAAAGTGGAGCAAATTTTACTGTAAAGCTGCACGATTAATCGATTTTAAATAATCGGATTATTTGATTATAACGATGTTAAAAAAATAAAAATTGTCAAATTGATTTTCCTCTCTATCATGTCTCACACCTCCAGGTCACCGTAGGCTCCCCCTTCCTGTGGGAGCGCTCCCCAGTTCCCACACACACCAGTGTAAACAAACATGTCGTCTGAAAAGAAGGCGATCATTTCGTGGTTAAAAAGGACAAGCGCGAGTCAGTCATGTGGAATTGGTACGACTTCACAGTTTTGGACAAAGAGCAAACCACTCCCTGCTGTCGGTATCAACCCGTCCACGCAGAAACAAATTTAGGAGTAAACGCAAAAGTTTTTTGTCATATCAGCGTTTCTTCCACATGGAAACGGCGTTTCGGGTAAATGTAAACGGTACTTTTTGAAAACGGGTCAGAGAGTGAATAAATCTGTAAACGACGACCATTTCATCTCCGTGTGGATGTCTATCTGCATCTCTGGAAACGATCATGTGACACACAGAGTAACTCTTTTATGGCGCCAAAACAACCTTTATACACATGCTCTGTACTCTTCTTCTGTCTTTTGTTCATTTCCTGTGCAGCGTTACAGCGCCACTTACTGGCTTGGCATATGTACTACATCGTTTTCAGCAGTTTTGAATTGAGAGATGATAGAAAAACTTTTTATTTTTAACCCTCGGAGATCCTTCGTTTTTCTACACTCAGTCAGAACCTAGCAGGTCAAATTTGACCCATTCGTGTTTGACTGTATAAAAGAATGATAACTTAACAAAAGGGTAGAGGTGGGGGGCAGGTGGGTGTGGGGTTGTGTCTGGATAGGTGTCTGAGTGTGTTAGGGTCAAATTTGACCCAAAGGTCTAAAGTGCTGTTAATAAACATTAAGGACCCATAATGCAATGCAGGAGAGCGATCATTGATTTTATTTGTAACTAGTGTCTTTTGGAACTGCATCTTAAAATTTCAGCCAATTAGATAAAAGATAACTCTATTTTTAAGTGACGCGAAAACGGTTTTGGGTCGAATATGACCCGAAGGTCAAGCAAAGGTCAAAGTGAAGTTCGATGAAGTTGTCACTGAATAAAAATCTGAAAAAAAATCGTGATTTTATTTTTGTCAAAATCATGCAGCTCTAATGTGTGTCCAGATAAAGCTGGACCGGCTCTGGTTGGATTAGAAAGACTTTTGCACGTCTGAAAATATCAAATTCCACTATATCAGAAACGGAGTTTGCGTGTCGAGCCCTCGTGTTCTTGAGGATCCTCAGATATTTCATTGCTGTTCTCTCCATCTCACCCTCATGTTGAATGTCAGTGATTTTCATTCTGCTTGTGTTCCTCATCTGCTCTCATGCAGCCCTCCCACACACACTGTAGTGGTGACTCAAGTCTGCCTTCATCTCCCACCCCGAGCTGCACACAGCAGAACCAATGCGGGTTTTCTCTACTTTGACTTCGCTCTCAGATCGCCGTGTCTCTGAAATACACACTCGCATACACACACATGTAAGAAGTGACACACACACACTAACACACACGGGCCGGGACCGTCTGCTCCGAAGAAACCGTGATCGGGTTTTAAGTGGTTTCGGTTTTGACGCAGTGACATCATCACTAATTGATCCTCTTTTGAATTCTGACAGGGGAATAATATGCTGCTGTATGGGGTTGCCATAGCAACTGGCCCATTTCAATGCAACGGGATGTGGAGTGCTGCTGGAAGCTGGAGGGGTAATTGGGGATGCTGGGGGTGGGAACATGGGGGGGTTGGTGTGTGAGAAGAGAAGAAAGAGTTAAACAAAGAAAACGGCCTCGCTGCATAAAGAGCGTTTGGACGTGAAAACACGGAAACATAAAGAGGAGAAAGACTGAACTCTGACGTATTTAGATCAGAATCAATGACTCAACTTTGAGCTTCAGGAGAAAAAATACCTGTCAGGTTTGTAACTGATCAACGTTCAATGCTGCAGACTCTGAAAACCAATCAAGTCTCTTTTATATTAGCGAAAACACTTAGATTAAGACACTCTGGCACATGCACACGCACACACTTGCATCGAGTAGCTTATCGTATTATAACACAGCGACCTGAGGGCTACAAACATGCAAAATTATTCCGTCTCCTGCAGCAAAATGCATGAAAGTCCTGTTATCAGATCTCGACTCCACCTTCAGTGTTTCGGGGACTTTGCAGCTCAGATTCATGAATTCACTTTAAGACACTCTACACTTTGATATCACAGAGTCTTTTCTTTCTGGAAGACGAAAACAGGCTCACTTTAAAATCTCCTTTGTTCCTATTTTGATCAAAATGTTAAATTATGTTTCTGGAGTCTTTTTCTGCAAAATAAGGTAATGTGCAATGTGTGTGTTTGCTTGTTTGCTGCTGCGGCCCTGGTGTGTGTTCTCTGTTTGCATGTGGGTTATTATTACTGCTGCTTTTCAATATTGGTCTTAGAAAGGAGGAGGTTGCAAAGTGGTTTATGAGGAGGAAGCAGCGAAGGGAAGGTGGGCTAAAGCAGATTAAAGGTGGGGTAGGCAGGAAGCCGTTAAAGAAGCATCTTTTTTGTGGTGTATTTACAAAAAAACGTTAAATATCAGTCAATAGTTATTAGTTATTGATGACATTCCCCGTCTCCCCTGACCTGATTGGTTGTGAGGCAAATGCTGCTCCCCCGTGTCGTTCAGGAGCCCAAACAAAGTTAGCGTGCTACAATATCGGACAGTAGAAACCAACCAGAAAGTTCGGAAAATTGTCTGAATCCTCCTTTGGCCACGACTGCCGACACAAGCAAGAAAACAAAGTAAATACCGGAGACTCTGGAGGAATAACGGGCGCTTAAAACGGAGGTAGACCGGACAAGAGCTAAAAAGCCGGGTCAACATAAACCATGGGGGACGCTTGGGGATCTTGGTGACCCTGTAACCTTTCTGCTGGACAGGTAAACCGCTTTAACAAAGTAAGACAAGTGTCTGTAACAGAAGTGTTTCTTGTCAAACGGACCTGCTGTAGCGTGTTGTAGCGCCATCGCTAAACTGTCCTCCCTCGGGTCCTGGACTATGTCACTTTATCCTAGTTGTAGAAGTCCTGCAAACATTGTGTTTGCTGGTAGTCTGTTGGCATCTACAGTAGCACCAATGCTTTTGACTTTCACCTTGACTGGGCCCCATTTGTAATGATCTGAAGTATTTATCTGCATTATATCTGAATTTAATCGGAACGATACGAGCGAGCAGGAGCGTCTGTTTGTGGGCGGGGCTTGAGGGGAGAGGAGGAGCTGAGGGGAAAACTGGTTGGGAGGGGTAGAGTTTACATTCAAGATTTCTCCTAAAAACTGGAACTTCCTCAGATCCTGACTACCCAAACTTTAAGTCGATGCCAGTTTTTTATATTTGCAGATCCCTGGAAGGTTAAAGGCCGAGCTGTCGGTCGACGTGGACTGGCCTTGGGGTCATCTGGTGTATTTAAGACTTAAATCAATAGCTGGCTTAGACCCAAAAAGCAAGTGTCTGCAGACTTGGAGGCTGCACATCCAGAACCACAATCCCAGGACTACAAATTGATATTGAAATGCCTCATTATTGATTGTGACACGAGATAATCTTGAGGTGAAAATCTGATATAATGACAGACCCAAAACTCTTATCTTTGTGGTGTGGATTCTTTAGTCTTTATAGTTCTGGTTTCACATGGGAAAGGCCCGGGTTTTTAAAGGGGGTGAAAGGGACGGGAAGACTTCGAGCAGAAAGCCCTGAAGGCTGTCGTCACGTATCGTGTGCAAACGTGCAGGATGACATGTTGGATTGTTTTTATTTGATGTCCCGAGAGCACAAATCCATATGCTTCGTATTATAACAGTTTAACTCGGCTCATATCTGTACAAAAAGTTCATGTCATTTAACCCGCTGTTTTCTGCTTGAAGTCAGGACTTCAGGACACGTCAGTAAATGTGAGTAAAAACTGAATAAAATATGCAGAAGACGCCTGGGAGGACATCTATTTTTATTGGTCTACCAAAACATGAATTCTTGGACAATAAATCCACAGGAATGCGTGGATTCCCGTCTGTTGATATTAGCTTGATGTAATTAAACAGAAGTTCAATTTCTGAAGAGCAGGTCAGCTGATATATAAATATTCAGGGAGTCAATGAAGGCAAAAGAGGATAAAGGATGGAGGGGGTGAGACCAAAGATGGAAAGAAACTGGAGGAAGGAAGGAAGGAAGGAAGGAAGGAAGGAGGAAGGAAAGATGGAAGGAAGAAAGGAAGGATAGAGAGAAGGAAGGCAAAGAAGGAGGACAGGCAGGAAGGATGGATAGAGGGAAGGAAGCCAAAGAAGGAAGGAAGCTTAAGGGGGAAGAAAAGAAGGAAGGAATGAAAGATAGAATGAAGGAAGCCAAAGAAGGAAGAAAGGAAGGATAGAGGGAAGAAGTATAGAGGGAAACGAGCTAAATATGGAGGGAAAGGAAAGAAGGAAGAAAGCAAGGAAGGAAGGGTAGAGGGAAGGAAGCCAAATAAAGAAGGAAGCAAAAATTATGGCGAAAGCAAGGAAGGAAGGATAGAGGGAAGGAAGCTAAAGAAGGAAGAACGGGAGGAAAAAGGATAGAGGGAAGGAAGCCAAAACAGGAAGGAAGCTAAAGAAGGAGGAAAGGGGTTCTCTTGCCTTCATATATATATGTATATATATATACACTCACCGGCCACTTTATTAGGTACACCATGCTAGTAACGGGTTGGACCCCCTTTTGCCTTCAGAACTGCCTCAGTTCTTCGTGGCATAGATTCAACAAGGTGCTGGAAGCATTCCTCAGAGAGCTTGGTCCATATTGACATGATGGCATCACACAGTTGCCGCAGATTTGTCGGCTGCACATCCATGATGCGAATCTCCCGTTCCACCACATCCCAAAGATGCTCTATTGGATTGAGATCTGGTGACTGTGGAGGCCATTTGAGTACAGTGAACTCATTGTCATGTTCAAGAAACCAGTCTAAGATGATTCCAGCTTTATGACATAGCGCATTATCCTGCTGAAAGTAGCCATCAGAAGTTGGGTACATTGTGGTCATAAAGGGATGGACATGGTCAGCAACAATACTCAGGTAGGCTGTGGCGTTGCAACGATGCTCAATTGGTACCAAGGGGCCCAAAGAGTGCCAAGAAAATATTCCCCACACCATGACACCACCACCACCAGCCTGAACCGTTGATACAAGGCAGGATGGATCCATGCTTTCATGTTGTTGACGCCAAATTCTGACCCTACCATCCGAATGTCGCAGCAGAAATCGAGACTCATCAGACCAGGCAACGTTTTTCCAATCTTCTATTGTCCAATTTCGATGAGCTTGTGCAAATTGTAGCCTCAGTTTCCTGTTCTTAGCTGAAAGGAGTGGCACCCGGTGTGGTCTTCTGCTGCTGTAGCCCATCTGCCTCAAAGTTCGACGTACTGTGCGTTCAGAGATGCTCTTCTGCCTAACTTGGTTGTAACGGGTGGTTATTTGAGTCACTGTTGCCTTTCTATCAGCTCGAACCAGTCTGGCCATTCTCCTCTGACCTCTGGCATCAACAAGGCATTTCCGCCCACAGAACTGCCGCTCACTGGATATTTTTTCTTTTTCGGACCATTCTCTGTAAACCCTAGAGATGGTTGTGCGTGAAAATCCCAGTAGATCAGCAGTTTCTGAAATACTCAGACCAGCCCTTCTGGCACCAACAACCATGCCACGTTCAAAGTCACTCAAATCACCTTTCTTCCCCATACTGATGCTCGGTTTGAACTGCAGGAGATTGTCTTGACCATGTCTACATGCCTAAATGCACTAAGTTGCCGCCATGTGATTGGCTGATTAGAAATTAAGTGTTAACGAGCAGTTGGACAGGTGTACCTAATAAAGTGGCCGGTGAGTGTATATAATAAATGAGAAAAAAAGTTATTGAGATCTGATAGGCTGTTATTAAAGGTGGAAAATATTTTATTATTTAGTAACGATTCAGGATATTTAGGCAAATATTGACAGGATAAAAAATAATTACAGGAAGGAGATTAAAGTCGAAATTTTGAGATTACAAAATGTCAAAATGTCGTGAATAACGTCAAAATTTTGGGATGAAAAAAAATTATAATTTTGAGATTAAAGATGAAATTTCGAGATCAAAGTCAATTTGAATAAAGTCGAAATTTTGACTTTTTTTTAACTTTGACTTTTATGTCAAAATGAAATCATAAAAAATCTCCCTCCTGTAGTTATTTTTTCTCTTCTTGTGGCCCTGATCCTCTCTCGTAAAACTCACATTTCCACCATCTTTTCAAAAGCATATTTTTAAATGTTTTCTAGGGTTTGTAGAAAGACTTAAATCCCATCTAACAGGACAAACGTGTGAATTAACAGGTTTATCGACTGATAAACTGCCTGCAGTGTCTGCTGCACACATTATTCCTCATGAGCGCCGGATGTTAATCAGTCTGATTAATCAGCCCGACCGAAGTGTCTGTAATCAAAGCAGTCTGCTACACGGATTCATTAACCTAATATTAAACCACTGTTTCCTTCTAAAGCGTGATGAAGATGATGACGATCCCATGAAGAAGAAGAGGATGCGCCTGCTCCCAGCATCCTAATCTGACTTTTAATAAAAACGAATCATCTTTTAATCCGTCCGTTTGTCTGTGTTTGTCTCCCCAGAGCGTTTCTACACTCACCTATTATTGATATCCAGCTTTCAGCTTCCTCTCTATATGTGATGTGTGCAGTCAACCTGCTCCTCTACCTCCCTCTGGACTTCACTGTCAGTGTGTGAACTTGTCTGAAAGCTGTTACCCAGCATGCACTGGGGAAATCTAACGCTGTCTGTAACATGGGACCCTTCAGAGAGCCACGGAAACACAGGCTGAACCGTGGAGATGTGGATGAGTCAATGAGCTGGACTGCAGGAGGGAAAAAAAAAAGATCTGCTTTATCTCCTTAATTGAAGAACTGCCAGTGTGTGTCCATGTGTGCGTTGCGTGTCTCTGACAAGCCCAGCCATGTTGAGAGGCCACTCGCTAGAGTCTCCATGGCGATGGCAGAGCGAGGGAGAAGAGCGGGGAGGTTTGTGAGGACCCATGCGGAGATCTCCATTGATTTGCTGGAAAGTGTAGCTGGAGAGGATGATTCACTCACTTTATAAAGAAAACCAGAACAGAGAGAGGCGAGAGGATGGACGGGAGGTTCAGGGAGGAGAGGGTTTTTTAGGGAGGACTTGTTGAATTCACTCTTTAAAACAAACATTTGTCAGAGATTTAGATTCAGTAGATTTAGTCTGATCATCCAGCTTTGTTAACACTCTGTAAATCACTCTTAACCTCACTCCCTAACGATGGCTAACCGTTCGACCAAAAGTTAGCGGTGGATGACTTCCAGCCGAGCTTCCTTTTGACAGGTTTTAAAGGCATGGTTGACGATTAAAGTAATTGGTCATTATTGTGAATCTCGTTTCTATGGCGATCATGGTCCTAAAGTGCGATCTCCACTAAGTGAAGAGAAAAAGATCAGAAAAAATCTGTTCACCCGCAGCTGCAGGGCTGCAAAAACATTGTCCAACGGGAGCCATCCGTCCTGGAGGAGAATTTTTTTTTTTTTGTACGATGGTAGGGGGAAAGTCCCGCCCTCCTTCCCCTCTGATTGGCTAGAAATGCTGGGGTCCGATTGGTCATTCCTAAAGGCTGTGAAACGTCATCGTCTGTCGGGTAAGCATTAGGAGACTCAGAAGTGCGATAATGATCTGTTTGATGTACAGAGCCGACAGCCCGCGCTAAGCTTGAGCGTGTGATGACGTTTCATTTTGTGATGACTTTTCTAGCCAATTGGAGGCAAAGGAGGCGGGACTTTCCCCTACCGTCCTACAAAAAAAATTTCGTCCCAGACAGCTCCTATTGGTCAATCTCTTGCTCCGCCTCTCAATCACCTTGCTGTACTCGACACACCCCTCTCCCTTAGTTCTGACTCGTCCCCTCCCACTCTCCCGGCCCTCCTCGGAGCTCTGAGCGGCTAAAAGTAGCGTAGCAGCTTAGCTACAGGAGCTGTGATGGAGAAGAACGCAAAAAAACACTTCTGCTCACCACACCACCAAAATTGGGAAGAAAACACAAGCTGACAGAAGAAAGGGCGGGAAACCAAGTGAGGAATCTAACTCGAATAAATATTGGGTCATCCTTGGAGCGGTGGAGAAAGCTCCGCCAGGATTTGGTCCTGAAAACAGACGCTGAGACAGAGGAGTTTTTGTTGAACAGGTCATTCTCCTCGTCTTTTATCATGGCTCATGTTACATAAATAACTCTTATTAGTCTCTGACATGTCAACACGGTAGCTGTCCAGGCAGCTGCAGACGGCGCTCGCTAGCAGAGCTGGCGTTTACCGCTGATAGTCACTAACAATCCGACACGGTGGATCCTATTTGAAGCTAGTGTAGGATCTTCTGCCGGCCGGCTTCTTGCTCTGCCAGAGGGGTGGAGGAGTTATGGTGGAGCACAGAGGGGAGAGGTTTGTGAGGCTCAGTTTTTTTCAACTGCTTCTCAGATCGTCAACCAGGACTTTAACAGTTACTTCAAATCCCCGAGAGAAACTACAACTTTAAATTTAGAAGAGACGACTGCTGACAGATAACTCCTGATGGAGGACAGACTTCTGCCTGCTTTTGCTCTCCATACACACAGTTTGTGCTGCAGACACCAAAACTACTGACGGTTTATATGATTTTCCTCCTATCAGAGCCTGCTCCCTCAATTTTTCTACATTATCATGTTTCATTTTGTTCTTCTAAAATAACTACATGAACATATTCGACTAAGTACGTGGATTTTTGTGGGATTAGAGGTTTTGTAGAATTATTGCAGAGGTTTTTCAGATATTTAAAGAAGTTTATTGTGTAAATATTCTGGAGGTTAGTGAGAGTACAATTATGTTGTGTTACAGTTAGGAAAAATTGACAGAAATGTCCACAGCAGAGCAGCAGAAAGAATAAATACGAGTGTGCTGTATTTTTACATGAAGCCTGAAAAAACAGAGCGAACGCCAGCCTGTTTCTCCCTCCCCTGTCTCTGTGTGTGCTCACATATGTGTGACAGGTTGTAAATGTCCTCTCCTCAGACCTCCATAAATCACAGTCTGTTATGAGCCGCTCCATCCCTCCTCCTCTCCCAGTTTCTCCACAGCCTCGCTTTCAGGTAGAAACTCTGTTGCCATGGTGATCTCCATCACTGTTAGAGCTCCGGCAGGATGAGGAGGAGCTGCTGGCGGAGAGAGAGGGAGGGGAGGTGTGTTATATTTACATTCCTGAACATTCAGAGCGTCGGTCGTCGGTCCCTGTCGGCATCCATCTCCCTGACTGCACGGCTCCCCTCCCCTCCCTCCGTCAGTCCTCCGTCAGTCCTCCGTCAGTACACAACAGGAGAAGTATTTACTGCCTGTCAATACTGTGAAATTATAAGTACCTGCGATCAATGCCAAGGATGCATACTGACTGCACTTAACTGCATCCTGGAGGATCTTCACTGCAAGCCCTGAAAGCAGTGAAGTGGTGAGACTGATGATTTTACAAAATTCTCTCATATGAAGGAAAGAACAATAACAGCAGAGAGAGAGAGAGAGAGAGAGAGAGAGAGAGAGAGAGAGAGAGAGAATCCATAATTCAGAGTGAGTATATTTGCAGAAACACATAAAACACAGAGACAGACAATAAATCATACACGAGAGCTAAAATATGAAGTTAAGTCTAGAATGAATAAAGACTGACAGATATGCTAGACTTAATGAATAAATGGATCAGAAAAAAAAATGGTAAAATACTGTAAACATGATCTAAAGTTATCTAAAGGGGCATCAAATAACCTAAATAAAGAGAAAGGATGATTTTATAACAGCAGTTAGTTATACAGACAACAAACTCTGATCATAGACAGCATGTGATGGATGTGATTTTGACGGCATGCAGCGATTTCCACGACAGAGTCACATCTGTCTTTAAAGACCACATTTCTGTCAGTTTTTTTTTTTTTTACTGAGATAAAAGCTTTACTGAAAAACAGCTTTATGGGCAATAGTGCAATATGTCTTTTTTATTGTATATCTATAATCTTAATTCTAAATGATTGATTTTGTGCAATGACAATAAAGGCTGTTCTGTTCTAGATTACTTGGTCATTTTAAATTTTCCTAATTGTTTGGATGTTATTCTTCTTTTAAGACTTACCAGTTTTTTGGATTTTTTTGTCTGATCACATCTACCTCTTAATAAAAACATCACAACATCACGTTAAAACACGACACTTGATAATATGACTCCTCTGTCTGCCTGTGAAGCTTCTGCTCTTGCTTATTTTTGAGCAGTAATCTCTTGTTAGGCCACAGAGGAAGAGACACACCAATCCTGAACATGACAGAGGAGTGTGTGTGTGTGTGTGTTGTTAGTGCACAAATATGTTGTGACAGCGAGTTACTCAGAGATGTGTGATCCAGCGGGCAGAGGGGAGTGTCGAACATGAGTTAACTGATGCATTTACAGCGTGAACATCCACCCAAACATGCTGCTGAGACATGAGGCGAGCGAACGGAGGAATCTGCTTTTCAACTAGAGAGAAAAAGAGAGAGAGAGAGAGAGAGAGAGAGAGAGAGTAATAAGTGGAGACAAAGCAGTGTAAAAATGAGACAAACGAGGAATCAGCATTTCAATGAGTTAGCTATAAAATAGGGCTGGGACTTTAACGCATTAAATGCGATCAATTAATTACAGTAACATTATCTCGTTAAAAATATTTGATAAACTATCACACCTACTGTATTTTACGAAACGTTTCTCACTGGACGAGTTTCAGGTATACCGCTTATACCAGCGTCCCCGAGCGTGAGTGCAGCAGTGATTCCAGTCCCACCCTGCGCATAGAAAAATGAACGAGGTCGCGGATAAATGTGCTTTGATTGGCTCAGGCGTGGATGGGCCTTTTTGATGGATGGAAGCCCAGACCCTAACCCTAACCTTAAAGGGATATTCCGGCGAATTTAGGGTCAGAGTTAGACACCCCCTCAACAGATGAATGTTGTCGACCGCTTGCTTCTCTAGTTATACCAACTTTAGTAACGACCGCAGGATAGCAATACAGAGAGCCACGCCCTCAACTAAAACACCACTCTATAGCCACAAAAAATGCTCAGAACAGCACCTAACTTCATCAACAGGACATAGAGGGTCACAGCCATAGTACTAGACACCAAACGTCTTTTTAACTTTGACTAAATTCTTTAGCAGAGAGACTAAACACAACTCACCTACTCTCTTCCAGCAGCCGCTTGTTTGTATATGTCCTGTTGATGAAGTTAGGTGCTGTTCTGAGCATTATTTGTGGCTATAGAGTGGCGTTTTGGTTGAGCGTCTCTGTGTTGCTATCCTGTGGTCGTTACTAAAGTTGGTATAACTAGAGAAGCAAGCAGTCGGCAACATCCACCCCTCGACGGGGTGTCTAACTCTGTGTTACGGTGTGTTTGACCCTAACTTAATTTTTCGCCGGAATATTCCTTTAACCCTAACCTTAACCCCTTCGGTATCACCTGAATGCTAAACATGTTGCAGCTAGCGTGGAAGCTAATGCCAGTCCGACTCCGAGTACAGCGACCCACACTCGACCAGATGAGTGGATTCAGAGCTAAGATGAGTAAGTCCACGTCAGAAAAATTAACATCCTGAAATTGCTGGACTCTATTATGGCATAAAAAAACGCTGATCTGTTGGTCTTGGTTAAGTATCATCTTTGAAAAAATTTAACATTTAAAAAGTAATGATTCTCACTGTTCTCAGATCAAATATTTACATGCAATTAAAATGCGATTAATTGCAATTAATTCACCACAAACCTCTGATTAGTTTGATGAATGTTTTTAATCGGGTCACAGCCCGACTATAAAATGAAAACAGAAATGGCGAGTTGAGCAGCAACCAGAGGGGACGGGGTAAGAAATGCTCTCTCTTCCAACGACAGACTCATTTGCAAATTCCCAGAGGACAGAGGTTATGATCAGGATTTATCAAAACTGTCACAACCCCCCCAGCCACCAGAAGTGGCTATTTTTCCTGTCAGGATGAAATTGAAATGCACAAACTGTCGCTCAATCAGGATACATGCCAGCGGAGTACGAGGACTTCTGCAGAAATAAACCCTCAGAAATAACCTCAGCAAATGAGAAGCTGCAGAGATTGTTCCAGTCCGTGGAGCTGTGGTGGATAATAAACCTCGGAGGAGTCATGAGCTCAGACCACAGTCTCCACAAAACCAGCTATATAAAGAGATGTGGGCATAAACTTCTGATGAATTGAACTTAAACCTCTCCGTTCAGTCAATGGTAACGCCACAAAAATAGAAGTTTCCTGCTAATTTTTTCTTACGTCATCAAATCTTTAATACGATTAAAATCCCAATTCTATATCTGCATCTGTGTTTGTGTGTGGCACTCGTGCTTTATGCCTGTAGCGTTTTAGCCAGAGGTTATACACTGGTGGTAGAGGCTGCTATATTAAGTGGCCATCAGTGTCAACTCATCCAGTTAACACTCAGTCACACCAGCTATGCCACTGGGAGCAATTAGATTTCAATGTTCTGCCTAGGGATACGACTGCAAGTGGATTAAGGGAGCCGGGATCGTACCACCAACCCTCCACGAGATCTCAGGATAGATTATTTTACCGTTTTTGAAATTATGTTGTAAAGTCGGCGAAAGAGCGGTACGTCCTCAGGCTAGCTAAAGGTTACCATGATATGTCTCGCTGTAATGAGCGCGCTGAGAGCGAGGCATGAGTGTGAAAACGTGCCTTTACATCAGGACATCTGCATGGTGAAGTCCTGGAGGGCGAGCCCAACACACACACACACACACACACACACACACACACACACACAGAGCTCCTGCCTCCTGCAATGAAATTACCGCCTTTATCAGAATGTAATGACTGTTATTGAGCTGTCTCCCCTCGCACACTGTCACACAGCCACAGGAAATGGCAGCAAGTCTATTTTCAGGCCGCCGACAGATGACAGCTCTCAGGTTAGACCCAACACTGCTAAAGCATCACATACTGCAGTTACTAGAACAACCACTAGGGGGGCTGCTCCGAAAATGAGCCAATCCCACTTGGGTTTCTTGTTAAAATGTTAAACTTTGTACACAGCTGCTGCCAAAGTGGACAGACACAAAATAAAACATCCGGCTTCTTTTCAAAATAAAACACTCAGGAGGATCGTATTTCACACCATGCAAACGGGCGGAGACGAACAAGTGAAAGGTTTTTAGACGTCATTTCACCCTGATGACACCATGGATGAGGAGATGCTGATTCTAGAAGTCTAGAAGTACATTTCCTCCTCTGGAAGGACACAATCTACTGCTTATATGGTTAGCCTCTGTGGCTAAAGACAACTTTGATGGAAAAATCTATAAAAAAGTTATCATGCTTTAGATGATTCTATATGATTAATATGTGATTTAATTCTTTCAGATGGATTTCAGTATGATTTGAATCGTTGAAGAATGATCTTAAACTCTTAATCTTTTAGTTCTGCAGAAGGGGATATGAAAGTGTTGAACTCTGTACCATGTGTTGTGCAAAGATGTGAAAACACCTATGTTCCTTAAAAATAATGCCATACATATGCAAAAAATTATGAAAATAATCATGTTCCTCTTTTGTAAAGGTCAACCGAAAGTATTGCAAAAGTGACCGTTGCTGAGGTAGCAGATATGGATGACTATGCATAATCATGAAATAAAAGAGTGCTGTTGGAGAGGAACTGGCAGAGAGGGACTGACCGAGTACTCGAGAAGTTCTCCTCAGCCATTCTCTCCTTGTGCAAGTAAAACGTCTTTTGGTCTCTTCTGTGTTCCTGAATCCTCCGAGTTTGTTAAATATGTCCACTTGAACCTGACAAACTTGTTATCGCGTGATTGCACGTGAATCTGCAGGTTCTTGTGAGTTCTCACAGTTCCTGCTGTCCATAATTCACCAAGAAATTTACCTCACAAACAGATCCGTTAAGAATTGGCGTAAAATCGCCACTGTTACAGATTTAAGCCATTCCGAATGTGGTGGAAATCCAGGGTCTACCTTGGGTAGTGAATCCAAAAACACCATTAGCTTCACAAATCCTCCATCGATCTTTACATCTAAAGTTAAAATCTGTTTTTCTCGCAGTTCAAACACCAAGACCTGTTAATGATGATCTTCAACCGCCTCTCTGTTTCCTCTCTCTGTTTCCTCTCTCAGTTTCGGTCCTGCTGTTGGTAAAGGTTACTGTCTTCACAGGCAGAGCGTTGAGGGATGAACTCTGAGGGTTTTTTTTTTAGGAGGGACGTGGGCTGCAGTTTATTTGAAATGTAGATTCTGCGCCGCGTCTGTATCGCTTTCATCCTGTCCATGAAAAATGCATGCTGTGATCTCATTATACCGCTCTTCTCTTGGAACACTACATAAAATCAATCCAGGCCAGAGGAGGGGTGAGAACACTACAGATGCTTCTTCGCTTTTCACAATGGCTGAAAAGAGGCCCTACAAGTGGGAGGAGAAGTGTTTTTCATGTGTGTAAAACGCACAAAATTAGAGATCGAGCTGCTTGATTTAACATCTTTGAGGCAGCTACAAGTTGTATTTGTGGACTACACTTCAGACTAAAGGATCAGGTCTTAATTTATGAGTTCTCACCTGCAGGGCTGAGGCCCAGAAGTGGGACATCGAACCATTTCAATGGGTCGCTGTAGTAAAGATCCTAAAGGAGATCTGTTCAACTCGTTTTTATCAATCATTGTGTCAGCATGTGAAGGAGGCATGGTCAGCTAGAAAATACTTTAAAAACTCTTCCAATGTAACTTAAGGGAGGTCAGTTAAGAGACCTTCAGAACCAGAGCTTGGTCTACAGATCCAGTAGTAAGTCGGACTTGTTTCGGTGAGGGTTGGACTCCACTAGGGCTGATCTTTGTCACCGATCCTCCTCAGAACTTTCATGGACAGAATTTCTGGGTTCAGCAAGGGTGTTGAGGAGGTCCTCTTTGGTGGTCTCAGGACTGGGTCACTGCTTTTTGCAGATGATGTGGTCCTGTTGGTGGCACCAGGCCATGACCTTCGGTTCGCAACCGAGAGTGAAATGACTGGGATGAGAATGAGCACCTCCACATCGCTGGATAAAGGTGGAGTGGCCTCTTTGGGTCAGGGGTGAGATCCTGCCCCAGGTAGAAGAGTCCAAGTATCTCTGGGTTTTGTTCACGAATGAGGAAAGAATGGAGCAGAAGATCTACAGGTGGATTGGTGCAGCTGCTCAGGTCTGTCGTGGTGAAGAAGGAGCTGAGCCAAAAGGTAAATCTCTGGATATACCGATTGATCTACTTTCCTACCCTCACCTACGGTCAGGGGCTTTGGATAGTGACCATAAGAACAAGATCTCGGGTACAAGCCGCCGAAATGAGTTTCCTCCACAGAGTGGCTCTCCATCAGAGATAGAGTGAGAAGCTCAGTCCTCCAGGGGAACTCAGAGTCGAGCTGCTGCTCCTTTGTGTCGAGAGTCAGATGAGGTGGCTTGAGCAGCTGACCAGGATGCCTCCCGGATGCCTGGCTGGTGAGGTGTTCAGGGCTTGTCCCACCGGTAGGAGACCAGGGGAAACACCCAGGACACGCTAGAGAAAGTGGGGCTTCCTGCTTCGGCTGCTGCCCCCTCGACCCGTCTCTGGATAAGTCATAGAAGACGGATGGACAGTTAAAAGACAACAGTCAGCTGCTGTGCTGGAAAACACAGGAGTCCTCCTTATGGATCCTGTTTCTTCAGAGTTGTTGCTGAGTGAAGTTTAAATATCGCTCAGAAATGTGTGGTCTAATGTAAGTAAGTCTCCTGTTGGTATGTGACAAATGCACCACAGATGGATTCATGAAAAATGAAGGTTTCAACAAGAATCACTCTTAAAAGTTCAAACTCTGAACAGCACAGTTTCTATCCAGTCAGTTCAAAATGCTTCAGCTGATAAAATTCAACTTTATTCTTTTTATTTAATCCAGTATTCAGCGCTTCAGAATCAAACAATTTTAGTTACAATCAATCGTAGCCAAAGGTCATGACGTAGAAAGGCTGACATCTTCTCCCCTCGTCTGGGACAGTTTTTAACGCTTTCTGCATTTCAGTTTTTCCCGTTTTCAGGGTTATTGTGCTTCACGTCACTTTAAGTTCCACAAAAATCTGACAATATCATCCTTTTAGCCTGCAGCGTTAGTAACTGGTGCACAAATTGCCAGTATGTCTGAGTCTGTCACTGTAGGAGGAATATAGAAATATAAATATAGAGTGCTTATCTTCTCCTCCCTGGAGAAAACTCGCCTGTCATTTACTTCACAATAAGAGTTTTCCGCTTTTTTTTTTCTCCGGGGGATTTTGTCGTTGCTGAATAAGCAGCAGGTGGGTAGATATACATGTAGCTGCAGTTTAACCAATTACAGTAATGATGGGTGAGGGCCGGGTCTCATTTCCCTCCGTAATGAGCTGAAGTCAGCGACGCCTCGCCACGCACGCCGAATACCAACCGCACACCTGACTCCTAGTCCAGCTGAGCGTGTGAGTTCAGGTTCAGGAGCAGGGGCGAGGGGTCTCTAATGTTAAATGCACTGTAGCACATATTTATTTCAGTTATGGTTGCCATAGGAACCAGTGACCAAAGGTCTAACAGGAGCTGCGCCCTTGGCCCCCCAGAGATGAATGGCCCCGTTCAGCCCGCGACCGCTCGATTGATGTCCCCTTCCTCCTTCACGTCAATACAGGCACAGCTGTCTGTACTGTCCTCACTGTTAGATTGATGCAGTCCTCATCCCTCACCATCACTATCAAGGACTCTGGGGCTTTAAAATGGGAAGTGAAACCATCACAGCTGGTCCAAACTGGTCTGAATCGGTTTCAGGAAGCGGCTGCAGCCTTGCTTTTAAAATGAAGGAGCGTATCACGGCTGTTTTTGACCTATAGACAGGATGTTAAATCCACATATCAGGGCCCCTGACCCTGAACCAGACCACCCACAGTGACCTCTGTGAGGCTCAACCAAGCCATGGTTTAAGTATTTTGTTATTTTCAGACTTCATACTCATAAACATGAACCCCTTCCCTCCTGAGCCGTGTTCAGACCCAGGTAAAGGTTGACCTCTCCGAGAACCAAGGCTGTAAATCCACAATCCTTTCTTTTGGTGCCACCGAAGCCTCTTCACGTGAAAGAAGACACCGCCGCGGCCTCGACCTGCACGCTCTGACTATTGAACAGGCCGGTGGAAATGTCAGGGGACGCATGATCAGTCGCTGGCATTTAATAAACAGCAGGTTCATAGAGGATGGAGTTTTGTTTAAGTCAACATCCTTAAAGGGGAGGGATCGACTGAAGTGTATGAGGTCGTTGTTCATAGTCAGTGTTTCATCAGTTTGACCCTTTTTTTAAAAATAGATATAAGTGGAAAAAATCAGCGGTTGGCAGGTTTGAATGAAAAATTAAAGGCAGGACCCGAGAGCAGAAATCAAAGTTTTTGACTAAACTTGAAAAAACTAAAATTTACCTTGACTGTCTCCTCACACCAAACGCGAGTAAAATCATTCGCGAAGACGCAAATTGCGCGGGAGCTGAAAATATCTCAACTTGAGCAGATATTTGCGTCGCGATAACTAATCAGCACGAAGGTTGCCAGATGATGTATGAAAACGGCCGGTTGTTCACTGGTATCTAAATTGGAGGACAAACTGATCGGGTGCCCGGAATTATATGATACCTTTTCTTTCAGTTATCGAAACCGGAATAAAAAGGAGCAAGTGAATGAGGAGGTAGGCTTACCTGGTAAATTGTAAAAAAACTTTGTCTATCACTTGATCCCGCTGGTTGAATTGGCGGGTAGATGATTTTACTCGCGCTTGGTGTGAGCGCCCCATTACACTGATGTTATCTCCCTAGGCTATATAGTTCAGCTCTAGACCCAGTCCCTCTTAGAACTGAAGACGTCTTCTGGAGAAGAGGCAAAATGTCTTCCAGATAACCCAAGAAGTCCAGTTGCCATTTTAGAAGACTTCCCCGATGAATGAAACAGGAAATTTAGTCCGGATTGAAATTTTACGGTACTCTATCGTAATTATCATGTGGGGTATTTTTTATTGAATAGTTATAAACACAGAAGAGACACTTGACTGACACTGCTGAGTTTAACATCTGTAGTTGGTGAGACAGAAAAAGGCCCGTATGTGAGACCTAAAAAAACGCCACTTCCAAGAGATCGACAGGAGAGTGTCAGAGTGTTCCTGAAAACACAAGGTCCTCTGTCAGCACATAATGAAATAATCGTGATAATTGCAGCCTAAAGAAGGACCCCAGAAACATCCTACATGTTCTTTGAAACCCCTGATTATGATATTTGTCGGGATCATTTGTGCGAGCATACTTTGAAACAAAGGCTATAATTTGCGGATGAGCGAGCATGTAGCACGGGCTCGTAATGATTGGATAATTGGATGATTCAGGATTACAATGAGTTTAATTTTCATTGTAACACGAGAGGAAACGAGTCAGGTGGTCGAGTCAGTCCACGGATTCCTCTGTGGAAGTGAGCTATCTCCTCTCCAGCAGCCACCTCTCGCCTGCTGTAATTTTCCGTCTGATTGTTCCAGTAATTAAATTGGCCACGCCGTCTGTCGGCGGTGACAGACAAAGATCAAAGCCCCGTGGATCAGAACACGGCGTGCCGACAAGAAACCCAGACGCACAAAAAAAAGAAAAGGGAAGGACGGCAGTGAGGATGTAGAGGAGTGAAGGAAAGCTGAGACGATGGGGACAAACGGAAATTAAATTAGACGATGCGGCACTGACGAAGCATTTGGTTGAAACAGAATAAGGTGAGAACGACCGCGGTGAATGTGAGAGGCATTTAATAACACAACTTTGAACAACAGAGGAGGGAACCACTCGAACCTTTGACTAATAATGTAATAAAAGGCCCTCAGAGGTGGGATCGATTGTTTCCCTCTGAAACTGAGACGGACGATTCAAACAAAGTCAGTGTGCGTCTTCTGTTTCAGAGCCTGATCATGTTTTTTTTTAGTTTCCTTTTGTTCAAACATCTGACATAAACTGAAACCAGAAGTAAAGATGATTTTAAAATTATCTGTTTTATTCTGAGTCCAAATATCCGTCGGTCAGATTCCCCAAGGAGTCCATTGTTAGAAGCTTACAGATGGTATGAACACCAGAAATGTCCGATATATTGATTAATTGAGCTGTTTATCAATTCGGTTCACAGTAACATGAACCCAGTAATTTAAAACAGCTGGTCTCATCACTACCTGACAAACTTCCTAACCCTCATACAAACCACAGTAAACCAAAACAAATCCATGTTTAATCAGTAAAAACTCTATTGTCCGATATTTGCACGCAAAAATTTCAAAGCCAACAACACGATAATCACAGAGGTCAAAGGTCGTATGCAATCACTGATGCAAAATGGACTGCAGCCTCTCAGTTTCTACTCTCAGTATGCTTGTAGTGATCAGAGTGGGCGGGGATTAGACTATGTTATATTAGACTATGTTAATTAGATGCTGTTCTGATTGGCTGCCTGATTATTCTCCAAAGGGTATAGGTGCAGACGAACGCAGAGGTGGAATAACACCGAAACAAATTTGGCGAGCGCTCCAGGAGAACCTATCAAAGTTTTTAAAGTATAAGCTGTTTTTGCCCAGTTTGTTAGCTACAGAAACAGGAAGGAGGATTAAATCAGATAATATATTTTGAATGTAACCCCAAATTACCGCTTATACCAGCGTCCCCGAGCGTGAGTGCAGCAGTGATTCCAGTCCCACCCTGCGCATAGAAAAATGAACGAGGTCGCGGATAAATGTGCTTTGATTGGCTCAGGCGTGGATGGGCCTTTTTGATGGATGGAAGCCCAGACCCTAACCCTAACCTTAAAGGGATATTCCGGCGAATTTAGGGTCAGAGTTAGACCCCCCCTCAACAGATGAATGTTGTCGACCGCTTGCTTCTCTAGTTATACCAACTTTAGTAACGACCGCAGGATAGCAATACAGAGAGCCACGCCCTCAACTAAAACACCACTCTATAGCCACAAAAAATGCTCAGAACAGCACCTAACTTCATCAACAGGACATAGAGGGTCACAGCCATAGTACTAGACACCAAACGTCTTTTTAACTTTGACTAAATTCTTTAGCAGAGAGACTAAACACAACTCACCTACTCTCTTCCAGCAGCCGCTTGTTTGTATATGTCCTGTTGATGAAGTTAGGTGCTGTTCTGAGCATTATTTGTGGCTATAGAGTGGCGTTTTGGTTGAGCGTCTCTGTGTTGCTATCCTGTGGTCTTTACTAAAGTTGGTATAACTAGAGAAGCAAGCAGTCGGCAACATCCACCCCTCGACGGGGTGTCTAACTCTGTGTTACGGTGTGTTTGACCCTAACTTAATTTTTCGCCGGAATATTCCTTTAACCCTAACCTTAACCCCTTCGGTATCACCTGAATGCTAAACATGTTGCAGCTAGCGTGGAAGCTAATGCCAGTCCGACTCCGAGTACAGCGACCCACACTCGACCAGATGAGTGGATTCAGAGCTAAGATGAGTAAGTCCACGTCAGAAAAATTAACATCCTGAAATTGCTGGACTCTATTATGGCATAAAAAAACGCTGATCTGTTGGTCTTGGTTAAGTATCATCTTTAAAAAAATTTAACATTTAAAAAGTAATGATTCTCACTGTTCTCAGATCAAATATTTACATGCAATTAAAATGCGATTAATTGCAATTAATTCACCACAAACCTCTGATTAGTTTGATGAATGTTTTTAATCGGGTCACAGCCCGACTATAAAATGAAAACAGAAATGGCGAGTTGAGCAGCAACCAGAGGGGACGGGGTAAGAAATGCTCTCTCTTCCAACGACAGACTCATTTGCAAATTCCCAGAGGACAGAGGTTATGATCAGGATTTATCAAAACTGTCACAACCCCCCCAGCCACCAGAAGTGGCTATTTTTCCTGTCAGGATGAAATTGAAATGCACAAACTGTCGCTCAATCAGGATACATGCCAGCGGAGTACGAGGACTTCTGCAGAAATAAACCCTCAGAAATAACCTCAGCAAATGAGAAGCTGCAGAGATTGTTCCAGTCCGTGGAGCTGTGGTGGATAATAAACCTCGGAGGAGTCATGAGCTCAGACCACAGTCTCCACAAAACCAGCTATATTAAGAGATGTGGGCATAAACTTCTGATGAATTGAACTTAAACCTCTCCGTTCAGTCAATGGTAACGCCACAAAAATAGAAGTTTCCTGCTAATTTTTTCTTACGTCATCAAATCTTTAATACGATTAAAATCCCAATTCTATATCTGCATCTGTGTTTGTGTGTGGCACTCGTGCTTTATGCCTGTAGCGTTTTAGCCAGAGGTTATACACTGGTGGTAGAGGCTGCTATATTAAGTGGCCATCAGTGTCAACTCATCCAGTTAACACTCAGTCACACCAGCTATGCCACTGGGAGCAATTAGATTTCAATGTTCTGCCTAGGGATACGACTGCAAGTGGATTAAGGGAGCCGGGATCGTACCACCAACCCTCCACGAGATCTCAGGATAGATTATTTTACCGTTTTTGAAAATATGTTGTAAAGTCGGCGAAAGAGCGGTACGTCCTCAGGCTAGCTAAAGGTTACCATGATATGTCTCGCTGTAATGAGCGCGCTGAGAGCGAGGCATGAGTGTGAAAACGTGCCTTTACATCAGGACATCTGCATGGTGAAGTCCTGGAGGGCGAGCCCAACACACACACACACACACACACACACACACACACACACACACACACACACAGAGCTCCTGCCTCCTGCAATGAAATTACCGCCTTTATCAGAATGTAATGACTGTTATTGAGCTGTCTCCCCTCGCACACTGTCACACAGCCACAGGAAATGGCAGCAAGTCTATTTTCAGGCCGCCGACAGATGACAGCTCTCAGGTTAGACCCAACACTGCTAAAGCATCACATACTGCAGTTACTAGAACAACCACTAGGGGGGCTGCTCCGAAAATGAGCCAATCCCACTTGGGTTTCTTGTTAAAATGTTAAACTTTGTACACAGCTGCTGCCAAAGTGGACAGACACAAAATAAAACATCCGGCTTCTTTTCAAAATAAAACACTCAGGAGGATCGTATTTCACACCATGCAAACGGGCGGAGACGAACAAGTGAAAGGTTTTTAGACGTCATTTCACCCTGATGACACCATGGATGAGGAGATGCTGATTCTAGAAGTCTAGAAGTAGATTTCCTCCTCTGGAAGGACACAATCTACTGCTTATATGGTTAGCCTCTGTGGCTAAAGACAACTTTGATGGAAAAATCTATAAAAAAGTTATCATGCTTTAGATGATTCTATATGATTAATATGTGATTTAATTCTTTCAGATGGATTTCAGTATGATTTGAATCGTTGAAGAATGATCTTAAACTCTTAATCTTTTAGTTCTGCAGAAGGGGATATGAAAGTGTTGAACTCTGTACCATGTGTTGTGCAAAGATGTGAAAACACCTATGTTCCTTAAAAATAATGCCATACATATGCAAAAAATTATGAAAATAATCATGTTCCTCTTTTGTAAAGGTCAACCGAAAGTATTGCAAAAGTGACCGTTGCTGAGGTAGCAGATATGGATGACTATGCATAATCATGAAATAAAAGAGTGCTGTTGGAGAGGAACTGGCAGAGAGGGACTGACCGAGTACTCGAGAAGTTCTCCTCAGCCATTCTCTCCTTGTGCAAGTAAAACGTCTTTTGGTCTCTTCTGTGTTCCTGAATCCTCCGAGTTTGTTAAATATGTCCACTTGAACCTGACAAACTTGTTATCGCGTGATTGCACGTGAATCTGCAGGTTCTTGTGAGTTCTCACAGTTCCTGCTGTCCATAATTCACCAAGAAATTTACCTCACAAACAGATCCGTTAAGAATTGGCGTAAAATCGCCACTGTTACAGATTTAAGCCATTCCGAATGTGGTGGAAATCCAGGGTCTACCTTGGGTAGTGAATCCAAAAACACCATTAGCTTCACAAATCCTCCATCGATCTTTACATCTAAAGTTAAAATCTGTTTTTCTCGCAGTTCAAACACCAAGACCTGTTAATGATGATCTTCAACCGCCTCTCTGTTTCCTCTCTCTGTTTCCTCTCTCTGTTTCCTCTCTCAGTTTCGGTCCTGCTGTTGGTAAAGGTTACTGTCTTCACAGGCAGAGCGTTGAGGGATGAACTCTGAGGGTTTTTTTTTTAGGAGGGACGTGGGCTGCAGTTTATTTGAAATGTAGATTCTGCGCCGCGTCTGTATCGCTTTCATCCTGTCCATGAAAAATGCATGCTGTGATCTCATTATACCGCTCTTCTCTTGGAACACTACATAAAATCAATCCAGGCCAGAGGAGGGGTGAGAACACTACAGATGCTTCTTCGCTTTTCACAATGGCTGAAAAGAGGCCCTACAAGTGGGAGGAGAAGTGTTTTTCATGTGTGTAAAAATTAGAGATCGAGCTGCTTGATTTAACATCTTTGAGGCAGCTACAAGTTGTATTTGTGGACTACACTTCAGACTAAAGGATCAGGTCTTAATTTATGAGTTCTCACCTGCAGGGCTGAGGCCCAGAAGTGGGACATCGAACCATTTCAATGGGTCGCTGTAGTAAAGATCCTAAAGGAGATCTGTTCAACTCGTTTTTATCAATCATTGTGTCAGCATGTGAAGGAGGCATGGTCAGCTAGAAAATACTTTAAAAACTCTTCCAATGTAACTTAAGGGAGGTCAGTTAAGAGACCTTCAGAACCAGAGCTTGGTCTACAGATCCAGTAGTAAGTCGGACTTGTTTCGGTGAGGGTTGGACTCCACTAGGGCTGATCTTTGTCACCGATCCTCCTCAGAACTTTCATGGACAGAATTTCTGGGTTCAGCAAGGGTGTTGAGGAGGTCCTCTTTGGTGGTCTCAGGACTGGGTCACTGCTTTTTGCAGATGATGTGGTCCTGTTGGTGGCACCAGGCCATGACCTTCGGTTCGCAACCAAGAGTGAAATGACTGGGATGAGAATGAGCACCTCCACATCGCTGGATAAAGGTGGAGTGGCCTCTTTGGGTCAGGGGTGAGATCCTGCCCCAGGTAGAAGAGTCCAAGTATCTCTGGGTTTTGTTCACGAATGAGGAAAGAATGGAGCAGAAGATCTACAGGTGGATTGGTGCAGCTGCTCAGGTCTGTCGTGGTGAAGAAGGAGCTGAGCCAAAAGGTAAATCTCTGGATATACCGATTGATCTACTTTCCTACCCTCACCTACGGTCAGGGGCTTTGGATAGTGACCATAAGAACAAGATCTCGGGTACAAGCCGCCTAAATGAGTTTCCTCCACAGAGTGGCTCTCCATCAGAGATAGAGTGAGAAGCTCAGTCCTCCAGGGGAACTCAGAGTCGAGCTGCTGCTCCTTTGTGTCGAGAGTCAGATGAGGTGGCTTGAGCAGCTGACCAGGATGCCTCCCGGATGCCTGGCTGGTGAGGTGTTCAGGGCTTGTCCCACCGGTAGGAGACCAGGGGAAACACCCAGGACACGCTAGAGAAAGTGGGGCTTCCTGCTTCGGCTGCTGCCCCCTCGACCCGTCTCTGGATAAGTCATAGAAGACGGATGGACAGTTAAAAGACAACAGTCAGCTGCTGTGCTGGAAAACACAGGAGTCCTCCTTATGGATCCTGTTTCTTCAGAGTTGTTGCTGAGTGAAGTTTAAATATCGCTCAGAAATGTGTGGTCTAATGTAAGTAAGTCTCCTGTTGGTATGTGACAAATGCACCACAGATGGATTCATGAAAAATGAAGGTTTCAACAAGAATCACTCTTAAAAGTTCAAACTCTGAACAGCACAGTTTCTATCCAGTCAGTTCAAAATGCTTCAGCTGATAAAATTCAACTTTATTCTTTTTATTTAATCCAGTATTCAGCGCTTCAGAATCAAACAATTTTAGTTACAATCAATCGTAGCCAAAGGTCATGACGTAGAAAGGCTGACATCTTCTCCCCTCGTCTGGGACAGTTTTTAACGCTTTCTGCATTTCAGTTTTTCCCGTTTTCAGGGTTATTGTGCTTCACGTCACTTTAAGTTCCACAAAAATCTGACAATATCATCCTTTTAGCCTGCAGCGTTAGTAACTGGTGCACAAATTGCCAGTATGTCTGAGTCTGTCACTGTAGGAGGAATATAGAAATATAAATATAGAGTGCTTATCTTCTCCTCCCTGGAGAAAACTCGCCTGTCATTTACTTCACAATAAGAGTTTTCCGCTTTTTTTTTTCTCCGGGGGATTTTGTCGTTGCTGAATAAGCAGCAGGTGGGTAGATATACATGTAGCTGCAGTTTAACCAATTACAGTAATGATGGGTGAGGGCCGGGTCTCATTTCCCTCCGTAATGAGCTGAAGTCAGCGACGCCTCGCCACGCACGCCGAATACCAACCGCACACCTGACTCCCAGTCCAGCTGAGCGTGTGAGTTCAGGTTCAGGAGCAGGGGCGAGGGGTCTCTAATGTTAAATGCACTGTAGCACATATTTATTTCAGTTATGGTTGCCATAGGAACCAGTGACCAAAGGTCTAACAGGAGCTGCGCCCTTGGCCCCCCAGAGATTAATGGCCCCGTTCAGCCCGCGACCGCTCGATTGATGTCCCCTTCCTCCTTCACGTCAATACAGGCACAGCTGTCTGTACTGTCCTCACTGTTAGATTGATGCAGTCCTCATCCCTCACCATCACTATCAAGGACTCTGGGGCTTTAAAATGGGAAGTGAAACCATCACAGCTGGTCCAAACTGGTCTGAATCGGTTCCAGGAAGCGGCTGCAGCCTAGCTTTTAAAATGAAGGAGCGTATCACGGCTGTTTTTGACCTATAGACAGGATGTTAAATCCACATATCAGGGCCCCTGACCCTGAACCAGACCACCCACAGTGACCTCTGTGAGGCTCAACCAAGCCATGGTTTAAGTATTTTGTTATTTTCAGACTTCATACTCATAAACATGAACCCCTTCCCTCCTGAGCCGTGTTCAGACCCAGGTAATGGTTGACCTCTCCGAGAACCAAGGCTGTAAATCCACAATCCTTTCTTTTGGTGCCACCGAAGCCTCTTCACGTGAAAGAAGACACCGCCGCGGCCTCGACCTGCACGCTCTGACTATTGAACAGGCCGGTGGAAATGTCAGGGGACGCATGATCAGTCGCTGGCATTTAATAAACAGCAGGTTCATAGAGGATGGAGTTTTGTTTAAGTCAACATCCTTAAAGGGGAGGGATCGACTGAAGTGTATGAGGTCGTTGTTCATAGTCAGTGTTTCATCAGTTTGACCCTTTTTTTAAAAATAGATATAAGTGGAAAAAATCAGCGGTTGGCAGGTTTGAATGAAAAATTAAAGGCAGGACCCGAGAGCAGAAATCAAAGTTTTTGACTAAACTTGAAAAAACTAAAATTTACCTTGACTGTCTCCTCACACCAAACGCGAGTAAAATCATTCGCGAAGACGCAAATTGCGCGGGAGCTGAAAATATCTCAACTTGAGCAGATATTTGCGTCGCGATAACTAATCAGCACGAAGGTTGCCAGATGATGTATGAAAACGGCCGGTTGTTCACTGGTATCTAAATTGGAGGACAAACTGATCGGGTGCCCGGAATTATATGATACCTTTTCTTTCAGTTATCGAAACCGGAATAAAAAGGAGCAAGTGAATGAGGAGGTAGGCTTACCTGGTAAATTGTAAAAAAACTTTGTCTATCACTTGATCCCGCTGGTTGAATTGGCGGGTAGATGATTTTACTCGCGCTTGGTGTGAGCGCCCCATTACACTGATGTTATCTCCCTAGGCTATATAGTTCAGCTCTAGACCCAGTCCCTCTTAGAACTGAAGACGTCTTCTGGAGAAGAGGCAAAATGTCTTCCAGATAACCCAAGAAGTCCAGTTGCCATTTTAGAAGACTTCCCCGATGAATGAAACAGGATATTTAGTCCGGATTGAAATTTTACGGTACTCTATCGTAATTATCATGTGGGGTATTTTTTATTGAATAGTTATAAACACAGAAGAGACACTTGACTGACACTGCTGAGTTTAACATCTGTAGTTGGTGAGACAGAAAAAGGCCCGTATGTGAGACCTAAAAAAACGCCACTTCCAAGAGATCGACAGGAGAGTGTCAGAGTGTTCCTGAAAACACAAGGTCCTCTGTCAGCACATAATGAAATAATCGTGATAATTGCAGCCTAAAGAAGGACCCCAGAAACATCCTACATGTTCTTTGAAACCCCTGATTATGATATTTGTCGGGATCATTTGTGCGAGCATACTTTGAAACAAAGGCTATAATTTGCGGATGAGCGAGCATGTAGCACGGGCTCGTAATGATTGGATAATTGGATGATTCAGGATTACAATGAGTTTAATTTTCATTGTAACACGAGAGGAAACGAGTCAGGTGGTCGAGTCAGTCCACGGATTCCTCTGTGGAAGTGAGCTATCTTCTCTCCAGCAGCCACCTCTCGCCTGCTGTAATTTTCCGTCTGATTGTTCCAGTAATTAAATTGGCCACGCCGTCTGTCGGCGGTGACAGACAAAGATCAAAGCCCCGTGGATCAGAACACGGCGTGCCGACAAGAAACCCAGACGCACAAAAAAAAGAAAAGGGAAGGACGGCAGTGAGGATGTAGAGGAGTGAAGGAAAGCTGAGACGATGGGGACAAACGGAAATTAAATTAGACGATGCGGCACTGACGAAGCATTTGGTTGAAACAGAATAAGGTGAGAACGACCGCGGTGAATGTGAGAGGCATTTAATAACACAACTTTGAACAACAGAGGAGGGAACCACTCGAACCTTTGACTAATAATGTAATAAAAGGCCCTCAGAGGTGGGATCGATTGTTTCCCTCTGAAACTGAGACGGACGATTCAAACAAAGTCAGTGTGCGTCTTCTGTTTCAGAGCCTGATCATGTTTTTTTTAGTTTCCTTTTGTTCAAACATCTGACATAAACTGAAACCAGAAGTAAAGATGATTTTAAAATTATCTGTTTTATTCTGAGTCCAAATATCCGTCGGTCAGATTCCCCAAGGAGTCCATTGTTAGAAGCTTACAGATGGTATGAACACCAGAAATGTCCGATATATTGATTAATTGAGCTGTTTATCAATTCGGTTCACAGTAACATGAACCCAGTAATTTAAAACAGCTGGTCTCATCACTACCTGACAAACTTCCTAACCCTCATACAAACCACAGTAAACCAAAACAAATCCATGTTTAATCAGTAAAAACTCTATTGTCCGATATTTGCACGCAAAAATTTCAAAGCCAACAACACGATAATCACAGAGGTCAAAGGTCGTATGCAATCACTGATGCAAAATGGACTGCAGCCTCTCAGTTTCTACTCTCAGTATGCTTGTAGTGATCAGAGTGGGCGGGGATTAGACTATGTTATATTAGACTATGTTAATTAGATGCTGTTCTGATTGGCTGCCTGATTATTCTCCAAAGGGTATAGGTGCAGACGAACGCAGAGGTGGAATAACACTGAAACAAATTTGGCGAGCGCTCCAGGAGAACCTATCAAAGTTTTTAAAGTATAAGCTGTTTTTGCCCAGTTTGTTAGCTACAGAAACAGGAAGGAGGATTAAATCAGATAATATATTTTGAATGTAACCCCAAATTTCCACCACATGCTGAACAGCAGCAATTTTCGCCGTCCACCAGTTCCTACCGGATGCATTTGTGAGGGGAATTTTGTGGCGGATTTTGGACAAAGGGAATTGTGAGTACTGTGAATTCACATGCAATCGTGCAATAACGAGTTGTCTCAGTAGATTAAACACTTTTGTGGAGATTGGGAATTATCCATGGGTAAGTGCAAGATTTATCTTTAACTACAAAACAGATAATAAACTAAACTTTTTATGAGTATGTCTGAAAACCTTTCACTTGTTTGTCCCTGCCCACGTTTGCATGGCGTTAAATACAATCTGCCCGAAATGGGGAGTGTTTTATTTTGAAAAGAAGCCGGATGTTTTACTTTGTGTCTGTGCCCGACTTCCTTTCCAGCACGGGTTAATCTGTGCTGAATTTATGCGGCATGCTGTGGCTTTCGGTAATAGAACCCCAGCGATTGGCAACACAGCTCGTTGAATAGCAGGGGGCCGGGCAGAAGCCAGTGGAACGTGACACCATAACTTGAATGGAAACGATCAGCAGTGATCGGCGCCGACGGCCTTTTCGCCGCTGTTCTGCACGTGGGGGAAATTTGGGGTAATCCTCCTTCATTAATAAACCCCAAAGAAGAACAATAATATCAGGTTCTAAACATGTCAATGTCTGCTGCAAAGTTGAAGACTGAAGTTTGAAGAGAGCCTCAAGTGGCCACTTAAAGAACTACGGTTTTGGCCCCCATTACCAATATAATAAGTGAATTCATCTAACTTATTGGAACAGCAAAGCTCAAATACTGAATATTAATGTTTATAATGACAGCTGATAGCAAAATAACCGCTAATTTTGGAAAAATTTCAAGAGATTTTACTTTAAATTTGTCTAACTGAGCATCCTCGTTTATTAAGATGGGCTGCAAATGTCATCTTCAAATGAAAGGAGCAGTGTTTGGAGGTTGTGCTGCATCTCTCTTTCATTTCACAGCTCAGTAAAGACGTAAAACTGATGCTCCATGATCTCTTCCCACGTTATGATGTGTCTGTCCAGCCTCGGGCGGCAGTGCGAGTCGACCGCTGCTGCTCTATGTGACTCTGCGGAGCTTATTGGAGCTGCAGAGGTGACTGTGTCGGCAGCAGTAACACGAGCTCCACTGAGATGAATCTCAATGAGAAAAGGCGAGGGTGTTTTTTTCTCACATGTACGCACCAGGAGCAGCTACATGTTTGCTGCATGGAGACGGTGGAGAGCATCATCTTCTCTGCAGCATCAAGATTATGGGTGACTCACAGCTTCATTTGCATGAATATTAACATGAGTCATGACAGAAGGGTGAGGGCAGTTTAGGGGGGGATGGAGGGTGAGATCATCGGCCTTGTTTGCTAAATGAACAGAATTCTTCCCTCATGTTCACATGTCGCAGCCAGCTGACGGCTAAAGAGAGAATCTGACCACCAATTTCCAACGCATCCTGCACGTCTACGACAAGGCCGTATCCTCCGATCGTAGACATTCAAGTTAACGTGTCAATTTTCACCGGCTTCTTTCTGTTCCCTTGCGGATCGCCGGACTCTGATCGCTGATCACAAGAGTTCAATTTTTTTTTGGATCCCGCAGCATGGTGGATAAATTCAGCACAGATAAACCCGTGCTGGAGAGGAAGTCGAGCCCAAATACAAAATAAAACATCCGGCTTCTTTTCAAAATAAAACACTCCGTGTTTCAGGAGGATCGTATTTCACACCATGCAAACGGACAAACAAGTGAAAGGTTTTTAGACGTCATTTCACCCCCATGACACCATTGATGAGAGGATTCAGATTTTATAAATAGAAGTAGAAAGCCTCTGTGTCTGTCTTTATAGAGACAACTTGTTATCGCGCAATCGCATTTGAATCCGCAGGTTTTTGTGAGTTCTTGCGATTCCTGCTGTTCGTAATCCACAACGTAATTCGCCTCACTAACAGATCTGGTAGGAATTGGCTGACGGTAAAAATCGCTGCCATTCCGGATGAGGTAAAAATTTGGGGTAATGCTGTCTGCAGACCCTGAAGGAAGTCTCATCCGTTTTCATAACAACAGAGACCGGCCAAGAAAACATGAAGTGCATGAAAAGATAATTTTCTATTATTAAATCACATCCTCCTATTATCAGCATTGAAAAACTTCATTTGTCGACTAATTATTTCCTTATTTTCCATGTTTGAAAGTTTCTATCTTACCTGTTACCTGCACTACAAGGACTTCAAAAAGCTTAGAGCACATTTCCGTCTTTAAAGCCGAGCTCTCTTCAGACTCTCTCCGGCGGCGTTTGTACTACCAGCAGAAATAAGAGACCTCAGAGCGGCACCTTTCCTTTAAATACCTCTTGAACTGAGAGGAACTGTGATCACTAAAGCCCTTTCAGAGCAGAACAAAATGAACAACTCGTCCTCAAAGTTTCATAAGCCCAGATTCCCTCGGCGGTTCAGGCTGTGCTTTTTGTTCCCATGACAGCAGCAGGAGAAATCTCACTGATGAGCCTCATATGCACACGTGTGTGACGCCAAGTATTAAAACTCTAAAACAGGAGCGTTTACGTCTTTGTTCATGAAATTAGCACCGAGCATGGGAGCCAAATCAGGCTTTTATTTGACAGTGCAAATTATTGAGGTGATTAACAGAATGTAATTTGGGCTCAGGGATGTTATTGCAGTGCCAGCTCATCGACGACGAAGAGAGAGAGAGAGAGAGAGAGAGAGAGAGAGAGAGAGAGAGAGGGGGAAAAAATCAACAGGGTGTGAGTCAAAGGAGGGAAAAAACAAGAACTCTGGGCAGCAACATCCCAGGAGTCTGCTCGGGAGACAGACACTGATGTTAAAATTCAGATCACACACACGCCTGCAAACCACACTGCTCACCGAGGAGGGAGGGATGAGACGGAGGGGGAGGGAGAGCAGAGGGGGGAGAGTAAGATAGGGACAGAGGTAGACTGAGGGGCTGTGAGGCGGATCAGAACCAGGATGTACATGAAGACTATGTAATATACAGTATATATGCAAAGGAGTTGGATGGAGCGGTGAAGTCTTGAATCGAAGTAAACAGGTGGATCCACCAGAGATTACAGGGGCGGAGCTTCCACAGGGGCTGGAGGGGGGGGGGTACTCGGTCGAATTTATTTAGACTTAATCCACATTGATGATTTGGGCCTGTATGGCTGATCAGTCAGAGTCCTCGATGTGTAGGGTGACCATATTCTGACTTCCCATAAAGAGAACAGGACAACGCGGGGGCGGAGTCATAATTTTGAGAGTTTTCTGCGTTGGATTGAGGTTTTTTTACACGCTTCTAACTCAGTAAATCAACGCGACACAAACTCGAAACTTCCGTACAAAACAGTGGACATTTGAGGGATTTTATAAACTTCCCCGAACAAGGCAGGACAGCCCCAAAAAATAGGACATGTCCGGGTAAAAGAGGACGTATGTTCACACTATCGATGTAGCCAAGAAGATTGAATTCGGTTCCAACTCTAGACAGTTTGTTCATCCGTCCATTAGTGGAGGCGTTATGGAGAACAAAGATGGCAGTCACCATACTGGAAACACTGACTCTACCCAAAAACCTTAACCCCCAATTATCACCGCATCCGGAATGGCTACGACAAAGCTGTATCCGCCGATCGTAGCTGATCGTAACCATTCAAGTTAATGTGTCAATTTCCACCGGCTTCTTTCCGTTCCTCTGTGGATCGCCGGACTCCACAGCTGATCACAAGGGTCCTTTTTTTTCCAGACGCCGAAGCATGGCGGATAAATTCAGCACAGATTAACCCGTGCTGGAAAGGAAGTTGGACACAGACACAAAATAAAACATCCGACTTCTTTTCAAAATAAAACACTCCGTGTTTCAGAAGTCTAGAAGTAGATTTCCTCCTCTGGAAGGACACAATCTACTGCTTATATGGTTAGCCTATGTGGCTAAAGACAACTTGTTATTGCCCGATTGCACATGAATCCGCAGGTCCTTATAAGTTTTGGTGATTTCTGCTGTCTGTAATCTGCCACAAAGTTCGCCTCACAAACAGATCTGGTTTGAATTGGCGTACGGTGAAAATCACAGCCGTTCCAGACCCGATGGAAATCCCGGGTAACAAAGAGGTGGAGCTCGGATGGGTCTAAATCTGCACCTGTCAGTCATCTCAGACAGACCCTACATAATACAGTTACTATAAACTGATAGCTTATATGAGAGGATGCATTATGAAGATCATGCTTCTGCAAACATCTCAATTCTGCTTTCATGCAGACTCCTCAACTGTTGCATTAGACTCAAGTAAAATTGCATGGCTGCAATTTTCAACACTGAAAGTTTCTTGATTTAGTCTGCAGATCTAACGCCGCACGGACAGATCCTTTTAGAGGGGCGGGTGGGTGGGAGGTGAAAACAGTTGGTACCATCAGCTCCTAACACCTCCTCCTCAGAGATGAACAGAGAGGCTCTTCACTGAGAGGATCTCTGCCTCTCTCAGGTTTATTCAAAAAGCTCTGACATAACCGGACTCTGCAGCCGTCTCAGCCGTCCTCTGTCACTTTTGTATTATTGTGTTATAATGAGGCGCGCTGACATGTTCGTACACAGAGAGGAGGTGAGCGCACACAAACAGACAGACAGGTGAGACAGAGAGAGCTGGCAGGAGTGACAGTCAGGAGGATCAGGTCCAGAGTGTGTGTGTGAGTGTGTAAGTGTGTGTTTGCACTCTGAGTACAGCAGATGGGTAAATGTGTGGCAAACACAAACCAACACACTCAAACAGACCCCAACAATTTACAAACCATCCAAGACAAACACCAGAGAGTAAATGTGGATTTTACAGTTTAGAGGAAAAAAAAACAACACAGCTTCAGTGTTTTATTATAACTCAGATATTTCGTTTGTTAAGTTTTGCCCCACATTTTAGCTCTCTGGTATCGGTTAGCTTATACATTTTTTTTTTAGCATGCATATTTGCCTGTTTGTTTTTTCCAGATAATATTCAGTAAAAAGTTCCTCCTTTTTCGTTTCTTTAAAGCTTGATTTAAGGCGAGCTGGGCACACATCTGTTTATGTGTTAATTATCAGTTATTAGTGTGAATTTTCTATTTACCTTTTAATGCCGGCGTTACTTTACTTTTGGTGTGGACATCAGTTTAAAAAAGGTTCTTAAAATCTTTACTTCCCTTTAATTCAGTTTTATTTGATACTTTGGTGGTCCATGCTGATCCAGAGGACTTAGAGGCTGGCTCAAGTTGTCTGTGATCTGTCTTACCACGCTTTGGATACAGCCTCTAAGACTACGTTTACACGTAACCAGCTGTGTGTATATGCTGTCAAGAGCATGCCAAACCTGTAGGTGGCAGTGTAGCGAGAAGCTCCAGCCCAGGTTGGCCAATCAGGACAACAATGTCCCTTACTTCTTTCCGGCGTGAAAATCTGCCACCGGCTACCTAAATCTCAGTTTTCTCTGTTTACATGCAAACGTACAGATGGAGTTTTCCAAAATCTCCTATCTGGCCGGAGTTTTTAAAAAGCATAATTTCAAGGAGCGAATTCTCTGTTTGCGATTAATGTCTTTGTTTTTAAAAATAAGCGGGTGCGTATAAACGGGGCCTACGAGTTTTGGTAGATTAGAGGTCTCTCATAAATCCGTCTTACATTTAAATTTAACCTTTTACTGGACTTGGATCGGGGCGAGGCTGCAGGATTTACGGTCTCTTCTGTTTCTGGAAATGACATCTATATTTATGTGCTTATGATGATCTGTGTCCATGGTGACAGTTGGGGGGGGTGACATCTTTACAGAGGAATGGAATAGTCGTTACCTGGCCGTGTTAAAGACTCGACACTGATCGGTCTCCTCTGCCTGTTGACACTGTGACAAAAACGTTAGCTTCTGTTAGCATTTTAAAAACAGAGATTTAACAGTTTTTTACTTATTTTGGAGAAAACAAACTTTACATTGGTCGTTAATGTCTGATGAGACTCTGAGGAAGAGAGGATGAGAAATGGGAATGAATGAAAAATGACAACAGCCAGATCTTCATTTAAATATCTGCATGTTCAATGATGTTCATCATTTTCCCGTCCTTGAATGTGTCGAACCAGGCGCTCGCTGCAGCCAGCATTCACCAAGTGCATCAGCTCAGTAGGAAAGCAGGGCATGATGGGTAGGGAGAGGCTAAAAAGAGAACAAAGAGGAGGCGAAGGCTCGAGCCAAACTGGCATGAGGCAGATTTTAACATTCGTACCAGCAGCTATACATACTATTTCCCCTCCTCCCCTCCTCTCCTCACGCTCTTGTTTTGGTGTTTTTGCTTTTCCGTTCTGGGTCAGAGGCGGTTAATAAACCGGGGGCTTCGCTCTCAATGCCCTCTATTGATCTGCAAATGTGAGAAGTGGAGGGGGCCGAAACACTTTTAGCTCTTTTGTCCAGAGGAAGCAAGGTTATTTGTTTACTGTCATGCAATATTTGACTCCTCTTCTGTGTGTTTGACCGAGCATTAGGCGGAGAGGCCGCGGATAAACGGACGTGTTTCTATAAACGGAGCGGAGAGGAGGGTCTGCTCAAACAGAGAGAGAGGTGATGATTTGTAGGTGTGATGGAAAAACTCGAAGAAGAAGAAGAAAGAGCTCATCCATTAATCATGTCCTGATTTACTTAAAGAGCAGACAGTAGCCCCGTTTATATGTGTCCAAAAATCCTATTTACAATCAGATTGAAGGGTCAATCAGATTGAAAATGTCTGATATAAACACCTTAGCCAATCTGATTCACCCGGATCTGATTGTATTTCAGGTCGGATTGTAAGAGGTAGTCTACATCAATTGATAATCCGCTCCATGCTCCATATATACGGCTGAGTGGAGCGGATTGGGGTTTACAGAGAGGCTTGTTCGGTCTGCGACGGCGCTCCGTAGTACGTGAGAGGCACGCAGTGACATACGCAGAGCGCGCCCAAACGAAAACAAACATGGCGACTTCAGAGCCACAAATAAATGTAACCACAACACAATTAGCGTCCTCAACAGAACATGACGCAGATCCATCTTTCTACAGGTAAACAGGAAGCAGGAAGTGCACCTCTTCTTCTCTTACACATTTGCAGGTAGTGGCAGAGTGACCTTCTACGCATGTAAAAAAAAAAAAAACAATACAATCGAATTCAGGTGGGGCCATGCAAACACGGACTGAACGTGGATCTCTTTACTTAAAGCTCATGTGTACAGATGGAATCAGATTCACTTAATCCGATTAATTTCAATCAGATTGAGGAAAACTACCCATATAAACGGGGCCAGTGAGAACAAATAAGGAGGGACTTTTAAAGATGATCTCCTCGGCTGTGTTTCTAAATTCATATTTAATGTGATTTATCGGCTCATAATCATAAAACTGCAAAGACAGACGTTTTCCTCTGATATTAAAGTCATAAAGCTCCATCACTGTGACGGAGGTT